AAATTTTATTCTAAAAATATCTATGATATTAAATAGTATATTTATTAATTTATATATTTAATTATACTAATAAAAGAAGGATATAAAAGAAATTTAGTAATTAATGCATCTTAAATCTATTATTTATTTTTTATAATAAAGATAAAAAAATGATTTATTTTATTTTTTATAAAAAGGACCAGAAGAAATAATTAACAAATTTAGTTTTAATTACACTAAGATACACACGTATCATTATGATTATATGTTAAATTAAGAGAAATTTGTAGGCGGAGAAATATTCAAAATATGTCAGTCACCTTAATAGAATACATGTAGAAAAAGAAATTTAAATTATTATAATTTGAATCCTACTAAGCCACGTAAAAAATAAAATACTAATTTTATGAATTATTTTTAGTAATTAAAATGGTTTATTGTTATCTATATTAGAATGATTATACTTTAAATTCTTACTTTTTGCTATTATGATTATTATTACTTTTTGGGTCAATTGGCATTTACACCATTGTTGTTGATTTAGCTCATTTTTTTAGGTCCCTATGATGTTAGATCATACTTAGCTTTATCATAAAAATGTTAATCATATTAATGTACAAGGATTTTTTTTCCTTTGGCCACAACCTTGATTAGGTATCTATTTGTTAACTTTTATATTTAAATGAAAAATAATTGTTTTATATGTATGTTCTTGATCCTTAATATATTCTAACAATGTCATCATCCATTACATAAGAACTAATTAGCTAATAATTACTTTTTTAATATTATAGTTAAATTTCTTATCAATCGTTTTAAAATATACAAAATAAAGGTAGTTGATGTAAAAAAGATATTGCTTACATTTGTGACAAGACCAGGTTTCAAATGGTTGATGTGATGTTGTCTTTCAAAGCGATAGATAGAAATAACAAAAAAACAAATGTTATCATAACAACAATTTAAAAACAATGTTAAGAAAACAATGTTGTCTTTTATTTTTAAATGTTACATGAACCCATATTTGCTTCTATAAAATTGAAAACATCACAGCCTTGTCCTCGACTTGTAGGTTCTATAACAGTAGCTAGAAAAGTGATCGATAACAGTGTCCATCACAAATATCTCAATAGAGTGCCCCAAACTCTACAACCACAACTTCAAAGATTCTAGCGACTCCTTCTTCCTAATTGTCTTCTTCACAGACTCGTTCAATTTGGACGACGACCCTCTCATCCTTAATTTTTCCATATCATTTTGTCAATAGGCGACCATCACTATATACACACGTCGTCCAATGAACAAAGGAACTACCATTGCAGTGAACTGTATTTAATAAAAAAAAGAAAGAAAAAGAAAATATGGACACTGAGAGGAAACACAAATGAAGATGTAATAATTTGACTAATTTCACAAAGGTCGTTAGGATTTATTTCCCTTATTTCATTTAATTACATTTTTAAGCTAGGTAAACCATCAGAATGCTTTAGTAATTTATAATACTTTAAAAGCCTGAAGTTGTGTTTGCATAAGAAAATTTAGAATTCATAAAAAATATAAAATCAATAATGAGACGATTTAAGGGAAAGTTAAAAATAAGAGGAGTTATTAATGACAATTACAAAAAAAGTTAAGTATAAGAACTTTTTAAAAATATCCTTTAAAAATATGTGATTTGAAATTTTTAAATTTAATATAAAATGTATTTAATTACGTATATATAATATTCTAAAAATACTCATTCTTACAACCTAAAATATATATAATCTAATAATTTAAAATTTCTTTATCAATTACATAACATAAATATAAGTAGCCTGGTGATGGTCATAAAATGTGGCATATGAAGGGTATCATAACAGTCTTAATTTGATGGGTACCGATGAATTCAACCTTTTTTTTTTTTAAATCTAATGTAACCAATTCTTTTTTATGCAAGTTGATGACCCTCTTATTTTGATCGACATCTCAAATACTGGCCTTCCTTTGTGTTGACAACCTTCTCAATTATCTCGACAAAAAAAAAAAAAAAAAAACTTCTCAATTTTTATAGTAGTTGATATTAGACTTAATTATATTTTTGATCTTATAAACATAGAACATTTTATAATAAGTTTTTATAAATTTTTTTGTTAGGATGTAGTCCCTGAAAAGTTAAAAATTTAGAATTTAGTTATTTTCATTAACTCTTTTTATGTTAAGTGCTAAATTGGCTAACAGAAAACTAGTTCAACATTCTCACGTGATATCACGTAGCATGTCATGTTATTTATTTATTATTTAAAATTAATATTTACAAATGAATCATTAACACATTTTTAATATTTACAAAAATGCTTTCTTATATTTTCCTTTCTCCTTCCTCTCTCTATTGTATACCCTTCCCCCTACCCCATCCTCATTCTAGTATTCTCCCTTTTATATCATCCCAACTCACACCTTCCTCCTAACTCCACTCCTATACATTCTCTTTTACCTTACTCTTCTCTCTCTCTCCTTTACCCCACCCCAGCCTCATTAATGTACCTTCCTCCCATTATCACCCCTCTTCCATATTTTGTACCCTCTCCAAACTCTCAACCTCTCTCCCAATCCCGTTTCCATGCCTCCCCTTACCCTAAATAAGTGTGAGCTGCAAAATAATTTGTAGATAAAGCTAAACTCCACAGTTAGCGCTTGCTAATGGAAGGGGTGTGGGTAGTGGGAGAGATGTGCATGTTAGAGTTGGGATGGATAGTGAAGAGGGAGATGAAAAAGGTATGAGAATTGGAGTTGGGGTTAGGATTAATATGTGAGAAAGGGTTGAGGTTTGCTAACAAAAAATATTACACTCGTTCAAGAGCCAAATTTAAATTGGGATGGATTATTCTAATCAAATTATACATTTTTTTTACTAATTGAATAGCATGTTAATATAGGAAAAGAGTAGGTAATAGTGATATGTACAAATGAACATGAAAATTGAGTTCTTAAGTGACATCTTCAAGGTCTGGGATGTAGGACTGGAGAACACGTTGGTGGGCTTGCTCGAATTTGACTTTGAGATAATCATTAAACTCACTAATGCCAGCCTTAAGGAATGAAATGGTAATGGCTAAAGTAACAAGAAGATTAAAGCAACCTTGATTGCACTTTCTACCATTATTTTTAAGACTTGTTTTTAATTCTTTATTCTTTTTTGCTATAACCTTAGCTGATTATGCCCCTTTTATATATATTTTTTAAATAAAAATCTTACCCGTGTAGATAGGGGAAAAGGTATAAAGGTTAGAGTTGAGGTGTATTATGGAAAGAGAAATGGAAGGAGTGTAAGGTGGAAGTAAGAGAAGAGTGGAAGTGAGAAATAGGTACTAGAAGAGGTGGGGTGGGGTGGGGTGTAAGAAAGAGGAAGAGGAAAATGTGCAAGTGAAAGTTAGGGAGAGAAAAAAGGTAAGGTTGGGAAAAAGGGAGAGTAGAGGTTGAAATTTGAGTAGGAGTTGGAGTGAAGAAGGTAGAAGTTAAGGTTGAGGGTTAGAAGTGGAATTGCTACTGAGGATAGGAGGTTGGGAGGAAGAAGAAGACTTTTTTACAAATAGATAAAATATGTATAAGGACTTTTTTATAAATAATTATTTTATATAATAAAATATTATTAAATATATGACGTGATATATTACGTGTCAATACTTTCAATTTAATATTTGACGGATTAAATTCAAAATTTTTAATTTTTAAGGATTCAATTTTAACAAATTTTTTTAATAAAAACTTATTACAAAATGATTCATATTTATAGAAAAAAAATATAATTAAGCTTTAATATTATGTCATTTGAATCAACAAACCTTTTATTTGGCTCTATAGTATTTTTCTTTCACAATAAAATAGATGTATTTTAATGTTTTTCTCTTTTTTTCATCTCAATTTTTATTTCTTTCACTTTATACTATTTCTAATAACAAAATAGGTGAATAATATTAATTATAAACAACATAATATCGTAACTTCTTTTTCAATAAAGAAAAATTATAAAATTTTAATAGAGTATTATAAACATTGTTTAATATTGTTTTTTAAAATAATTAAAAACGTGTACTAAATTGTAATAACCATTGATTGATGATGAATATTTTAAATATTTATTGGCAAGACTCACTGGTGGGAGTATTGTTGAAGAAGAAGAAAGAGGAAATATTCTTGTAGAAGAAGAAGAAAGATGAAATATATTAACTTGTGGGAAAAGGGACCATGGGGAGAACATAAGGCAACAAAGGGAAATGAAATCCAACTAAGCAGGATACTCAAAACAATGCCTTATTTGGCAAAGAAAAGCAGAAAAAAAAAAACACTTGGCTGGTTCATAAGGAAAGAACATCATATGTATTAATGAAGCCCCACGAAAACCATGGGCGTGTAATACATTCCCCCCATCCCTGCCCACAGCCACAGCCCCACACCCTCTTTCTTCACATTCATACTCAAAGCAAAACGAGAAAAACCAATGAATGATTTTGGAGCATTGGAGAGAGGAAGGGGTTGCTCCCCAATATAGGGAGCTCCATTGTTCTTTATCAGCACACACCTTCGTGTCCTCATTCGTCCATTTGCACGCGGTTTTCCTCCTCCAACAATGCCTTGTTTGTAATGAATAACACCATAGAAACGCCTACCCCTCACCTTTTTCATGTTTAGTTTCTTCCCTTTTAAGCTTATCTAATCCTCCTCATTGCTTTTACCTCTATACCCCTTCCTTTTATCACATACCACAAAACACCCGTCTCATGGTTCTCCTTGTAATTCATTTCTGCATGCAGGGCAATCATCCAACTCCAAGTACAGCCAAAATAATCCCCCCTCCTTTTCACCAAACCAAAATTACCAAAAGGGAAAAAAACAAGAAAAACCCACCACATTGCAAAACCACTGTTCTAGTGAGCAAACCAACGTTTTATTACCACCCTCAATATAATTACTTGGTGGCTTGGTTGGTGCTAATAAATACTCCTTACAATCACCACACTTCCACAGTGTATACAGCCACCATGAAACTGAGTTGCAATGGGTGTCGCATTCTCCGTAAAGGCTGCAGCGAAGACTGCATCATTAGGCCTTGCCTTGAGTGGATCAACTCTCCTGAGTCCCAAGCCAACGCCACCCTTTTCCTTGCCAAATTCTATGGCCGTGCTGGCTTGCTCAACCTCATCAATGCTGCACAGCCACACCTTCGCGCAGGTCATCATCACTCATATTCACCATCCTTCAAACAGTACTATTTACGATTCATTTACTCTTTTTTTAGTTTTACAAATTCCTATTTTTGAATGAAAATTCCAGTTCCATCCCCTCTTAGATTTCAATTTTTATAATTTTATTGTTTTAGATTACATAATCAGTTTTTTTTTTCAATCACGACCTTGTGGAATCCTTACCTCTCTTCCTCAAAGATCGATGTTGAATTTTGAATTAGTTGAACTTGTACTAATTAAAAATTGATCTAGAAACTCGTTGAAAAACGGTTCTTCTTTTCATTTTTTTATTGAAATATTATTTTTATTCCCAACAATGGACGGTCTCAAGATACAATTTCATCAATTGAATTAACTAATACTTTTTCACTTTTGCTTTTAATGAATACTCGTTTTCATTAAAATTCTTTGTGTACATATGTTTTCCAATTTTCATTTAATAATAATAATATTAAATATATTAATGAAATAATAAAATTGAAAATTTTCAGCTGTGTTCAAGTCACTGATGTATGAGGCATGTGGGAGAATTGTGAACCCAGCTTATGGGGCACTGGGTTTGTTCTGGACCGGGGAGTGGGCCCGATGTCAAACAGCGGTCGATGCAGTGCTGAATGGCTCCGAAATCATTACCGTGGAACCTTCTGATTGGGAGGGTATGAGGACACGTGGCAGTGAGCATGGTTCTCCTGTTCTTGACATTCGCCACGTGTCCAAGAGAACAGGGAATGTGATTCGGCCCAAGCCGCGAATCGGCTCAGTTGACTCGGCTGCGCTGTGGAATCCAGTCTGTGGGGAAGAGCAAAGAGGGCGCGAGAGATGTAGGAGCCGGGAAACGTACGAGGCCTCTTTGATTAGGCGAGACAAGCAGAGCCGAAACGGTGTAGCCGAGTTGAATTTGGAGCTCACTCTTGGCTCAGGCTTTTCAGCCAGCTCAGTGTCGAGCGTTAGAGGATACGGTCGTGTTTAATAGTTGTTTTATTGAGCTTTTATTTTTTGATGTTGGACATTAGAAACAAACGCAAATGTTGGAGGGGCTTTAATTAAGTGTATATTGGGGAGTCGAGCAAATACTCATATTAAATGTACCTTTTTTTTTATTTTTTATTTCAACTATAATAATATAAAGCTTCATGATTAGAACAGTCCACAATTTTTTTAAACTTTTTGTCTACGGATATTTTAATTGCTTATTTTATAATAAACATTTATGTAGTGGGAGGTTTTCTTTCTTTTTTCTTTTATCCAAATTAGGGTTAATTTTATACATTTGTTTTTTATATATAAAAACAATACAAAATATTTTAATTAATATTATTATCATTGTAATTCCTATAAATTTTGTCAAGTACAAAATAATTGACTATAATTAAGGAATTTATTAAAAGCAAGATATATAAGATATTTTTTTCTTGTTCAAAACTAATTAAGGATTAGTTTCGTAATTTTAATTTTATATTAAAATTATTATTTTATTGTTAAAAAATATTATCATAATCAACGTTGGCAGTATTGTTCCTGTAATTAATATTGTTATAATTGCTAATATAATTACCTTCATTAACATTATTATTATAATTAACATGACTATAGCTTGTTTGAACACATAACTATCATTATTGATTGTGTATAGAAAATGTTCGCTTCTAGAAATTCTCTTGTGTAAACTTTATTAGAGATATTAGGTGTCAAATTACTGTACAAAATTTATTTCCTATTTTCACTTTTTATTTTATTAGTTATCAATAATATATTTAATTCTTTAAATTTAATAGAGAGCTATAACCAAAATAAATGTATTATTAATTAATTGCAAATCACGAGAGAATTTTCGAAAGCTGCCATATCTTTTAATTTTTTTAACTCCTTAATTAATTAATTAATGTTTCACTCTTTAATTATATGTGGCATTGTTAATGTTAATTAAAGTAAATTTGTATAATAGAACTAAGAGAACTATCACGTATTTATTTATTATCTTTTTTCAGTATTCTATTTGTATTGAATAAAATAAATAAATAATTTATATTTACAGATAATACAAATTATTTAAATTATAGAATCATTTTATAGGAATATAAAATAAGTAATTTAATTAAAATGTTATTTCGCTATAAATATGGTTTTTTTAAGATATAAATAAGTTAACAAAATTTTATTAGTCAAATTTGGCTTCAATTTATTGTGGAAATTTTATTGTCTTCTTTTTAAAGAATAATGAATCTTTTATTAATTAATAATAAATATTAAATTTATATTTGATAATCATTAATTTTGTATAATAAATATTTTATATTTTATGTGATAAATTATCTATTATATAAATATATATTTTAAGTTAAAATTATTAATAAAATATTCATTATTACATAATAGATCAAATTTATTTAATTTATAATATTAAAAAATTATAAGTCATTTAAAAAATAATTGTTATATTTATATTATTAGCATAATTTTTTTTTATTTTATCATAAAATAAAAATGTTTACTTTAAAAATCATAATAATTTTATAATGAAATAAAGTTAATAACAACTTTTTAAATATTAGTAATATTGATGTATTTTTTTTAAATTTAATATAATTTGAAATAATTTATTAATTTAATTATTGAATAGCTTAATTTGTATATTATTTTAATAAATTAAATTTTAAAATTTAATATTATAAAATATTTTGTGCATTACACGCATGAGTCTAAAAACTAGTTTACTTCTAGAAATTTATTATAAAATATAATTAAAATAAATATGTTATTGATTGAATTAAAAAATTATTGAAGGAAAATTTTCAACTCTTAACATATCTTTTACTGTGTTTTGTTAACTATTTAATTCATTGATTAAATCTCTTTAATTATTTTTAATGTTATTAGTAATATTTGATAATTATAAAGTGTGTTATATGATCTTAAGCTAAATAAAATTTCATTATTAAATTAAAAAATCTATCATGTATTTATTTATTTTCTATTTTTAACATTCTCTTTGTGTCGTAGAAAATAAATAAAGAATTTAATATTTATATAACATATTTAATTTTTAAATTATAGATAAAATATTATAATAATGTGCAATAAATATATTAATTAAATTATTAATTTATTATAAATAATTTTATTTCTTTTTTTATAAGACATGAAAAATTTAGTGAAATATGACATAATGATATTTTAATATTTAAATCGTAGGGTAAAATTTTGAGTTACTAAGTGTTTTATATAATTATATTTTTCAATATATGTATATATATATATATATATATATATATATATATATTAAGTTACATAATTTTAAATATATAAATTATAAAAAAGATGCATTCATAATTTTTATTATTATACAATAAAAATAAAATTTTTGTTAAACTCAACTCTAAAGACTGAGTATAAGCAATTAATAATAATAAAAATTTATTAAAAATAAAATTATTTATTATATTTTTAAAACTTTAATACAATAACTGTATATTTTTTTATAAAACTTTTTTATTTGTAAATGTTTAAACTTAGTCCTAAAGTTAATAAAATTCTAAAAATAAATTATTAAATTAATAAAATTAACTTTTAAAAAATATTATTAGACTTATTTTTTTATTAAATTTGACTCATAACATTATTTAATGCTAATCCATTTTTAAATAAAATATAATATTACCATGTACATAGGAAAGGTCACCTCGTCAAATTTTATACATGGTTTTATTGTTAAGTGTCCTATTATATAGATGTTTTGTGGTATTTTTTTTTTTTTTTAATGTGTGTTATGTAGTACGTTTTCTTAGAAGTATTTAAGTAAAATAAAACATTAATTAATGAATTTTTTGTTTTAATATAATAAATAATAAAATAAATAGAATAGTATATTTATATTATTATGTTATTATATTAATCAATGTTATTATTTTTTTAACATCATTATTTCTTATAAAAATATAAATATAATAAAATAAAATATTTATATTAATTGAATAGTTTAAAGGATGAAAAATGATTCATTAATAGAAATGAAATTATAATGTTTATAAAATAATTTAAATAAAATATTTAGATTATTTAATTTATGTTTTTCTATTTTAAAAATTAAAAGTATTATTTTACTTGTTGTTAAATAAGATAGTAAATGTATGGTTATAGATCTTAGTAATTGTAAATTTTTAAACTACCCATTTTGCATAAATTTAGATGAATAAGTTGAATATATTCTATTCTAATGTTGGGGTCTTAATATCTTATCAATTAATATATAAAGAATTGAAAATTATAAAAGTTTAGGAAGTTTGAAAATGCTTTTAATAATTTTTTTTCTTTTCCAAATAATGATATTTTAGTAATGTTATCATGTTATTTAACACACACTAGAAATTAGGTGAAAAAAGTAGTTCTAAATTATTGTACCTCCTTATTAGGTGCATTGAATGACAATAATGATGAAAGTAATCTTAGAATATTAATAATAACTTTTAGATAAATAACTAAGTATAGCATAATTGTAAAATTAATAAAATGAAATGTTTTATTTTTCTTCTATTACACAATATTAGTGCAATTCTATTTTTTTTTTCAGTAAATTTAACTCTTTCAATTTTCGCACTTTGTAGCAAAGCACCCTAAAAATATACATAAATAAATTAAGATAGAACTCAGTTTTTTTATTATCCCTTACAAAGCAATAGAAAGTAGTTCTAGCATTAAAAATGACAATAAATGAGATTTTAATGGGGATATCTTTTGTTTACGAATACAACATGAAATATTGTATTTACAATGATTGGAAATTTATCATTTTTTAATATATCATAAAATAACTTATTTTACAGCAAATATTGTAAAACAAGAAAGAAACAGATATCTCCTCCCATTTTGCTTAATGTTGAGGCCATAAATTTTGTCAATGTTATTCTATCAAGTCTATCCAAGATTTTATGTTATTTTTGGATTTTGTTTTCAACTAAATTACTGTCTCAATAAATTGGGGAAAAAAAAACTTCTTCCATGTGTTTTTAATCACCCCATTTACTGCTAGACTCTTTTATTTATTTATTTATTATTATTATTAAAAATGACTTCATATATTTAACTTGATTTAGAATCAATGATTCAACTAATCGACAAGTTGTAAGTCATAATTCTTTAGTTTTGTGAAATAAGAAATGTTAATCACCCATATAAAAATATTATTTTCCAATATCATGTTTTAATTAAATGACGATATGGCAAGAAAGACGTACGTGTGAATTGACTACAAGTAACAAGTACATAATCTAAATAAAAAGCCAAATCCTAACCCACATAAAACATCTCTAATTTGAATATATTCTTAATAATGCATAATAAATTTTCACCCCATCCCATAAATTATCCAACTCTTCTTCTATACGAGATTTTTGAAAAAATATCAATATTATTTCTAGGTCATTATGGTCCAAGAATGAGAAAAAAAGACATAACGAAAAATTCTTGCTTAATTCACGGCCATGGTGGAAAATTATATGAAAAATTTAATTCTCACAATGAGTTGGGTTAACGTTACTTAACCTATTTAATTCTCTATATGTAGGTCATAAAGTAAAATTAAATTTTAACATGAATGCCACATGTTACAGAGAAAAGAAGTCTAAATTAATGAGACTTGATTAAATGTTATTAGGATCTATAGGGAGATTTCATGTTATAAGTATTAACAAAGAAAAAATGGTATATGATATCTTTCATTATAACAAATGAAATCATCTAAAATTTAGCAGAGAACTAGCCGTTTAATAGAACAATGAATTGAGTTACCTAACCAATTTAATTATGTAAGTGTAAACCATAAATCGCAACTAAATTGTACCCTCCAATACCACGTAGTGTGGAGAAGATTAAATGATTGATTACATGTTAGGATATAGAAATCTTATGTTTGAAGTAAAATAAGAAAAAAGGGTTATGATCAATTTTTCATATTTAACTAGTGAAAATACAGGGAAAAATTATTATTTATTTACTCCTTAGTCAATTTCAACAATTATTAAAAAATAATTATAAATAGATATTCAAATAAGGTTTAAAGAAAAATTAAATTTAAGGTCACACTTTGAATCTCTTATTTTGATTAATATGAAATTATGAAATTTTTTAATATATTACTCATAATAATATTTAAAGAAAATTTTCAATTAATTTTAAAAGAAATTTACAAGATACTTATTTAATTAGCTTTAAGTGAATTTTAATACTTATAAAAGAATTAACGTAAAAGTTAGACGACTATTAAATTTAAAAAAGTTAAATAATAATATTAAGATCAACGTTAAATTTTAAATATTAAAAAATACTAATTTTGTCTAATATCTAATTTCATTTAATGGTGCTGTTTGCTGCCTTCTTTGGACAAATCTCGTGTATCGTGGTCTTATAATCATTTCAAACATTGCTGAAGTGACAAGCGGAAATCTTAACTTTCGGTCTTACTAAGAAACGTCTTTGTTGACTTTTTAATATACTATTTTTAATTAATTAAAATTATAAAAGTATAATTTTTTAATTAAATTCCAAATAAAAAATAAAAATAAATATTTTTCATAATTTTTAATAATAAATAAGAATATGTTAAAAAAATATATTACTAATATTTTTTAAGTTAAATTTGTATATACATTCTGATATTAACAAATTAAAGAAACGTTGTTATCAAGTTTTGTCGTCTCAATATAATTGTTAATTATTAATTAAAATTTATTAAAAATTTAAAAATATGTAATTTTTAATTTAAAAAATTGTATCGATGATTATATAATTTATAATAAAATTTAATCGATAATTAAAAAATTAAAAGTATATTCTTAACACTAACAAGTTAATGATTTGAAGCAAAAAATGAAGGGTAAAGCAGTGCATGGTAGCTTATTTGTATTCATATATTTTAAATCGCTATTTGTTTGGCAAAGGAAGAGTTGGTGGTGGCACTGCCACAAAGGAAGCTGTCTTTACAAACCTCCCTTTCATTCTGGGTCTCTTCTCTGCATTCAATTTTCTAACCTCATACCTTATTTTCTTCGAGAACAACCTTGTACGTCGCTTTTCTCTATATCGTGATACTCTCGCTTCTCTTCCCCCGTCTTCCATTGCTGCACCATAAGGTCTGTGAAGCTCCATTCCCCATCTTCTCTGCTAAAATATTAGCATAAATTTCTTTGTCAAACATAATCAAAATCATCTACCTGCGTTTACTTCTTTACTCCTATATAGCTTTACTGAACTGTTCAAAATCAGATAAATTTCCACCCAAAATAAGATCAGATACAGGCCCTGTATTATACTAGGTCAAGGGTTGAAGTAACTTACAATTTTTTTTATATAATTTTATTATATCCATCTATTCATAATTTTACTAACTCCTTACTACTTTATAAAATATGTATTAAATAAAAAATTATACTTTTTATTTAATAATTAAAAGAATTTATAAGAATAAGAGGTTTTAAATATTAAAATAAGGATTTAATGCATATTATAAATGTTCTCAAAATAGTAATATTTTATGGTAGGACATTAATAAGCAAGCTTCTAAGGGGAAAAAAAGGAAAGAAGATTTGCTCTTGCAACGCGAGCCGACCTCATAGACAAAGTAAATATATAATTTAAAAGAAAGGTTAATTGTATTTTAGTTTTCATATGTACATTTATGTATAATTTTAATTATTTAAATTTTAGTCTTCTTAATTTTTAAATTTTTAAATTAATTTATAATTTCTAAATTTCATTTTTAATAATAACAAAAATACAGTATATGTAACTTAATATAAATTAAAATATAAAATGCTTAAATTAAAAGTAACTAACATGTATAAATTTAATTGAAACATTATATATATATATATATATATATATATATATAAATTATTTTTTAAACATTTTTAAAAAGTATATACATATTAACAATATATCATATTTTTGTTAGGTTTTTATTAACTATTAGATAAAATCTCGAAATAAGAAAATTAATTTAAACAGTTAAAATATTATAAAAACAAAATATGAATTATTAAAGATAAAGGAAATAAAACTGTACATAACTTAAACTAAGAAGCCTAAAAATAGACATTTTAAGTCTGAAGAATGAAAAACAAAGCATAAAGGGTGAACTCAAATACCATGCTGTGATCCGAAACCAAGTGTGGTTTATCCGCAGAAGTCCACGGAGATTTTTGGGTTGCCCAAGCAGTGATTACAGCTTCATAATCCAACTGCAGCAATAGTATCTTCTTTGTCGTTTCTTCGTCATTAATCTCTTTGAGTTCCCCACCATTATTGATCTCATCCAAACCAATCTTCTCCTTCACCTCTTCACATGTTAAAGGAGCATCGTCACAATCAAATCCCAATTCAAATGCTTCCTCTGTCCCCATCATCATCATCTCCACCTTCACTTTTCCACTATCCTCACAACACTCCCACGAAGAATGTTCATATTCATATTCTTTGCCATCAGCTAGCCCCAACCCTTCCATTCCCACGCACTCATTCTCCACTCCTTTACCCAACAAAATCTCAACATCAGGATCAAACTCAGCAACTTCAATCTCCGATGAAACAAACAAACCATGATTATTGTCACAAACGGGCACTCTATAAAGAACCTGTTCCACGCCCTCTTCGTGGGAATTCATATCATCGTAACCCACTTCAGGTACCACATCGAATGGGTTCTTCAAAGTGTGCTTTCCGTCTCCACGTGGCGTCTGAGGTTTCTTGGCGAATCCTTTGTGCCACGACGGAGCACAGTTAATATTATTGAGTGACTTAAACGACGTCGTTTTCAAGCGAACCCGTCCATGTCTACGCGCTAACGGGTTAGCCGTGTGAACGGAATAGTCGCAGTGTTGGCAGAGGAAAGCATCGTCGGCGGCACAGTACCAACATGCTCGCTTTCTGGCGCAGAAATCGCACGCTCTTGCCGTTTTGGCGCTAACAGCGTTTGCCTCGGTCTTGGTGAAAATCATTATTAGAAGAGTGGTGGTTGAAAAACTGGGTTTTGAAATGAAACGAGTTTATAAGATGGTAGTTAGCGAAACAAACGATCGAGAATGGAAAGTAGAGTCTTGAGCTAGATGGGTGTTATGTTATTGGGGTCCTTCTGAATGAAATGGTGTTGGGTATGGATTGGTTTATGGAGACTTTTGCTAGCAGCATATGCAGAAAAAGTGAAATGGTAGAGAGTAGTTTAAGAAACTTGTACCAGACCACCAGTACAATAATTTTAGGGTGGAATGGGTTAGGGATGGCGTGTACATGTGTGTCCGTGTGACCCACACGCAGCACTTTTGCAGGGGTAGATATTTAACACAATCTAAATAAGATATATATATATATATATATATATATATATATATATATATATATATATATATATATATGCACAGTTGAGAAATTACTAAATAATATTTTTATAAAAATTATACTAAAATTATAAATGAAATGATTATTATAATTCATAATAAAAAAATTATTCTTAAGTAAAATTTTTAGGATATTGATTAATATTTTTTAAATAATTTTATAAATACTAAGAAATTTTATATTGACTGAATATAATTAAGATGTTTTTTAAGGCTTAACTAATCTTTCTTACGTGAAAAAATTTATTGATATGAGCTTTTGTTGTAATATAGTTATTTGTATTTTGCAAAATTAGTTTTTTACATGAGAAAATAGTCTAAAAAGGCATTTATTTAAAAACAAGAGAAAATATGATAAAAATATGAACTTTTTAGACATCGTATTATGGAATAATTGAAAATGTTATGATCGTTTAACACATATTTCACATTGTTCACATTCTATTTACTAGCTAATTACATGGGCATAAAAGTGCTTGGCCTAGAGTTTGCACTTTTGGGAGGTTTTCCACAGTAGAGGTTGTGCTTTTGGGTCCACAAGAATGCCTTATCTGGTTTTTAATTGGTGGATCTTATAAACTTGATCCAAATCTCTGCCATCTTATTGGTTGGGCCACTAAGCAGAGGGATTTCTAGTGGTGACCCACGTTGGCTGTGGATGAACATTAGCTTCCTTTGATCCCACATTACAAATTTTCTCTTGCTTGCTAGAAATTTGAATGACACTCACCGTAGGCTACCCCGAACTTTTTCTCAGTGGTCCCTCATCCTATTCCTTCTCTCTTCCCTTCTGCATCCGTTTCAACTTTCTGCGACAGCATCGTCAATTGAACCGTGGCAGCTAAAAGTTGAAAATTTGTTACTTAGAAGCCTTCCTAGATGTATACGTTCAGAGAAAAAAGAAGAGAAGGGAGAGATATAATAAATATAGCAAGTGACATAACATAATAAAAGAAAAAAATATTGACATTGTTGAGTCATATAAAAATTAAATTCTTCGGTTCGTCTTATATAATTTTGAGATATTAACGTGGATATAAATATAAATATGCAGGAAGATACTCAGACCAATGTGGCTTGATTATTTTTCAGGCAATTCAAACACTATCACGAATAATAGTTACTTCATCCTATTATTTGATTTTTGCATATAATATATTTTTATAAATGTTAAATTTTGAATAATATTATCTATAAATATTTAAATCATGTTAACTTTAATATATAAGATCATAAAAATAAAAATAAGGTAAGATAGTTATGATTAAATTAACGTTACTTCTGGGTTATATTCAAAGAACGCTATGCTTTGACAAACACCAACAAAGAGTAGGTGCAATGTTGACCAGGTTGGGTCTTTACAAGGATGAATATAGTTTAATTCTTCAATAAAGCAATTGTTGAAAGGGTCTTTTGGTTAAAAGAAAAATTAGTCTCACGTATAGTATACCTTAGAAGTTAAACATGTACCTGGTGGGTCCATTTTTTTCACTCAATCTAAATATACCTTATTGCTAAAGCTCACATGATTGATGCAAAGGTATCTCTACCCGTGGTTGTAAGCTCTTAAACTCAAATCTGATTACAGTCTTGATGCTCATCTTTTTCACTCTATTGTAGGTGACATTTAATTTGCTACTCTCACTCAGCTAGAAATAGTTTATGCTGTAAACAAGGTTTTCCAGTTTCTTTCCCAACTATTACAGACTCATTGGTGTGTTGTCAAATGTATTCTTTGATATCAAAGGAACTATTTCTCAGCGCTACTTCTTCAACCTGCTCAACATCACAATTTTCACGCTATTTGTGCTTACTATAACAATGGTTGGGCCACTAATCCAAATAATCACCGCTCTAAATCTAGATCCGACATCATCTAAGGATCGAATCTGATTATTGGTGATCAAAGAAATAAACATTGGCTGTAGAACACATGTCTATCGTTAATTAGCCTATTTGCGCAAAACCAAACATGCAGATTAAAATTAGCCTATTTACATTTTCTCTCTCTTTCTGTCTGTTTTCTCTCTTTCCTATTTTGTGAGAATCGTCATTGTAACAATGATTTAATTAATCTATAGTGGTCTGGACTTCTCAATACTAGAACTAAGTTGAGAATAAAAATATTCCCATTCATGACATAACTGATTAATAGGAATGCTTATGAACATGAACAAATTGTTGACCTGTGTTGATTTATCGAAGGAATGAGGCTTATACCAAGCTTTTGTGTTACGTATGAAGTTATCTTTCAATTCCTATGGAAAAGAAACGACACACTTTCAACTGAATCAATAAGCTTCAAAAAACTAAAAATTTTAAACTAAAGAAATACAGACAATGCCTTGTGGTAGTTCGTCAAAAACAATTACATCTACAGCACAATTAAGATTTTTCTCTTAAAGCATTTGATATAATTTGAATGGTGGATGGTGTAGTCCTGCAACAACCACCTATTATTTTGGCTCCCAAATCACGCCACTTTGTTGCATGAAATCCAAAATCATCATCGTGAAAACACTTAGATGGCTGTCAATTAAAACAAACAGGAAAATAAAGTCTAATTACTTATGAAACATAGCAATTAACGAACATGTCACAGGTGAGACGGTATGTCTTTGAGTGTGCATGTCTGTGTGAAAAAGAGAAAGAGAGACCGAGAGAAGCATTACTTACTAGCCATTTCTTGGCTTTACCATCCCATACTTCCCCACTATTGGGATAAACAATGATGGCCTTCTTTGTCAACTGGAAATATAAGATTATAAACTTTTACTCTCTGATCATAAAAACTAATTCTAGTATTCAAATTAATGACATGAGATTCAACAGTTACCTGCTTAAATTTGCAGATGAGATTTTCCATAAAATGGGGAGGTGCACAGTTTATACCAACTGCTTCTACTTTATTACTCTTATTTATTACTTCAAGACAGTCTTCGAAACTCTCTCCTGAGGGAGCATTTTCACCATCTACAGTGGTAAAACAGATCCAACATGGGATTTGAACACTTTCTTCTTCAAGCAATTCGACACAAGCCTGCAATAGGATAATTTGATAATGAATACCACAAAAGATTTCTAAACTGTAAAAATTAGTTAAACTAGAATTGAAAAAGTGGAAAGTAAAACGTTCAGCTTGGTAGTAAAAGAATTAGAAACAGTACATTAGCAATCATACTAGGGATTGGTTAATTAAAACATTAGGCCTAAATTTAATTTAAAAATCTTAATGAACATATAAAAAAAACGAAAAAATAAAAACACATCTTAATGATGGAATTAGCTTACACACATTTACATGAACATGATGACTTCTGTTTCAGGCAAGATGAATGACTATCAGGTGATTAGAAAGCCAAGATACAACTTTCCTTTCCATACATAAATATAAATGTCTCGTCTCAACATTATCAATAGTACCTATGCACAATAATTGTGAGACTAATTGAATTGTGGGAAGAAAATGTGAGGAAATGGTTCAGGCATTGGAACATGAGAAATGCTAGCAAAACACTATTTATAATCGGTCCATTTTTTAAAAAGTCAAAACACTGGCTTCATAAATTGATCACTTTTTAAAAAATGCTTTGACTTTTTACAAAATTGAACAATCACAAAAAGTATGTTGCTAGCATTTCTCTGGAACAATTTAGAAATGATCATGGTTTGATATTTTCTAAGAATAACTTAACTCCCAAATAAGATAATACTCATAATAGTCCTTAAATATATGCTGCTTCATTCTGTTTTCTACTATGGAAGCAACTTCCAAAACTAAAAATTCTATTTTGGGTCCACCTTCATAGATTGTAGACTGAGATATCCAAATTCTAACAAATCAAGGATTCTTAAGGCATTAGCAAAGTTGACGTTAACGTATGACACACTGTTGATAGGAAAGATGCTGTCACGTGAAATCAATGCTCTGAAATGATTAAGTTTGAAAAAAGAAATTAGTCATGGTTTTGGTGCTGTTTTATTAGATAAATTATTAGTATAAATCGTTATTAGCCTGCTGGTTTGGCTGCTCATAGCCTGTTGTTTATTTTATCATACGCTCCTGATATCAACCAACAAGGGCAGGGTCAAGGTTTGTGTGAATATTTCTTTCTCCTGGGCATTGCTAATTTCAGGTAGTTTCACACTGACATTCTTGTGGGTTTTACTAATCAGGAATTTCTCAAAGTTAGGATTAAAATGGCATCCTATGTTTCTTGTAAATTAATTATTAAGAATTTACCTTAAGAACAGATTCCAATCTCTATATCATCTTTCACCTTTTAGATAGAAAAAAATCGGTCTCAAGATATAAAAGAGGTTTAAACAAGAAGAGAGAGATACTTCAGTGTTTTAGAATTTAGATGAGGATGAAAAAGATCAATGTAAGAGGTAATTTTCAATTTTGGTTTTGATGCTTTCTCTATTATCAAGGAATTTAAAAATTTTGGTATCAAATATTTTGTGTTTGGTGTTTCTTTAATTGATTACAGTGCAGCATAAAGGACTACCATTACAACAGTGCCAAAGGCAAAGAGATTACAGTAAGCAAAAAAGAACAAATTTTACAACTCAAACAAAACTCAGTGTTTATGTTCAGTGGATTTAAAGAAACAAAAGCAGGACTGTAAGAGATTTGATCAAACACTACTCATTTTGAAAACAAAGTGTCATTAGAGAATTGAGAGAAGTGGAAAAACAACAGAATTGAAAATTTCCAGTTTCGTGGTGTTCCTAAAATTTATAATGTGGTGCAAGAAAGATAAGAGTTGTCTAGGTTTGCAGTAACTTAAGAAATTACAGCAAGGTATACTTATCTATGAAACACGCTTATTGGAAAATGGAAAAAGAAAACAACAAGACCTTAGCTTCAAGTTTGTTTGGAATGGTCTCAAAAGCAAGCAAATCCGGACCCGCTTCAACAAGAACTTGCAATCTGCGGCGATGAAAATTCTTCAACTTCTCCAAATTCACATTGGGTCCATATAAGCCTCTACAAAAAGATATTAATACCAATAAACTCAGTGTACACACTAAAACTATACAAAGCAGTTCCACCGCAAGATGGATAGGTACCAAACCATCAAATTTTGGGGAGTGTAGAAGCACCTGTATTCCGAGCCATCAGCAAGGTAAGCTCCATAGCTTCCGATGGAGGCTGCAACCAAAGCTCTTCTGTATTTATTCCCTGGATTTCTTTTAGCTGAATTCCAGAAACTATCACGAGCTTCAACTGCCAATTTGACACTCCTCCCTAATAGTGATTCCCCTTCTTCAATGGATAGCCCTTTGGACAAAAATCCAGGCAGTGTAGCCTATAATTATAGAATTTTCTATAAGCAAACAATAAAATTGCAGACAATGCATGAGTATATGTATGAACAACCAAATGTTCTGAACTTTTCTGCTGCAATATTAAGATTTCATCCTAAGTATATAGATCCAAAATGTCATCACCGGAAGCCATGAAATTTGTAAACCACAAGCAAATGCTTCACAAGTCAGGTTAATTGGCAGGATAGAAGGTAACCCTTCTGTTTATTCCAAATTGTCTATGGCTCAATCATTTCATTTATAGAGTGCAGAGCACTATTTTTTTTTAATCCACGGTCAGAAACCACGAGATGTCCTCAAGCCCAAGAGCCCAAAACTAATCCCCGCTCATGGTTCGTGGCTAACCTAAAAAAAGTAACGTGATAATAAATAACATAATAATAACAGGAAAGAAGGACCCTCTAGTTCATTCCAAATTGTCTAAGGTTCAATCTTATAGACCACAGAGGATTATTTATTTAACCACAAATTTCCCTATACATCCAATTCACATGATAGCAACACACTTTTTTTTTATCGAGTCCATTGCAATTATTCATTTTGTGTATAAAAAGCATAGATCTAAACTAAACTCCCAGCATTAGATTACATAATAAGAATGAAGAAGCAAAGCAAGTATAAAAAATTATAAGTGCATGACTGCAGGCTATGTGCAAAATCACATACTTTACCTGGTATGATGAAGTAACCAATATATTAGCACCAGCCTCCAAGTATTCCAAGTGGACCTAAAAATAAACAGATAAAATCCAAGCGAGATTTATTATCCGAAGAGGAAAATATAATAATGAATGTAAAGCAAGGACAGGGGAAGGACACAGAAAATGATAATTAATTTTAAAAAAAAAAAAAAACCTTTTTGATAAGATGTGGGTCTTTAATCAAAAAGAGAGCACTCCAAAGAGGGTCATTGATGGAGGCGCCATGAGTTTCGAGCTGCGTGGCGAATCCTCCGTCAATGACAGCACAACCTCCACCATTCTCAATCAGATCATGAAGCATTTGCATCGTCTCGCTCTTCATTTTCTTCGACGACGCGGTTTCTGTGAGGCCGTGATTTCAACTGAACAGAACAGAGCACGTTAGAACGGGAGAGACGGGTGGGAGTTGTTGGGAGTTGTAGGTATGAATACGGACGAAATAGCATTCAGGTTCTTCTTCTTCTTCTTCTCCTTTCTTTTTCTTCTATAAATAAATTAAGATTCACGTAATCTACCGGCACACCTTCTATAATTTATTATTTATCCATTTTTCAAACGGCTATACAATCAAATTTATTTATAATAAGTTTTTATTGACTTTCGTCATTTTACATTTTAAGAATGAAGTTAAACATATAAAATTTAAAACTTTTATTAGTATAAAAATAATTTATTACATTTTTATAATTTTTAATTATTACCTTTTTTTTAATATAAGTTATTGATGTATTTAGAAAACTCATGGCATAAGTTAGTTGAACTTGAAAGCTTAAAAATTAGCTGAACAAGTCGAAAAGTTAGTTGATTGAATTAAAAATGTTTGATAATATTAGCTATTGAACTAGTTAATAAATATAAAATGACAAATTAAGGAAAGCAATAATTAAGTTTAATTTTTTAAGATAATAAAGGCATGCATTTTTTATTTAATATTTAACTAATACATATTTTTTAGTTGGTAATCTCTAAAATTATTTCTTGAACAAAGACTTCGAGCTTCCATAATTATAAGAAATCAATATTTTAGTTTTCAAAATTATTATTAAGATAAAAAGGTTAAAATCAAGATAAAAAGTTTAAAATCAAGAGAAGAAAGGTTATATTTGTTTTCAAAATAAAATTCTTAACTTCTTAAATGAAATTCTTTTAGAACGTGTAAAAGAAGAAAATTAAAAATATGACATATAAGATTTATACATACTTATCCTTAAAATAATAGTCTATATTTAATTCTTGGTATCAGTTAAGATTTTTACTTTATTAAAAATTTGTATATAAGTAATTTTATAACTTAAATATTCTTATACAATTTTTTGTAGTTTAAATAAACTTTAAGTAGTTTTTTATATACTAACTTTCCGGACAAACAATCACTTTTTAAGTATTATGACTCACAATTTTTGGCTAATACTCATTTTATACAAGAAAGAAAAAATTATTCACAAAAAGAAAGTTGAATGAATAATTTTGTTTTTTATTGTATATTTTGCTCTCTTTTTTTTTTTTTTGTATGGACTTGTCTCTAATTTGTAGTAAATTTATTCAAACTTTATGTTAAATATTATCCTATGTTCATTAAACTTAATAAACTTATATGCTAAAAGATTTTGTTGATGGGTGCAAAGACTTTTTAGAATTTGTAATACTTTCTATGTTTTTTCTTTTTGTTATTTCATAAGGTAGAAGGAAGAGAAAAGATGTGTTTTTGTCATTCATAAATAAAAATAATGTTGATGTTCTTCTTTACAATAGTTCTGCATTTATAGTCAACTTTTTAAATTTTAGTGATTTTTTTAAAAACTTTTGAACTTTGCACTTGCAGCTCTTTACTTGAATATACTTCCTTTTGAGTTAGTCTTGATTTTTAAATTGTCTTTCACATAATATAATTTTTATATATTGATTACTCAAATTTTGAATTTAACCTCAATTAATATAATAAAAAAATTAAAATTTAAACTTTAATTTTAAATTTTTGTTAAAGCAAAAAAAGTTTTCAAACTTTAATTTTGAAGTTTAGTTAAAATGAAAGAAAAATCTAAATTTAATGTTTAAAATTTAATTTTCTTAGAAGGAAAAAGAAAATTTCAAACTTCAAAGTAAAATTTTAATTTCAAATATTGGTCAACTTAAAAGGAAACAATAATTTAAATTTCTAATATTTGGATTAAAATAAAAGGAGAATAACACTAAAACATATCATATTTTACTTTTAAACGTAATTGCTCACACTAAAAAATATCACACACTAAAAATGTAAGATATGTTGCTTTCTAATTTGTAGTACTTGTTTATTTTATTTTACATTTCTTTAACAATATTGAATTCACTTAATTTATTAATTAATTTTTAAATGATATTATATATATATATCTATATTTCAAATGATATTAGTTTGTTAAATAGGTTTTCAATTTGTATAATTATTGTATGATAAGGTTGACTTATTTTCAGTATAGGTAATGTAGATGAATAATAATAAAAAAAAAATTAAATTGATTAAAAAATTACATTAATATTATATATATATATATATATATATATATATATATATATATATATATATGTAGAAGTCCGTACTTTTTCCCGATTATACAAATATTCTAAATTGTAAATCTTAAACTATATAATTAAGTCATTTGTTTTTATAAAAATATATTATTCAATCGGTTGATCACATAGTTTTGGATCATTAAGTCACAAGATATAATATTTAATTAGTACCCATTTTATCAAATATTTTAAGTTAAAATTAGATAATCTCATTTTGAAAATGTGCCAAAGTACTTTTGGAACCTTATCAGCAAAACGATCCTTGTTTTATTTTATAAAATCAATTAAAGATTTGAAGTTAGTGAGATACTATGGTCAATATTACAATTTAAATAGAAAAAAAAAACTACTTGAAATCCATATATTTGAACATATACTAAATCTAAATCTATTTAGTATCATTGTAATCTACATGTTAATAATTTTTATAAATAGTAATATTAGAGAGTAATTATTTAGTAATTATTTTTTATATAATTTTCAAATAACAGTTTTTGAATTATCAGAAAAAGTAGATATTAGAAAATATTTCAATGTTAATCGCTCTTTTAATATATTATTATAAAGTTATTTATATTAAATGTTCTATAAACTCATTTTTAACGTAATGATTTTAAGATAATTTTAATATTTTGTAATTTATTTTTTTCTTTATAAAAAAATGTCATCATTATCTACGTAAATCATATGCTATATATCTGTATCTATATATTTGAAAAATATTTATTTTAGTTGATATATACAATGCTTAAATGTATTTTAAAATAAAAATTTAAATAATTTTTTATTATTGAACTTGTCAATTAATTGACATGAGATTATTTTAATTTATTTATGATTTTGAATTTGAATTGACTTAAATAATATTATTTCTTGTAAAAAAATATTTTAGGTTTAGGTTAAAAGAAACATAATAATTGTTAGAATTAATTCTTAAAAACAGCTTTAAGATATAATTCCTAAGAAATCAAATCAGTGAAAAATTAGTCTGTATAATTAATATTTGTTAATCGCTAAGTTGAATAATAATATTCTAACTTACATTACATTAATTTTTTATTTGTTTAATTTGTTAGGAAGTAAATTTTAACAAAAAGGATTAAAAAATATAACAATTTTATAAAGACCAAAAGTATATTTAAACTAATATTTAATTTAATAGTAACTAATAACCAAAACAAATGATAAAATGGTGTTTATTCTTCACATTACATTAACATGACATTAAATGTATTCTTTTTGCTAATTCATTAAAAAATCCTAATTCAATCAACTAGTTACAAAGCTGTAAGCCTCAGTTACGCAGGATATAAATTTTGAGCTAATTTGACATAGCTGCTAGTTGCAAACTCATAATTTTCAATTAATTATATTCCACAAAGCCTTTATATTTATTTATTTTTTCTTTTTGGTGTGTAAAAGGAACAGAGGACGAAAAAATTGAGTTTCTTCGGTGTTTTTACAAGGTAAATGTAAAATCATTTGTGACTAAAGTACGAACTAGAGTTCTATTTCCCTTACATGATGCACATCTAAGAAATCACATGAGCCCCGATGGGGATTTCTATATGCAAATTGCAAATTCACAACAAGGTCTTTTGATTGTTAACGAAAAAAAAAAAATACAAATACATCGAAAATACAAACAAACTTGAGTAAAGAGTATGAAAAAGGAAGAGAAATATTGTATGGCCACCTCGCTGGAGGGTGAAGAGGCAAGTAAATGATCCTTAGATACTCTTTTTCAGAAGATAACTGAAATCAAAGTAACCCATTAACCGATGAACCTTGAGCCTATAGCTTAACAATCTCAGGAATATGAACTGGGTAGCGATCAATGCAATCATCCCAAGGTCCATCAACAGGTATCTTAATGCTTCTGTTACACTTCCACACAGCACTGTTGCATTTAAACCCACTTCCAAAAGCTATCTGCCATATTCTATCTCCTCTCTTCATTCTCCCTTTGGTCTCTATATAGTTCAATTCATACCACAATGATGAAGAAGAAGTGTTTCCAAACCGATGAAGGGTCATCCTGGAAGCCTCAACATGCTCAGCAGAAAGCTGAAGATTCTTTTGCAACTCATCAATCACAGCACGCCCACCAGCATGTATGCAAAAATGCTCAAAGGCTTGTTTGAAATTAGGGATGTAAGGTTTCCATTTTGGGTTAAAAATTTTCCTTCCAATAAGCGTCATAAGGAAGAGTAACTGTTCTGAAGCAGGAAGCACAAGAGGACCAATTGTAGTTATATTGGATTTTAATGCTTCACCAGCTATGGCCATAAGGTCCTTGGAAAGTGAAATCCCCACTTTCCCTTCTCTGTCTTCCTCTTCAAACACACAATGATACGCTTTGTCATCAGCACCTTTGTGGGTTCGAACCACATGAACTAACCTATACTTTGCTCTCTTACTTTCTGATTTTTTGTTTGATAATAGAATAGCAGCACCACCCATTCTGAATAAACAATTTGGAAGAAGCATGGCTCTTTCATTGCCTTGGTAATAGTTAGGGGTTATGATCTCTGTGCTCACAACGACAGCGTTTGAATTTGGGTGAATTTGAAGAAGGTCACGTGCCAAGTCAATGGAAATAAGGCCTGCACTACAACCCATTCCTGAGAGGTTGAAGCTCTTGATGTTGCTTCTTAGTTTGTACTTATTAATCACCATGGCAGATAAAGATGGGGTTGGAGAAAAGAGGCTACAATTCACTATGAGAATGTCTATGTCATTTGGCTTAAGACTTGTTTTCTTGAACAATGAGTCCATGGTTGAGAAGATAACAAGTTCTGCTTCTTTTCTTGCTGCTTCCGTGGTGGGTTTTGGTGGGATGTAATGGATTGCTGGGGGTAAACATGTTTCTTCTCCCAGGCCAGATCTTTCTAGAATCCTCATTTGAAAGTCTACGCTCTTTGGGTTGTTTTTGAGTATGAGCTTTGAGTGTTCCATGAAGGTGGCGAAAGGTACACGGCATGTGACCGGTGGCTTGAAGCATGCATAATCCACAAGGTAGATTGTGCGTGGCTTTGACATGAAGTAGATGGTAGCTATGATGATGAAGAGGAAGGATGAAGAGAGGATTTGGATGAGGTCAAAGTGAAGGGAGTTCCAAAGCTTGAGGATTTCATTAGGGCCTAAGCGTAGTACCTCTATGATGATGCCAAGCATGATGGGTATGAGGGTGAGGGTTATGATGTGGTTCACAAGGTATTGGTAGCCAAGTTTCACATACTTGAGTCTCACGGAGTTTGAGAAATTGGGCAAGATGGGAGGCATTTTAGCACTTTTGAGGGGAACAAGATGGGTTATTGGCAAGAATATGGGATGTGGTGGGATTCCAGAACGAGGATGAAGAAAATGGTTTGTGATTGGGTAATTGGTAAGAAGTGTGGAGCGGGGAGGTGAGCTTTTAAAGGCATAAGGGGCAATGCAATGAAGGTTGCAGATGAGGGAATTAAATGAAAGAGTCCAAATCCCTCAATGCCCATTTAAGTTGGCATTGATTTTTGTAACTCCCCCTTCCATTTCTAACTAGACCATGAGACATTTTCTCACGGATGAAACTTTTTCAGCTTAATACAGTTATCCTTGATTACTATTTATTTACTTATTTATTCATGGTCATGTTCATATATCATTAGAATGTGGGGTAGTTTGAATTTCACCTAAGGAGATATGTAGCCTTGTTTGCAACAAAGTGACATCAGAAACACATGCACCAAAAATGCACTAAGTACTCTTGGATCCAACCAAATATGAGAGAAAAGATAAAGAAAATAAACTCTTGGATTTGGGTATGTAGATTCATTAGTCTCAAAATGGGTGCAACAAAAATCCAAATAAATGAAATTTGTAGACTCTGAAGAATATGTAGAAAAATGGTTTGTCATTTCATAAGATTTATTGATGTATAAATGGCACGAGCAGAATTAGGTTGCGTTTGATCTCTTTGCAAATGGGGCCCCATACTTTGGATTAGTATGAGGCTATGGCACCAATGATTAGATAACATTGACTTATAGTAATTTGTCAATTTTTGCAAAGCATGAATGAAACTATGTGTATAACCCTTGCACGTGTCCTTCATATACAGTTATTTGTCTGTATGCCAATAACGAGGCTCTGGTTACAACGTTCCAGAAGAAAACTATTTTATTGCCCCATTTTGACGTGTGTCAAAATATGATAACATATTCAGTACGCAAGAAGAAAAATATTTATGATTTCTATAACACTTTTCTTTTATCAACTTTTAATATTTTTTCATTCCTTTCTTTTCACAACATCACATGAAAAATGAATGATTTAGGATCAATTTGATGTTAAATTGTAATTAATAAATAAAAATATTATTAATCTATTTATGATTCATTAAAAATATATTTAAAATATTTTCACTTCCTCATGACATTTTAAGTACTTATTTTTTTTTTCTTAATGCAATTCAATACATTGATATTAAATATTAAATTTTTAATAAAAATTTATCATCTTATATAATATTACATATGTTAAAAATTATTATAAAAAATAATTAAAAATATTTTATTAATTTTTGTAAATATTTAAAAATATAAAAAAATTGTGTAATTAAAAAAATGCTTCTAAAAATTAAATAGAGCCTAATTTTTAATTTTTAATTTATTTTTTCAAAAAATTTTTCTTCCTAATTTTTATCTCTCTAATATTTGTTTATAAGTTTTTCTATTTCTAATTTTTCTGTCTCTCTCAGTTTTTATTTCTTTATAAATTTTTGTATCTCATTTTTTCTCTCTAAATTTCTCTTTCTAATCTTCATTATCTAATTTTTTTTATTTCTATTTTTTCCTTTAAACAATTTTGTTTTCAAATTTTCTCTCTAATTTCTTCTCTATCTTTCTAATTTCTCTTTCTATAACTCTCTTTCTCTCTCTCTCTAGTCTTTCTAACTGATTATCTCTCTATTTTTAAATTATTTTCTTTCTAAATTCTTTTATCTCAATATTTTTAATATTTTCCTTACTCTCTCTCTCTAATTTTGTTTCTAATTCTCTATCTATAATTTTTCTCTTTAAATTGTTTCTTTCTAGTTCTTCCTCTCCTTAAATATTTTCCTTTTTAATTTAATTTTTCTATTTTTTCTCTGTAAAGTTTTTAATTTTTTCATCTTACAAGATTTTTCTCTAAATTTTTACTTTTTATAATTTCTCTCTCTCAAAATTTACTCCTTTGTATGATTTTATCAATTAAAGTATTTTTTTTAATTTTGATTCATATTTTTTTCTGTTCCTAATTTTTCTCTTTCTGAATTTCTCCAAGTTTTTCTCTTTTCATTTTTTTTTTCAAATTTTGCTCTCTCTACTTTTTCAAGTTGTATGCGAGTTGGAAACTTTAAGACAGTGGAGAGGAAAGAAAGATAGTTTGCGTGTGGATAAAATTTTTGTCTTAACTTTACTTAAAAGATTAAAATGTATAAAATATAACACTTAAATATTAATATGAGAGTAAAAATATATATTTAACTTAAGTAACCCACACATGCAAGAAACTTAAGATTGTAAATTAGCATAAAATGTAAGGCCCTTAAAATTTGAGAGGTTTGGATACACCTCTTACTTAGCATAAGATAAGTTGTTTGATTGAGGTACAAATACTAAATAATTATTCAAAATTTTTAACCATCAACTTTTTATATTTTAGTCTATTTTATATTAAATTTTGTAATATACTCCTTTCATTAATTCTACCAAAGGTTTTCACCATATTCATAAGCTCACAACCCCTTATCTTCATTGCTTTCCAAGCCAAGAATCTCTCTGGTTCCTCTCTCTCTCTTATAACCACTATTAACCCCATCTCCAATGCCCCCTCTCAGTCATTTTTCATTCTTCTTGTTCTTCCTCTCTCTCTCATCATATGACTCCTTCTTCAGATATCAATAATCTTTCTCATCTCTGTATATATATGGTATTATTACTATTTTTTTCTTCCAAAATTTGACCTACAGACCTATTCAAAGCAAACCCCATGAAGCTGTTATTTGAACTTTTTTTGTGTTGATTTTATTAAATGGGTATTCTCAAAGTTTCGAAATTTACTTCCTGGTCATGTTGTTCCTGGTTTGGTACTATAACTTGAGCTTTTGGGGGTTCTAATTTAACTTATTCAATCATGAAACTTTTTAGTGGCAAGGAGATTATGTTTCTTCATCGTCAGAGAGAAAGTCTAGTCTTTTGAAATGGCTCAGCAAGCTTTTCAAAGGTGAGTACAATAGAATAAGGGGTGATCGTCCTCTGCATGAGCCAGCAGAGGAAAGCAGGGTTTGGGGTGCTCCATCTAAAGCACCTGTAAAATGCAACACTGGCTTTTAATGTCGTTTGGGTGCAAAAGGGATTTTGTATGGGTGGGACATGAAAGATGGAGATGGTAAGTAGAAAATGATTATTTTGTAAACTTTTGTTGGACTAAATTAAAAATATAAAAATAAAAAAAATATTATGATATAGCACTATTAAAACATATGTCTCTGTTTTATTGGCAGTTAAGCAGGGGTTCATAAACCCCCCTAAACTATGTGCGTAGCTGAGAATTTTCCATTAATAAATCAAGTAAGATAACCTAGATCATGATGGTCCAATTTTTTTTTGAGTGATGTCAATTTAAAAATATACATCTTAAGATTCGCGTGAACTCTCTGTCACCCACCAAACAAGGATAGGCATTTTCATGTGACTCTCCTGCTTCTACCAGTTTTCGAGTTTGTGGATTCATTCCCAGATCTAAATAAGACCAGCGCAGCTGTTGAGAGCTATAAACCCAAGACTCAACGACCCATATAACTTGGAAAAGCAAAAAATAAATATGCCTGAGTTCTGCGTCACAGGGGGTACTGGGTTCATAGCATCTTACCTTGTGAAGGCCTTACTAGAAAAGGGTCACACAGTGAGGACCACAGTGAGAAACCCAGGTATTGCACACATGATGGTTGTTGACTTGTAGTATCTTCATATAGCCTTTTAATTCTTGTAAGAGTTGATACTTTTAATGCTTTAGTTTCATTTAATTGTCCATTAACTCTTATTTTACTTTTTATTTCAATGAATCCGTCTTTTTTAATATTTTTTATAATTATATTATTAGTAATACTATTTTACATTTAAAAAAAAAAATCTAAACAGCAACGCAACACACTCCCTGTGTTAATCATTTTGTGTTTACTCTTCCAAAATTTTGTTAGAGGATGTGGAGAAGGTTGGTTTTCTGACGGAACTAAGTGGAGCCAAAGAGCGGCTGAAGATTTTGAAAGCAGATCTATTGCTTGAAGGAAGCTTTGATGAGGCAGTGACTGGGGTTGATGGTGTCTTTCATACAGCTTCTCCAGTCTTTGTTCCTTATGATGAAAACGTTCAGGTGTGCTTCCCCTTTATACCCACTATCACTTATTAGTTCAGTGACTTCGCTCCGTTTAAGAAAGGCTTCACATGTTGCATCCTTAATAATTGAGTAATAGTATTTCTAAATAATTTTCTCACAATTATGTTTATAATAAGAAAGGAAATAAAAATTATGTATATAGTAAGCTAATGCTGGTTGATACAAATGACTAGGAATCTATAAGAAAACCTTTTCTTTCTCATGGTTAAGGATTTTCTTTAAGCCATTCAAAATTTTGTTTGATGGACTTCGTTTTCGACCAAGATCCTTTGGCACACAAAATCTAATCTAAGTAGCTTAAAAACAGAAATTAGAAACAATGCAATCAATTATACAATTGATTTTAATATGGTTTTACACAAGAATCTCTGTACAAATTAAGCCACGTAAGAAGCACATATTTCTTATTAAAAGGGCTATAATACCGAAATTTCATATGATTTCAAATATGTTGCAGGCAAATTTGATTGATCCGTGTGTAAAAGGAACCCTGAATGTGCTAAACTCCTGCGTACAAGCAAATGTGAAACGTGTGGTGCTCACCTCATCTTGCTCTTCCATAAGATACCGTGATGATGTGCAAGAAGTGTCTCCTCTAAATGAATCTCATTGGACTGATCCAGAGTATTGCAAACGATATAACGTGATAACACTTACTAGTTTGTACCATATTTTATGCATAAACGATTTGCCGAATTATATTTCAGTGAAAAATGCCACCTTGTGTAGTTGACATGCTATTATGCAGCTGTGGTATGCATATGCAAAGACAACAGCGGAGAGAGAGGCTTGGAAGACTGCACAGGATAATGGCATGGATCTAGTGGTTGTTAATCCCTCTTTCGTTGTGGGTCCTCTGCTTTCACCACAGCCAACCAGCACACTGCTCTTGATTCTAAGCATCGTTAAAGGTTAGATCTCCTTTATATATATATATATATATAATGGGTTAGATTCCCTTAAATATAATAATACCTTTTTTTTAATTTTCAATATGTTCATAACATAATTTTGAATAAAAGCCTTTATTTCTTGATTCTTTAATCCATTTTCGAAGCACACTTGTTAGCAGGATTGCCCCAATTGCTACATTTTAATTTTAGGGTGACACATCTTTGAACAGGTCTGAAAGGAGAATACCCAAACACGACAGTGGGATTTGTACACATAAACGATGTTGTAGCTGCTCACTTGGTGGCTATGGAGGATCCCAAGGCATCTGGCAGGCTTGTTTGTTCGAGCACAGTAGCTCACTGGTCACAGATCATTGAAATGCTTCGGGCCAAATATCCTTCCTATCCATATGAAAACATGTCAGTGAAGTTCTGATATCGATCCATTATCTCTACAGGAAAAAAAAAGATTTCCATTATATTATTTTCAACCTTAAATTAAAAGGCTTCATTCCCATTAATGTTTTAAAGTTCAAATTTTGCATAAGAAAAAGTAATTATGATATAACTAGCTCCACTATTCATGTTGTGAATATTCCAAACTTATTTGTACCTACTTTGAGTAAGCTAAGTTTGAGTGCGGTGTTACAGATGCAGCAGCCAAGAAGGAGATAATAACACACATAGTATGGACACCACCAAAATTACTCAGTTGGGGTTTCCTCCATTCGAAAGCCTTGAACAAATGTTTGATGACTGCATCAAAAGTTTTCAAGACAAGGGCTTCCTATGATATCATCTGTTATAGATTAATGTTCGTGCGAAAAATGTGTGCGTCATATTACCAAAAATAAAGAAGCCATGCAAACCAAATAAAACGAATTTAACACTATTTTTTATCTTTGTTTAATTTGCTTCAATTTTTTTTTCTTGTTTCAAGACCTTGCTATATTTGCGTCGTTGATTCATGCACCTAAAGGCTATTTTCGGTCAAACTTCAGATAATAACCAATACACCTAATAAATAATAATGTTGATATGTATTTGATATATATCTATGAATTAATATAAGCTATTTATTCTTATTGGAACATAAATTTTTCAACTTCAACGTTTTTTCATTAAAAATCTAAACTACAAACAAACCCTTAGCCAAGTCGAAGAAACAGGGGATTAATGTTCGGAATCAAATTTGTATTCGTTGGAATAAGTGAAAAATACAATATGGAATGCGTTTATATGTGGCATTTTTAAGCATATTAGTTGCAACTTAGGTGAGTTGCATAAATTAATAAACATAAATTTTAATGAACATTTTTATTTTTTAATAAATATTTCAATTATTTTATCACCACTATATTAAAGATTTTTTCGAAACCGATTAAAAAGATATTTTCAAATCAGGCTTTTAACTGATGTAAACCTAAATGGTATAGGATAAGGAAATATTTTACATCAGTCATAGAATCGAGAATTTCCACATCAATCATAGAATTGATGTAAAACGTTACTTTTTAAGTTAGTTACAAACATTAATCAATTTAAAAAGTTAGACAATTTAAAGTGATTGTGCATTCAGGCGATCCAAAAAGTTATAATAGCAACAACCGATTCACTTTTAAAAAATGTTGCACCAATAACAGAGTTAAAAAGTGTCTTTTTAAATAAGATATTGTTGAAACAAATTAAAAAGTATGTGGCAATGTTCAAAACATTCTGCAAATTACAATCATAGGAGCACTGGTTGCTTATATCAAACAAGCATCTCATACAAGACGTGACCTTCAATAGGAAGGCATGAGTTTGCATGAAAATTAGAATTCTTAGCTTCTCTCCTTTGGTGCTCTGATACCATTGGCAAGACGGGGAACTGCACTAAAAGCAAGTCCATTTTCAGCATACGACAAATGATATTGTCTTCGGGATGTGCAAGTGGTGGAATTGGCATGTGGAGATTTTCAGCAACACGCTCCAAGACTGGGAAGTGAGGCAAATGATGATGTCAACTATGAAGGTGGTTGTGACGGTACTATAAACAACGATCCCAAGCTTCCCTAAAGCTTCCGTCTTGTTAGGAGCATCATTCCTCAATGTGGCTGTCAGGGTTGGACCTCTATCTCCTAAAAATGAAGGTGGTTGACGATTATTGATCACCATGATAGTAGCAAACAAAGTTCATGGGAACAAATTTATCATTTTCCACAAATATCAGGGCGATATGTTTGATATATCTCTGATGAGCAAGATAATATCTGGCTCAATGCAGAAGTAATACCATACAGGCAACCTTGAGAATTTAACTTAAGTAAGTTATCCAAATATTAAATTCATTTACCATCCAACAATTTTACAAACACATGAGAACAAATACCCAAGTGTGTATATATATAAACTATATGGTTATCAATTTTTTAAGTTACTCGAGTACAATCGCTTTCATCCATTTATGATATAATATATCAACGGTCCATTTGGAGTGAGATGCTAGTACATCATCGAATAACAATTCACCGTAGATAGAGTCAAATTAATAAACCCTATTACTAATGCACTCTCTTAGCTGAACTTGGCTGAAGATTATTTAACTACTTTAATTTACTCGTAATCCATCCCCAAAGCCCCAATTCCTCTTTTTTCCTCTTAACAACTGAAAATTTTGCTAGGAAATTCAATATAGATAACACTTTTGTATGATTACGATGTACATACATTATACTTCGAAAAAAGTTATATACTGTTGTTAGTACAGTTTATTATTTAAAGTTTTATTTTAATAAAATATTTGTATTTCGTGTTATCGTAAATTGTTAAAACAGTTAAAATTTAAATAATAAATAGCACCAACGTGGCATAAAAACTGCATTTAAGTGTTGTCTTTACATAGTGTAATAATAAATGCAAATCTGATTAATAATTAGTCAATAGTATATGTAAAATTTGTAATGAATCTTAATGCATTTTAATTAGAATCTGAAGCAAACAGCGTGTAAAATGAAGAATGTGTTAAATTAAGAAAATTTAAACCCTCTTGTTTATTTTGATAACCACTGACTGAAAAGGATTATGTATAGGCAATTTATGAGATATCGCAACTTTAAGAGAATAAAAAAACATATGTGGGGTTGCGCTTATCAACTTAGATTGCGAAAACCCTAATGATAGATACTGATAGCAACCCTTCCTTGATACAAGTCGAAGTCCACTGGATTGAATTTGAAACTCAATAGGAGGCATTGAGCAATTGTGGACCATACTTGGCATGTTCTCAGACATGCGCCCTTCTTTGAGCACAACGACCACGCAAAATCTCTATGAACCCTATGTCTTGTCTTGGTTTCTTTCTTGTATAGATGTCATCTTTCATTCTTAAGGCAGCCTTTAATACTCAAAGATGTGTACAGTACATTTGATTGCCATCCTTTGTGGGAAAAAGGCTCTCTTTTGTGCTATTAATTTATTAATTTTTTATGCATCATTTCATTTATATAGTTTCAATATTTGACCACTTGTTAGTAGCTCTAGGGCAAAAAGGGCCATGTAGAGCCAGATGTAGTGGGTGTAGAGGAGAATCGGTTGTGTTCTACTCAAAATAATTAACATAAAAGCAACGTCTTCGGTAGTCCTCAATCTTTTTTTTTCTGAGTCCATACTTCTCTTTCTTTTTCCTAGTCAAAAACAAACCAGACGAAACTAGCAATTAGCATTTACGTGTTTAATTCTACTCCTTATATTTGAAATATATGTTTTTACAATTTTTTTTTTATCAATCTTCAGAATTTCTTACAAAATAACTATTAATCAAAAAAATTATTTAATATGTTAAGAATATAATATATATATATATATATATATATAATATTTATTTTAAAAATAAGATTTGTGAAAAGATTTACAATTATTTTTTATGTCTTGCTAAATAGTATATTAAAATATATATTAATAGCGTTTTTAATTCTTTATTTAGTACTCTTAATACACTTGTTACGAGATCCTTTGCCCCTTTTTGTTCGTTTCATTTTATGTTAGTGATAAGGGAGGGAGAGAGAGACGTGGCAGAGGAACTGATAGAGAAGTTTCAAAGCTTTTATCACCCACCATCTCTCAAATATCATCTATAAATCACAGTCTGAAACTGAAGTGTTTAAAATGCTTTAGTTTTATCTTCCAATCTGAAAAGAAGTGTTTGCCCCACTCAACTACTACTACACATTCATTTTATCTTTCCTGTGGGTACCATGTAGGTCGTCTTCCACTTCACCTTGTACACCTTCTTCTCATTGATTATCAGAACTCTCTCTCGTTCTCTAACTCTTGAATACACATACTCTCTCTCTCTCGATTTTGTTGTTCCTTTACAGGAGACCAGAAGAGAACCCATTGGATCTCAACAATTTGCCTGATGAGTACTCTAGAGATGGTAAACAAGCCTTCCAAGACAATTCCTCTTCTGGTAAACCTTTTTTTAATTAATGATCATACCACATATATATTACTATAAAAGTTCAAAGCAACATAAAAGTTGCATTTTTTTTTTTTTGTTTTCTTTTTTGGGGAAACTTCCACGCACACCATATTAATTCATGGCTTTTTCATTTTTCACCATTTATTAGGAAACAAAATCGAGTAAGCGCCTGGTTCATCATATTTTAAACCTCGTTACTTGTTTCTTCTATCGGTTTTTTCCTTGTTTATTTTCCAATTTTCCCTTGTCCTTCTCTTCCTCAGCCTCCTATCCTTCGAAGTTTAAAGCAAGATATGAAAGCGTAGTGGAATATGCATATGAAAGAAAGGGTAACAATTTTGTTTTTCAGGGGGCAGGAAAAAGAAAAGCAGCTTGAAGGACGCAAAAGAGGAGTGTGGGAAGGTCTACGAGTGTAGATTTTGTTCCCTTAAGTTCTGCAAGTCACAGGCTCTTGGGGGACACATGAACCGCCACCGCCAAGGCCAGATATTCTTCTTAACTTTTGTTGTACCATTTTTTTTCCTTTCCCAAAAATGTTAGCCTAAATTCAATAAAATGATAAAAAAAAAAAAGTATTTACATTATGCCATAAAACTAAATAACTCCCTACTAAACACATTAATCATGTTAACATATCATATTAAAAATAATATCAATATTTTATTTAATTTTTATAAATAAAATTTTATTAATCCATCAAAATGAGTTAAATAAACTCAAAAATCATAATAATAACTGTTCATTATTCCCCCATAAAATAAATATTTAAGAAAATGGAAATACTGCATGGTTATTAAGGCGTGGTCATTTCAATCACACAAAATTGTAGGATTGCTGAAATTCTTGACATCCCAAGATGCTGTGCTTAATAAAAATATTGCTTTTCTGTTCTCAATTGATTTGATGTGTGTGTCTGTGATGCAGAAAGGGAAACAGAGACGCTGAACCATGCTCGTCAGCTGGTCTACCGTAACGATCATAGCCTATCCACTCAAGCTTCCCCTCATCTAGGGTATGTACTAAGCATCACTTTGGTTTAAACTTATAGTGAATAATTAAATTATAACTTTTTATTAAATATATTATCTATATGTTTTAATGATATTTTTAACCAAAAACCTTTTAAAACATAATCTTTAGAGTGCTAAATATGATAAAAGTGTATATTTGAGTTAATTTTAACAAATTACTTTTATTAAAAATTTGTAAGAATTATTTTTTAACTTTAAAATAAGAGTTAAGATCTTTTATATATAATATAATCTTTAAAATAATACAAAATAATTCAACAATTGAATTATTTAATCTTATAACGTATAAAGAATTATTAAATCATGTAAGTTCTAGTTTCACACCACGAATCTTATTCTAATCTTATTCTTACAGTCTAATTTTATAATTTTATTAATTTTGTCACTTAAAATTGACTTTAATTATTTAAAAATAATTCTTTTTAATTGCAAATATAAGATTTATTATAATTTAATTTAATAAATATATTTTTAAAACTTTATGTACCCACAATTCTTGTATCGGTCCTATCTATTTTTAATCTCTGCTTCTTCTGTAATTGTAGTATCAGTTACATGGTTAAGTGCATTAATTAATTGATTCAAATCATAGGTTTTAAAACCCATGACACTTTCCATTAGTCTCTCTGTCCATCTTTTATGTGTTGTTTTTTATTTTGAAGTACACTAAAGTAAGCTCAACTGTTTCAGATGCTGTCAACCAATAGCATCAGGTGGGAGCTACCACCCTGCAAGCAACATGGGAGACCCAACGATGCGTCTCAGACTCCCAAGAAACATGTCTGCAAGTTCATCCTCAGTCCACATGCTCCCACCACGACCTCTTGCTTCACCACAACATCATCAACCATCTCAGCATTTTTTATACGCTTCACCTGCACACTACTCTCACACGCATCCAATGAAGGATTACTATGTGGGTCATGTTCTGAGTGGTGGCGTGACAAAGCAACACAACCTCAACGACTACACTTGCATTGGGGCACCTGTGGGACAACCATTTGGGGGTGGTGGTAAGGACATGTCACTACAGAATCAGGAGGATGGATTGAGTTGGGGAAGGAGCTCTTCAGCGATCAATCGGTTTCAAGATGGGTTCTAATGAGATTCTATGAGGGATGGTAGTCTTTTGTATCATTAAAGACAGAGAGAGATATGAGAAACCGACAAATGGTTTTTTGTTTGTTTGTTTGTTTAAGTTAAAATGGGGACAGCTTTAGCTCATGGACACGCTCAGCTAGTTTGGCCTCAAGCAGCGAGGGTGGAATTTGAACTCTGGCTTTCTTATATTAGTGTGTATTGTGTCTTCTAACTATGAAAAGGGAGAACAAGTAGCTCATAGCCTGATAGAACAGACAAGTTACATATCAACTATAAGTTTTCATCCCAAAGCCCCCACCTTTTTCCTTTCTCTCTCTCTTTTATATATATATATAAAATTCTTTTATGCATCCTTTGAATACTTTTTTAACCTATTTTAAATTGCACTTGTCGGAATTGTACAATCATAAAAAAAATTAATATTATAGAAACTTGTAGGCTAATGCAGCCACAATTGCAATTGTAATGTTAACTCAAAAACCTAAACGATGTTTATGATCCCAATTCAGAAGCATGATATATTTTACGAGGATATATACTGTGAAAATATTTTTTATTTAACTTCAAAAGTTATGATTCATTCTTTTTATTTTGATTATTTAAATAAAATTAATGGTCTATGTTTATCATTCTAATTTTTATAACTAAGTTTTCTCATACAAGTCATTTTTATGTGTTCGCATGTGTGTACTCGTGACGTGTGTGTATATGTTTGTGCATGTGTCCATACATGTTGGGGTAGAACATGTATAATAAGAAGATTTTTTAATATTAAAATAATAAGTTTTGATAATATAATTGCATTTAGATTATTAAAATTTAAAAATTTTAAATAATCATATAGTTATTTAAAAATATTATATAACTTAATATTTTAATTTTAATTATTTATAGTTATATTTAATGATAATTAATATTTATCTCTTTCATGTAACAACGTCCTCGCTCAATATGTCTTTACGCACCAAGGCATTAGCATCATTTATGATCTAACATGCAAGATCTACTATATATGTACAGGATATGACTAAAGCAAACAATAACATTTATTTGATTAAAAAAATACCATTTTAATTAGATGAGTAGTACATAAATTTATCACAAAATAAGATGATAAAATTACGCCAAAACTAAAAACAAAAAAACCAAAACATCTCAAATGGTGACTTTAGTTTATGTGAAGGAATAGAAGATATATGGTAAAACTTCATAAAACATATTCTCATTCTCTTGTGTTAAAAAGGTAAATGTTTACTAAAGCCCCATGACGAAATTTGCACTATCATAATCTTGCTCATCTTCTACCTCTACTACTTACTACACAGATTTTATTAAAGAAATGATATAATATAGAAAAATTAACAAAGAAAATAAAAAATGAAAGTTGAATCAGTGCAACGAGCATTGAAATTAAATCCCAATTAACTTGTGTACAGTGCCTTGCATTTCTCTCTTCATCACATTCTTCTTTTCAGTTATGTTTTCCTTTTACAGCATTTTTATTTTTTGTATATTTTTCTATTTTTATTTTGTTTACATAGACAATTTTTTTATTTTGTTTACATCCACGTGTCTTGCTTTTAATTGGCCACCTTTTCCTTTCCACTAAGCGATTGACACATTATATAGAGTACCTTAATTCATAACTGTTTTATAACTCATTCGAAAAAAAACATACTGATATATATATGTGTGTGTGTGTGAAAAAAATCATATTGAAATTCATAGGGTTATATCGAAACAGGCAGTCCGTTGAAACATCTTTGATAACCCTAGATGTGTGCACACATAGGAGTAGCTCTAGTGATTGATAGAACGCAAAGGTTATCGAGACATCTGAGGAGGCCTAAGAGGGTTGAGTTTATAGGCCAAATCCATTTATGGGCAAAGCATCGGCGTGAATGTGCAGAGCGATGTTAGGTTTCAGGTGTTTAAAAGTGCAAGACACTGAGAGGCATTAATAGGTATTAGCTGTATACCTACCAGACATAATACAGACAGATTGAGATTGTTGATGAAAAAGGCAGTCAGAGCAGCTGCATCTCGTCTGTAATTAACTTTTGTTATCTTATATTAATTATTATTTTTTAAACAAATTTACTAAAAAATGCGTGTTAATAAATTGCAAAATAATAATTTTTAATTAAAAATGAGTGTCTAATTTTTATTATATAGCCTAAGTTGCCATGTGATGGATGATCTTGAGAATTGATTAGAGGAGCTACAGCTAGGGTGAGCTGTGACATGAGAGTAGGTATACAGCATGTTAGGCGACCACTTGACTTCAAATCAGATGTTATCAGTTAATTTATCTGATGTGTGTGTGCATGAAAGTGTGACCAGTGATTGACATCTCAATTTGTTTCATACATCTGATATGAAAGCGTAGTTGAAACAACTGCACAACCAATTGTGATAATACGAAGGAGCTTAGTAGAAGCAACTACAAGGCAACGATGAACCAATGGCATCAAAGCCGAATGAATCATTACAGACAAAATGAATAATAAAAATAAGTATATGTTTTGTAGGATTTGTAATTAATTTGATGTTTATTATTGTACGAAAGAAAGAGTGAGTGTTTATGGGCACGAATCAGACTTTAGTAAAATAGTCACCAAGTCCCCCACGGGTCCCATTCCTTTTTCTCTGAGCATTTTGTTTTAGCGCAAACAACGTACACTGATAGTGTCTTTGACGAAACATATTCAGACTTACAATGATAAAAAGACAGTACCAAAGATCAAATTGAAGCACTAATCCCCAGTAAAACTACCTTCCCTTCTCATACAACATTCCTTTCTCAACGCCAAATCCAACCCTGTTCTTATTTACTTGAAAATGTTTCTCAGATAACATGTCAAACAAAAATACCCTTAAAAAACTTTTTATTTTTAAGTTATGAACAATTAACTTCAAAACTTAATTTTAAATTATTAAATATAAAATTATATTTTTCGCTTAATCTTAACCATTAATTTTTTAATAAAATATATTGTTAAAAAATTAAAGTAAATTATATTTTCCTCCCATAAAAGATACATATATTATTAAACTATTTTTTATTTTAAAATATTATATCTCTTAAAAAATTTCATTATTTAATTTATTTTAATATTTTCCTTAAAGTGTGATTAAATATTGTTTGACATTTTTTTTAGCAAAATAAGATCTTTTTATTAAATTTATATATTTTATTAAAGTTTTTAATAAGTTCAACAAGCTTAAATTGTTATTCAAGAAAAAATAAACATTTTTTTATTAAAATATCTATTAAAAAGTGTTTATATTGTCAATTGTTTTAATAACTTATTTATATTTTTTAAAATAAATTAAAACATTGTTTAATATATTATATTAACAATCTTATTAAAATAAGTAAAAAAAAATGTATTTTCGGATAGAAAAGAAAGGAAGGAAAAATTTAACCGTGAGCTAAAATTTTTATAAATCTTCTAAAAATTTGTGTAAATTCATATTCTTAAACTCTCCCAAAATGAAAGGTTTTTTTAAACTTCACTTATGTACTAACCACGACATTTTATAGTACAAGAGTTAATATTTTTGTTATATATACTAAACGTATCTTTAGTTAATTATTAGATACCAACTTCTTTTAAGACATATATATACTAAAACAAATACAACTTTCCACACATATAATCAGTATATTTAAAATTTTTAACTATCCATTAATTAAATTAATCTTATAAATATACATTATTATATTACAAAATTATATAACTACATATATTTTTACTTTTTAAAAAAATTCTTTATCTATATAATTCTGAATGAGTAATAAAACAATATTTGAATGCATAATCACTTCACCTGCATCCCGAAGAAAAAGTTGATGATAGCCATCACATTATTATATTGTAATGCATATCTTGTTTATTACTTTAAACTTTAAATATTAAAAAATAAAAGGAAAAAATGTGGACTTGAAAAACACGTATAATATAGCAGCTTTGACAGTTGTTGTGTGCTCTGTCGCAAACTCCATGCCTGGCCGTGTCTTAATTATCTCTTTCGTTTGTGTTGCGCTAACCAGTCCATGTCTCAGCTGATGAAAAAGAAACGCTAACTTTTTCTTTAATGGAACGGAGCATTTTTGGATTTTGTACTATTCAACAAAGTAAATTAGGGAACATCAACTTGAACACCGTACTACTCGATATTAATGTGAAAATGAGATTTAACAAATTACATTAATAACATATTTTGATTTATGTTTCAACCAATATCACTTTTAGTTTAGTGTTATTAGTTATAGTTTCAGTATTACATTCACATTTACAGATTTTTTAATGTATTTATAAACACACTTTAACACATAATATAGACTTCATTAATTTTTTTTTATAAATTTTATGTTTTTTATGTTATTACTTTTTTAACCTTTTTAAAATAAGATTTTTCCTGAAATGTTTTTTTTGTATATATTAAATGACCCTTTCATTTTTTTTTTGTTTTTTGGTCTTCACTTATTTCTCAAGTTTTCCCAGAGCTTATTATATTTTTTTTTCGATCTTTGAATTTTTTTTCGAGTTGACTGAAAAGTGAAAAAAAAAACTATTTTATTTTAGAATAAAAGACTGATCTTAATTCCCTAAAAAGGATTGTTTTTCCTATCTCTTATAAGTAACATTGAAAATGATATTATCGCTTGAACAAAATTTAGTAAATATTATTCCAATTGAATAAATTGAAGAATGAAAAATCACCATAAATTTACCAATGAAATTTAACCTTCCTTTCTCAAATCAAAATTATAAAACACTCGTCAGATGTTCAATACAGTGCTTTTTTGTGTAGCGCACTAGACAATATTTTATAAGCTGCTTTGTGAGCAACGAAACTCGCTAGATGTTTCGATACAGTGCTAATCTGACCTCATGTTTTCACATTAAAGGAGAACTTTTATTTGATAATTACATCTACATACGGTCAACATTAGTGGTTATACATTACCAGTTAAAAAAGTCATTGACATTTTATTTTAATCTTTTGACTATTCGAAAATAAGATTCAATGGTCAATATTCATTGTTCTTATTTTCACAATAATCAAGTATTATTACCTAATGCTATAAGTAATGCCTGAGAGAACATTTAGCAACTGGAAAGTCTTGGAAATCTTGTTTGACTCTAAGAAAGAGGACATGAACACAGGAACAATATTCAATGTATAGACCTCACTTAATAGAACACCTAAAATCAAGCCACGAGACAATATCATCGTGTACTGCAAATATTCTGTCATCAGGTTCCCCTTCCAAAATGCAGTGGTAACCATCTTCATAGATCCTCAATGTCTTATCCTTGCTAGATGCTTTCTCATAAAGAAATTGGCTCACTAATGGATCAGTCACCTTATCTTCTGCCCCATGAAGAATCAACAGTGGTGCTGAGACCTGCAATCCACCACTCCACCAACAATTAACGGTTCAATGTTTTTTTGTTGTTGTAGATACAACAATTATTGCTTATGTGAAAAGAGAAATAACCATAGCCTAAATCAAACTTACACTCTGGAGAAAACACACAACAAAAAGAAAGAAGGAAGGAAAAAAAGAGAGAGAGAAAAAGGAAAAACTAACCTTGTGTACTTGTGACTCAATTTCTTTTGTGACCCTTAATAGTTCCATGCCAGTTCTCAACCGTGGATGATCATCATAACAAATAACATTGTAAACAGCCTAAAAAGAATAACACTTGGAATGAAAAAGTTTGTCAACAGAATAGTCAATAACATTTTAGCTTTTTTTGGGCTTCATTCAATAAGAAACCCAAATAAAGGTGCGGAATTGCACATTCACAAAGCATGGCTAATCATTAATAGATGTTGCAAAGCAGTACAGTATTGGCTGAGTTGAGCGTCTTGCAAGGAAAAACTAATAAATCACATATCTAAAGATGACGTTAACTAATATTTTCCATGAAATGGCAATCAACACCTATCTTTTCATCTTTTTATGGAAGAAACTAAATGAGATTGTGAATGTGAATGTCAAGTTAAGCATCAATGTTTGACAAACTCAATGATTAGTTTATGTCGGAGCTTAGCAATGCTTTCAAAGCAACAAACAGAAGAATGAACCGTGTTTCACTCTGGCATTTCCCTCATAAATACAAACACTATGGTTGATTGGTGCCCCTGCAAAAGAAGCAGCTTGCAGAAAGACACTTAAGGTGCGGATGGGATAAATGGCACCCCATAAATGGAGATACGTAAAAAGTCATGTAAAGCATACCAGTAAAAAGTTGAGCATCAAATTCCGATCTATTGATCTAATATAAAAAAAGAAGTGTCATATGTCATATATACGGTTGTCTCTTTAGTCATGAACTTTTGCTGTCAAGGTTGGTGATCCTTGTTATGCATGAACAAAAGATACATGCTCACAGAAACCACCATTTCTAATGGCATACCTGGCTACAAGTCATTTTATCATGCAGAAAATATGGATCTCTAAGTGGAGCATGAATTTAAATTGTTTCCTCAACTATAATTGCAGCCACAATATAGCAGTTTTCAAAATTTCTGCAATTGCAATTGTGGCAGTAATTTCCTGCAATTCCAGTAATTGCAATATGTTGCAAACCACACAAACGCGAATACAAATATAGGGACAGGAACAAAAAAAGGCTGCAAATATAGGGAGAATATTGTTTAAAATAAGTAACGGAAACGAACGGAATAAAATGCACTAGAAGAGCAAAATCTCCTAATACCCCAGAGCTAGGCTCCTAATAGAGCAATCGCTGCTCTATCCTGCAATAGCGAAAGAACAGAATCAACATAATATTCTACCCGTCTCATCGTGCCTAAATAATGGAATATTATTCTTTCTCCCTAACTAACTTTGCCAGCACAACATTTCATTTGTCATTTTCTGATTTCTTCTTTCTTCTCACATAGACAAGCCATTCTTTGGGCCGTGTAACTGCTTCTTGGACTAACATTTCCTCTGGCCCAACATTGCCTTTTGGGTCCCCATCACAATACAACTACGACAACAATTTACAAGTGATGACTTTTGAAACAATTAGGAAGTGCAAGATATTTTGTTAAAGAAAGCTTGACATGGAAGGGAAGCAATTATTAATTTCATTCTACAAGGACGAAAGAATGATTACAAAGTTACCAACCAATTTTCTTTTGCTTGGTTCCCTGAAAGCCAGCTCAGCTAGATCTTGGTTTGGGAATAGTTTTGCTTTTGGTATCACTTTAGACAAGAGAGTTAATACCTTCATAACTGCATCTGATGGTAACACGTCATCTGCAATCTTGCCAGTAACAGAAGATCAGCAAGTTATGCTTTATCTAACTGTTAAGGTAATTACAACTGCAATATAAGGGAACATACAAATACCATTTTTTATTTAGCTTAAAATGATTTATTAATTATCACCTTATTGTGATATTTATTGCATCTAGCTCTTTATAATGTTTATATGAAGAATAATGTCATATGAATCAACAAGCTATGCATATTCCAATTCAAGTGATGTCCGTGGTACCTAATGAATGTCCAAAAGCATCAAATCCAAAGTGATTTGATAGTTAATCCTAAAAAGATCTCCAACTTCAAGAGGTTATCTCAAGTAAATATTGCAATCAGATCAGACTAAGCATCCTTTTTATTTCTATTTTTAATGAATACCCAAGGGTCAAAGCCAGTTAATATGATTTCCCTGAACAGGGGAATCAGTCAAATAAGGCATCATCAGTTCCAAAAGACTTGATCTACGAAGACCACACATTACAGACAATTACAACCAGTAAAGATAAAGAGCCAACATAGTAGACTTCTTCCTTTTTTTGGGTTGCTTTCTAGGAAACAAGGTTTAGCACCCTCCCAGATGGAGTTTATTCTAGAAGGAACAAACATAACCAGTAGTTAGTTAGGAAATTGAGAAGACAGAGTTTCAATAGACAGTGCATAGAATTAATGCTGTTGAGAATAATAATGGCAAACTGAGTCCTCTTGGTTGTAAAGGGATTTCACCTCATAAAGGATACATTCTCCTTGTTCTCTTTCTCTCTATAACAGAATAACAGAAACAGTTTCCATTTTTCTTCCACTGCTTTCTCTCTATATTTCTACCCATCTTTCACTTGGGCTACCTAACATAAAACCTAGTAAGATTCTTCAATCTACAGTCATCAAATCTAGCAAAATCCAGCAAAGCAGGAAATTGTCCCAAAGTTGATGCCGCAAGGTTTCTTTATTTGTATAATTTCATGCCATAATTTTCAAATATGTACTCAGGACAACCTAACAAAATATGTGCAATGTGGGTAAAACTACTAGAATTAATTTGAAAATGAAGTAATACCAATCAATACGGAATTAGAATTTCAAACAACATTCACTAGGAAAATACAGTATTAAATCAGGTCCATTCAAAGTAAATTGCAAACTTCTATGAAATATACTGATTTTTTATTTATATTTCACCAGACATTGCTCATTGCATTATAGTTTAGTAGTCCCTCATCTCTATTAAAGAATATGAAGGCTCCATGTTGCATTTTTGAAATTAACTATAGTTATATCTTTTACTTGGCAATGCAAGTAAACAGAGATTGATTTGTATTAATGTTTAATATCTTAATATCACTGTTTTAAATCGTGGCACCCAACTGCAATTGTTCTTACAGTATTGGAGATTTTGAGGTCTTTATAACTATATAGCAAATTGCAATTGTGGCTGCATTGGCCACATTTGCCTGTAATTTCAGTAATTGCTATACAACTGCACCATGACTGCAATAAAAAATCTTGAGCATTACCAATGTACAATTTTGAGATAGACATCCTTTATAGTTTGCAATAATTCATTGATAAAAGAAATTAAGCAGAATCATGAGTTTGAAAAATAAAAAAGAAGCACTTGGTGAGCATCAAGTGCAATACAGAGGAATGTGCTTACTTTACACATTGGTGCCACAAGTATCATTCCATCCCAACTATTTGGCTCCTTCAGATGAACTTTAAGAGTAACTGCTCCACCCATTGACTGTCCCAATATAAATCGAGGTAACTCTCTCAGATCAGGCCTTGCTGTCAATTTGAAATACAAAGCATGATCAACAACAGCAAACTTTTCACATGAAAAATACTACACGAGCGGTCAACACAACACCGGGGATACTGAAAACTGAATAATCACACCTTTAATTTTTGTATAATGCTCTATAACATCATCAACCAGATCATCAAAGTTCGGTACATAACCATGCAATCCTTCTGAAAGACCAAAACCTGGATAGTCCATTGCGAAGACACCATACCCAGATGCAGCAATTCTTCTGGCTATACCTGAACACAAAAATTCAAATCCTTCCCCAATCACACACCATGAACCTCTAGCTTTCTTAGAAACATATAACACAACATAGACTACGACAAACCTTCAAAGAAGAAGGTGCAAGTGTCGCCATATCCATGACAGAAACACACAGTGGCCTTAATTGGAATGCCATGCTTTGGCATCCAGCTTTTACAGAAAATTTCCAATCCCCTCGAGTTCCTTTCGTACCACTACTTATCAAACAAATAAAAAGTAAAAACTATAGATCAATTTAACCAAGATTACAAACTATTAATAGGCACGCACCCACACACAGAAGAAAAATAAAAGCTCAGAACATCAACACACTCCAAGATTTTTGGAAATAATAAGGTAAAGCAGAAAACATACTTCTTCAGTTCTGATCCCAGCAGGAGCATTCTAGCAAGAGAGAATAAAACATCGGTGAGTCACGTATTCTTGAACAAAGAACGAATCACATCCAGTGAAGGAAAATTAAAATTATATTAAAAGGACATTTAAATTATAGTGATTAGTGAAAATTCATTAATAATATTTTTTAATCAAATTATTTTGTTTTTAATTCCTTCGTTACTGTCTTAAAAATTGTTTAGCATTTGTTGTATATAATTTAGTGCCAGAAAGTGACACCCTCACAGAACAAATTTGTATAAATGAAAGTTTTCAGATCAAAGTAATTGCCATTTTCATATACCAAATAATACTTAAACTCAAAACTAAAGTAAAAATAAATAAATATTGAAACTTAGGAAACGAAGGATTCCAATAATAATGATAAAAGCTGAACTGACCTTAAACAAGCAATGATCTAGCTGCAGCTGGACCTCAGCAAAAGCAGCGCGAACCCTTCTTCGAGAGTAAGCAAAGTCAAGGTTATAAGAAGCAATAGCGTTCAACTTGTCGCTCACACCTTCAATGGGAGTCTTGTTCTTCGCTGACACCGTGAGTGTGGTTGGGGTGTTGGGCTTGGGCTTTTTGATGAACTCAGTTGAAAAGGGTGATGGATGCTTCAAATGGCGGTGGAGGGGTATGTGTGTAAAGGGCGAGAGGAGGTTCTGTGATCGGAACCTAAGGGTCGCAGATGGCTCCATGGTCAACGAGCTTAGTGCGATCACAAGAACAATCCACGAAATTAGCATTCGGTTCGTTTTATATTAGTTTTGGGAACACTAACATCAACAGTATGCTGTCATTAAGAAAAAATATATTTGCTATAATTTATATTTTGAATATAATAAAAAATTGAAATAAAATTATTTGAAAAAGGTAAAAAAATTAGCGGTGGTAGAGGAGAGTGGACGGTGGGCAGCATAGCACGTGTCTAACGTGCAGGCATTGTTATAGTAAATTCCATTTTGGTCCCTAAGGTTAGAAGTTTTGAGTTTAGAATGAATTAAAATGGGAACCTAACCTTACCTTACCAATTACAAAACCTCACTCTTTCACTTCAACAATCAACAATGTATCAATCATTATTTTAATGAATTAATGTTGAAATTAGTGTATTCTTTCAATAACCCTAAAAATAGCTGTAACACAATGCCATGCTATAAAGGGGCCTCATCATGATTCCAAATCTGTGCTATCTTTCCTTTTCTTTTTTTAATATATAACTTTTAACTCTTTAATAATCATTTATCTCCATTTTCACTACCTTAATTGTCAAAAACAATCCAAATGTATATATCCAGATATTTAATACATAAAGTATTAAGACACTGTAACTATCTATTTTTTATATCATAACTACCTTATACTTTTACACGGTATTAAGACACTTTTCGTAAATATTATTTATTTTAAAAATGAATCAAACACCTCAAATAATTCCTTCTTATAAGATCATATGTCTTTTAATTTAAATATTTTTCTAAAAATATTTTTTCTGATATCAGAACTTCTTATAGATAAAAGCATTGACACATATAATACCTCAAATAATTATCTTATAAGATCATATGTCTTTTAATTTAAATAAATATAGTGGGACAATGTAATTATTTATAAATTTAATTTTTGAAATAAATTTACAGCGGAATTATGAACACTAAAACAAATAGTTTTATGAGTAAAAATAATTTGTTCTAATAAAAATTAATTTCACTTAATTATTAACATTAAAATAATTTATTTAATATTTTCATAATTATTAATTGAATAAATACTGATTGAATTCATAAAACATTTAAATAATTATTTTAAATTTAATAAATATTCACTATTTTATAAACTGGAGGTAAATATTTCTTCTTCTCATTATAAATTAGTCCACTAGATTAATAATATTTTTAAGAAAATAGAATTTACAAACTTTCATAAAAAAATTTATTTAACATAAATCTTATAAAACAAAGTAAGTATTCAAGTAAAATAGTATTACTTGTTTTATCCTTTTTAATAAAATAAATTTTTTATTTTATTAAAAATAGATAGTTAAAGTTTCAAATTTAAAATGAACAAAAAATTAAATTATAATCCTTTAAATTTATTTTATTTCACTTTAATTTTATTAATAATTTTTTAATTTTATTTAATCATCTAAAACAAAGTTAGAGAATCGATATGAAATATAAAAAATTAAAAGATAAATAAAACTAAAATTTTAAACGGTTAAATTAAAACATAAATCAAAATTAGAAGAATCAACATTTATATTATAAGTAAGAGTATATTATTGGGGAAGTTCAAAATTAATAAAATTATTCTTTTCATATTGTAATAGTTTTATTTTTTATTTTCATCTTTATTAATTTAATTCTAAATTTTAGAAATTAAAATTATTACTTAATTTTTCTTATTACTTTATAAAAATGTTTAATTTTATAAATTAAAATATTTACTTATAAAAAATTTTAATTTTTTAATTTATTTAAATTTGAAATTTATTTTTAAGAGTTTACCTCTTAAATTTATGGTTATTAATATATATATATATATATATATATAATTAATATTTAATTAAATTTTTTAATACTAAACAATAAAAATATTAATTTAAAATAAATTAATTGAAATTATTAAATTTTATTAAAGTTTTATCATTTTGATGTATACTATTCGTAATTATAGAGTTAGGCCTAAATAACTTTTTAAAATATTATATAAAATAATAATATATAATAATTTATAAAATATAAACTTTATTCTTCAATTATTAAATTATTTATTTATTCTAAGATAAAATAGCAATGTTACATACACTAGTAAAGTAATAAAGTATTAAATTTGCCTTCTAAATTACGTGTTCTTTGAGGAAATTGTGCTCTAAACAAGATATTTCGTAGATATGATAGAAGAAAATGTCTTTGCTGAGATTTTTCCATTTTTCCAATTCTTCTCTTTCATTATTAACGTTGATTATGTCCCAAGACAAAGGAAAAATGGTTGAAATCGATCCTTTGAATTAATGTCATTTTGACTGCAATCAACCTATTTCCAAAATGACTATTGTTTTAAATTATTCAATTTATTTCAAATTAAATATCATTTCAAAAGTTAAAAAAAAAAACACTAATGGCTGATTCTATTATTATTTTATATTTCCTTAAAATTATATTAATCAATATCTTTATTAATCTGAAGATAAAATTTCACAAAGCTATTATTATTTTTCAATAATTGATCAGATAACATCCTGCTGATAGTATGGTTGATATTCGATAACCCTTTTCTCTATTCTATGTAGCGTGAAATTAAATATTTAAATTAATCAAATATAAGCAGGACGCATACTGCTTTTTTTTTTCTTCCTGTTTCCTTGTTAATTACATTTTACTTATACACATGTTTTTATAACATATATTTTAGGGTAGGATTAAGTAATTTGAGATGTAACTGTTGTCATAGTCTTGTTTAATAATTTTCAGGAGTATTAGATTTTAATAATTCAACTATTATATTTAAATTTATTTTTAAATACTAGATCAAGTCTACAAAAATATATAAAACTAAAAAATTAATTAAAATTTGTTGAAGTATAACATCCTTTTTTAAAATATAAATAAATATTAAATAAAAAGTTACATGTTTAAAAACATTTTATTTATCAAGAACTAACATATTACATATATAATAATTAAATGATGAAATTGTGTTAATAAAAAAATATTAAACAAAATAATTTTAATAAAAAATTATAAAATAATTTTAAAATTACTCTTAGGATAAATTAATTTATACCAAATTTTGCTATCTTTTTATGTCTTTTATTATGTCTGCTTATCTTATTTTCATTTTTCTGTTGGTCTTCATTAACACGGCACAGCCTCAAACTTTTTGAGTGTACGAATGAAAAGAATTTGATTGTCGGTGTGTGCGTTGAAGTATGAACGAAGCTTGTCTTGAGCGCAGTGGTGTTTTAAATAGGACCTTCACATCCCATCCTCTACTCAACACTCTCTAATCACATTTCATCAGAAAGAAAGAAATATAAGATCATGAGAGGTAGGAGCCAATACCAACAAAACTCCAATGAAAGCCAAAACTTTGATGCAACCTTAGATTGCAGACGATAATCAGCACGTTACCTCCCAACAACACTTGCTCAGAAAGCAAAACTAACTCCTCACTACCAAAACCCGAAACACAGATAGTTCCCAAAACCAAAGTATTGTTGAGTTCAATTTGGCCAAAACCTCATTTGCTAAAATGCATCATGCAAAACCAGAGAGTTTTCCTGCCTCAACTCGACCCAATCCTATTTTTTTTAATACAATAAGTCTCACTTACTTGTATTACATCATATGCACACGTTCCCTAAAGGCCTAAACCCACACCACTCACACGCACACCGACTCCCTACCTTTTCACGAAAATGTTCCCGTCTTGTGTCTCTCTAATTCCATATCTCTTTCAACCAATAACCACACCACATAATTAAAATTTTACATTTTTTTTTCTTTTTTCTTTTTCTCCATTTCTTTCTCTTTTTTATATCATGGGGCTGCTCTATTTCTCAATCAATCAACATCTTTATACACCACCTCGTTCCAACTTAGCCAACGTGCCACGGTGGCGGCGGATGGATGCCATCGCAGCTTTCCATTGCCGGAAAGACAAGGTGGTCGTGATCATGGGGGCCACCGGCACTGGAAAATCGCGCCTCTCCGTCGACCTCGCTTCCCGCTTCCCCTTTTCTGAAATCATAAACTATGATAAAATGCAACTCTACAGTGGCCTCGACATCACCACTAACAAGATCCCCATCAGAGAGCAAAACGGCGTGCCTCACCACCTTCTCGACGAGTTTGACCCTTCCAATGACGAGTTCACGGCATCAGAGTTTCGCCAGCGTGCCAGCAAACTGGTCGCTGACATCTCATCCCGGAGGAAGCTCCCAATCCTTGTGGGAGGGTCGAACTCGTTCATTCACGCCCTTCTCGTGGAACGATTCGACCCTGTGTTGAATGTCTTTGATGACTCACGGCCAACAATCCCATCCGAGTTGACTGGGTTGAGGTACCAGTGCTGCTTTCTCTGGTTGGATGTTTCGTTGCCTGTGTTGACGGAATATTTGCTTAAGCGAGTGGATGACATGCTTGACTCGGGGATGGTGGACGAGTTGGCCGAGTTTTATAAATCGAGCGGTGACTCGACGAGTGAGAACGGGTTGAGGAAGGCAATTGGAGTGGTCGAGTTTGAGCGTTATTTTAAGGAATATCCTCCAACGTTGGAGATGGGAGGATTTTGTTTGGAGGATGGGGGCGGGGATGGCATGCGGAAAGGTGCATACGAGAGTGCTGTGAGGGCAATGAAGGACAACACGTGTCAATTGGCGAAAAGGCAGATAAGGAAGATTTTGCGGCTACAAAGGGTGGGGTGGGACCTGCAAAGAGTGGATGCCACGGCGGTGTTGAGGGGCGGAGGAAGGTGCTCGGAGATTTGGGAGAAGGATGTTTTGGAACCCAGTTACACGATTGTTAAGCATTTCTTGGAGGATGTTTAGCTCTTCTTCTTTCTTTCAATCTTTCAAATCCTTTCCACTTATTTTTCAAACTCCATCAAATCTTATAGCAGCTTCGCTTTTCACACTTGGCGTCTTCAGGCTCCCTCCATTTTTTCCATTAAAACTGCCAAAAGACACAAATCTTCAAATACGCAGGTTTAGCTATCGAATCATTCAACAATGTATAAATCAGTCGGTGAAACCTTCCGATTTTGCTGATGATCGCCTTTTAACTTTTGGCGGCAATTTTGCAGAAAAAAATAAAATAAAAGTCGTAACTTCACGTATTCAAAGGTGAGATCCGTCTATACAATCATGTTAATGTTATTTAATACAAACAAATTAATTTTATAAATTTTTATATAAAAATAAAGATGAACAGATGCTTCATTTTATTGTTTTGTTTTTATGTGCAATAATTTTTTAAAATATAAATAAATAACAAAATTTGAATAACATATCTATGAGTATTTGAATTATATAAAATTTGATATATATAATTATAGAAAAAATGTAAAATAACTTATCGGTTGAATTTATTTATTTTATATTTATAAAATATTCTTAACTAATATAAATATTTAAATTTGATATTTAATATGAACAAAAGTGAACTCGAACATTTAAATAGAACTCAACACACGTAATTTTACGTTGGAATCTAATAAAATACTCCAACTTATTTTTTATAACTTAAATTTGAAGATGTAAATTATTTAGACTATTTTGGTGTTATTAATCCCCTTGCAAGCATTGACTGAAAGAATGGCCATTATTAAAATTCTTAAGATATTTTATCATGCAACAAAAACTTTTTCTACTTTTGTTGATGTCATTGTACATTTGCATTTCACCAAAGTTAATCCTTTAGTCATAATACTATTAAATCTCATAAAAAAAAATCCATTTTTGAATAAGGTTTTCTTAACCCCTTAACTTTGTGTGTAAATCATCAAATACAAGGGGTTTTGGGACAAGTATCATATGTTCACAATGACTAAATTTCTAAAGAAACTTGATTAATTATTATCAAAATATGGAGGCTTCATAATTAAAGCAGAATAAGTCTTGAATGACCCAATTGCATCTCTAAATTTTATAAATAAAATTAAGTAAATATTTTATATGCCGAGTGTAACTCTATGTCTAGAAGAACTCTTTAATCAATGTTAATAATGATTAAAAAGAAAAAAAATTAAAAAATATAAGTGTTTACAATTTAAATTTGATGAAAATAATGACTATATATTTATGTTTTAATATTTTAGTTTAACAGATAAAATAATTCATTTTTTTATATTAAAATAAAGAAGTTGAAAATAAAATAAGAAGTGAATCTATTTTAAAAAAAATATTTTCATAAATCTCTCAATCAATTTTAACAAGCACTAAAAAGATTCAATTTTCGATGAGATTTCAATGATAATGATATTATAACATAATGACTAACTTGAGATAAAAATAAACCACTACTAAAAAGTCTGTATATACAGACGGATTTTTAAATCATTACAGACAATTTTTAAAATTATAGACGAATTTAGAGACGGACATAAACTATCTGTGATATTGTCGTCAGTAAAAAATTACAGATGGATTTCACAATCTGTCTGTAAATTACAGATAAAAAAAGCTGTCTATAACTTATAGACGGAAAAATCTGTCTGTAATATATTTTACTATTATTGATATTTTTTGTTTATATAGATAGTTATTTCTGACTGTTCCTAATTATCACAATTTATAAACATAATAACAACTATAAATTAGGCATCTAAACATTTAAAAATGATTTATAAAATATAAAATTTAAATGTTATTACAAAGGAAGACAAAAGCATCCAAATAAATATATTTAAAAATAAAATACAAGTCTTCATCATGAATAATCTGTATGATTATCATCCGAAGGAGCATCATCATCAGTAGACGAGGAGTCAGAGGAATGATGCATGGAGGTGAAAACTGGTGGTACTAGAGCTGGTGGAGGAGGAGGAAGAGGTGTAGAGTTACTTGCTCTCATGAACTCAAAATAAGCATGCATCTACTACATCTGCATATGTTATTGTTTCATCTGCTGCTGAACCTCCCTTTGCATTCTCGATGCCACATTCTTCTCTATTTTCTTTGCCCACTTCTTCTTCCATGCACTTTCCTTACTCTTCCACATCTCCTCATTCTGCTTTTGGAGTTCTTCATTGAGGGCATGGACCTGAGTGCGGACTATGTCCTCCACTTCCTCAGGTGGAAGAGAAGGGACATCTTCAGTAATAGATGCAGGGGACATGGAGTCTGCAAAGTAGCCCCCATGCCATAAATTCGACCTTTATAAAGGTCACCCATTGTTTGTGACTACATAACATCCTCATCTACTGACTCTAGATTCTGAGAAGATGTCTCCTCAAGCCTTTGAGCATAATCATCCTACAGTTCAGTTCAGATAATTAGATATTAGTATCAATATATTAATGACTTACATATGTGGCCTGAGATCGTGTATCAATCCACAGGTTTTTGTCCTGCCTGCGAGTGTGTGTCTCTTTAAACAACTCTCCAGTCGTAGGTGGCCTCTTCAACGACTTCTCCTGCAATTCGAAATAAATCACAATATCAAATATGAAATTATAGATAGAGTAAACTAAATTTTAAAATCACATACCAAGTTCGCCTTAGTGTCAGCCGAAGTCGTAGACTCACCAGTGTGCAATGACTCCCTTATTAGATGCCCTGTTTGTCTTGTTCTTTACGGAGAGATTTTTGAACTCATCTGTACCCCAATACTCCTGCAAGGCACGAAGAAAGTTGGGTGCTATCCAATCAGCAGTAGAAGGATCCTAACGAGCCTCAGTGTATATCTGTCTTAGTCGCTTTGCAGTGCGACTCTTTCAGGCCTTAAAAATCATCTTTTCGTCTTGGAGAGAATGGAGAAGTTGCTCTACAAAAACACAATTCCATTAGAGAGGTACAAAAAATCAGATGTAATTACACTTAGTTAAAACTAATACACTATTATTACCTATATTTGGCATATTTTGAAGGAAACTTACCAAGTGTTCTGGTAGATCTTCAACCCTAAGAGTAGGTGAATACAGGTCCCTAAAGTACTCACTTAACTCAGTCAATGACTTCCAAACATGGTCTGGTAGTTCCCTAAATGCAGCAGGTAGAAGATACTCCATGAATATGTGGTAATCATGACTTTTCATCCAAAAAAATCTTCCTTGTTTAACATTCACACAACGACTGAGGTTTGAAGCGTAGCTGTCAGACATTTTTAAGTCCTTCACCCACTTACATACATCTTGCCTTTGTGGTAAAGTCAGAGTATAACTTGCCTTTGGCTTTGACCATTGACCATCTGCAAGTTGTTCTAACTTCAATTCTAGACGCGTACAATATTCTTCTAAATCTTGCCTTGTCTTTACATTATTTTTAGTTCGATCAGTGTCCATTACAATATTCATGATATTGTCAAATACATTCTTTTCCACATGCATCACATCTAAATAATGACGAACTAAGTTATCCTTCCAATATAAGAGCTCTTAGAATATACTTTGTTTATTCCAATTATGTGTCATTCCATAACCAGGAAACCTAATAGATTTTCCTACTTCTGTTATTTTTGGGAAGTGTCTAACTCTATCCCATACTTGATGACCATTTAAACGGATGGGAAGGTCCTCATTCTCAATAGTTGCTTTCCTAAATTTGTAGGCTTGACGCCTATAAGGATGTTCCATATCTAAAAATCTTCTATGACAATCAAACTATAAATTTTTTCCTCTATGTTTTAAAGTAAATGCCTCTGTATCCTCCATACAAATTGGGCATGCTAACTTCCCTTAAGTCATCCATCCAAACAACATTCCATAAGCAGAAAAATCATTTATCGTCCACATCAGTGCTGCTTTCATGATAAAATTTTGCTTCCTTGATAGGTCATAAGTTACTACACCCTCACACCATAACTCTTTCAACTCATCAATCAAAGGTTGAAGGTATACATCAATTTTAGCCTTTGAATTTTCTGGACCAGGAATTATACAAGTCAATAATAAATATGGATTTTTCATGCTCATTTCATGAGGAAGATTAAAAGGTGTAACCACAATAGGCCAACAAGAATATGGTTTTGTTACATTGATTGTTTGGAGTGAACCCATCAGCACATAACCCTAACCTTACATTTCTAAGATCGGATGCAAACTCAAGATACACTTGATCAAAATGTTGCCAAGCCTCACCATGAGATAAATGAGTCATTATACCATCACTCCTTTTATTTTTAGCATGCCACGTCATGTGAGGAGCTAAAGTTATAGATGCATACAACTTTTTTAGCCTAGGAATCAAAGGCAAATAATGCATACATCTTTATGTTTACCACTTCTACCACCTCTTCTTGGTTTAAACCTAGGCTCTCCACAAAATTTGCAATTGGTCAAAACAACATCATCTTTGTAATACAACATGCAGCCTTTCAAACAACAATCAATTTTGACTTCTTTTAATCCAAGTTTGGAAACTAATTTTTTTGCTTGGTAAAAGTTCTTTGGGATGGAGTCAGGTTGGGGACTAAGCTCACTAATTAATGTAGCTTATTAATTAAATGAACTCTGATTTTGATTGCCTTCTGACTTTTTGCTTAACATTCTTATTGCTAAAGAGAACTCTGAATGCACACACCTATCCCATAAAAGGCTTGTTTGTTGCTTCTAAAATATTATAAAACTTTGCAGCCTTCCATTAGGTTCTTGTTAAGCTTCAAAATCACGAAAAAAATTCAAATTAAGGATCAACAACATCATAAATCATTTCTTGATAACGACTATTGTTTTCTTTCCAACTTACATTACCTACATCCTCACCTAATTGCAATATATTTGAATTACCTATTTGATTTTCCAAATTAACTACTTCTCCATGCTCAGTCCATATCCAATAATCATGTTTAAATCCAAACTTATACAAATCATATCTAATTGAATCAATATCTAAAAACTTTTTACACTTGCACTTAGAACATGGATACCTAACTTTTTGGTTGGTGATGAATTGCTGCGAATTACAACAGACACGTATGAATTCCTTTACACCCTAAAAAAATTCAAGTTTTATTCTCCCCCGACTTGGGTGCAACCTATCATGCATCCACTGACGATTTCTAAGAAACATCTTCCTCAAGAACTATATAAACCTAATACAAATATACAATGTAGTATCAACCCTCTATTATAGGTTACACTGAATTTTAATATAAATTTTGGCAGAATCTCCCCTAATACATGTCAATTTCCTTACATTTCTTTACCAGTATTTTACAAAAATTAAAATTTCACCACACATAACTAATATATTATATAATAATATATTAATCGATACATCAAACACAAACACATTACAATCCTAAACCGTTCTAGAACACATCCCCTTGTAACTCCACAACATGCATATTCTACAAACTCCACAAACACAAACAATCACACAACACACAATAATCAGGTTCGGAGAAGGACCTCTACGTCCTTCCTTCCAGTCATACAATCTTCAATCCTACAACTCTATCTTAGAAATTTTAAGTCTCTAAAAAACATAAAAAATTAAAAAATTAAACCGATTAAAAGTTAGAGTATCGTATCAGGAATATAATGATGCAACAAACCTTTCAAATAGATGTCCTAATCATTCGCAAAGGCCAAAACACTGAGCTCCTAGAGAGAGAGAGAGGCGCGAGAGAGAGTTATGAAAAAATGAGGAAAGGGAAGGGGGAGGCACCATTTTATGGGTTTCAGTCATTATAAATAGAAAAATCTGTCTGTAAAGGATTTAATGAAACGGTGCATTTCAGGTGGCAAATTACAGACAGTTTTTTCTGTCTGTAAATTTGTCAAGTCCATTTACAGACAAAAAAATCTGTTTGTAATTTGTTGCCTGAAAAGTCGGTTAAAAATGACCATATTTACAGACGGATAAATCCATATGTAACTCTCGCTATAAAATTTTCTCATATTTTCAAATTACAGACAGAAAAATCCGTCTATAATTTCTGTCTATACCATTTCACGCCAAATGGTGGGCAAACTACAATCTGTTTGTAAAATCCATCTGTAAATAGCGATTTTCTAGTAGTGAACGTTATAGTTTTAAATTGAATAAAACAAATAAAGGATAAGTTTAAAACAAAAAGTTAGAAAATTAAATTACTAAATTTATTGAAATAAAAAAGAAACCTTTCACAAATTATGTTTGTTAAGTGTATGATCTCACAATATCTCATGTATGCCTAAAACATTTAGAATTTTAATTTTTAAACTTATATCTCTTCATGTATATACTTTTACAAAACTGTTAACTTGATAATAATTTTTATTCGATCCATGTGAATAAATAAATACTTTTAAGAAGAAAAATAACACAAATAATATCTCTTAAAAATAAAATTAGATAGTTACTCTTTAAATAATGATGAAGGGTTGATATTTGCGCGGTGGCTACTCTGAAACAAGTAAACGAAAAACGCCAAGTGAGATGCCCACTTGATAGTCAACGCGGCACGACACATTAATCTTCCATTTACATTTCAACTCTTTTTTCTTCTCCTACGTCTTACGTTATATAAAAGCACACAAACCATATTACTATTATTAAACCAAAACAACAATAGAGAATTATGTGATAGCTTTAGTATTTTATTTTTGTTTTTATATCTTCTTACTTTTAAGCCATCCCCCAATCTCCATGTATTAACACATAAAATATAGCTCCGATTAACTACCATTTTGAAAACGATCAATTTGATTCATCACCTACATAATGACCTAAAACGATCAATCAAATGACCAAATATTAATAAATTAAGAAAGTAAGAAAGTGTACAAAAGTCTTCATCCTGACCTAAAACGGCGCCTAATATATAATATACAGGACCATAATCTAATAAAACGATTACATAACACTAATATTACTAACTTTCCGAAATTATCACAATTAGAAAATAGTTTCAACAATTGTCTATTCCACACTTCAAATAGATATTTTCTTTGAAAGTGTAGTTCAGTTACTATTACACTAAATCCCTATAAGTTTGAAAGTGAAAAGATCAACATACCTACATACAAATTTAGCTAGTAAGTTTTTCAGTAATTCGCTTAAAATATTTAGGTTTAATTTTTATGCCTTTGCACGAGAATAAAATACTTACACAAATTATGCTTGTTACTTGTATGATCTCATAATATTTAATAAATGACATGAAAATATTTAGAGTTTCTAATTTTTATATGCTTGAATAGTATTTTTAATATTTCTTTTGCCTCATTTTATTTATGTCGCTCCTTTTATCTATGACATCAATCGCTTTTCTTTGAGTGCTATAATCCACCATTGTGTATCAAACATTTATTAAATACGAAGTGTGTATGCATAAGTCTTTGTAAATATCTTTTTTTATCCAAAATGTAACCCTCCAAAACTTTGACAGTAGCAATAGCCTTCCACCAAGACAACCCTCTCTACCTTTGTCAACATGAAACAAAGAAACCCCACGTTTGATATATATATATATATATACTCACCCTACATGAAAAGTGGTTGAGATTAAATTAATGTGTGAACGTTTTGCTTTATTTTATTTACTTTACCTTCTTCCCTTTTGGTCTATTTTGAATAAAATCAAAGTAAACGGTCAGAATAGTTGGCTAAAACACTTGTCAATATATATATCAAACGTGGGGTTTCTTCATAAACCACTTCATCTCTTTTAGCATTGGTGTGTTACGCAGAACTTGTGAGTTCTGAGATATGAGAACTGCAACGGCGAGGTTCCACTCCCTTCACGAGCATTCAGAGAAGGTTGTAATCAATGATTCACGTCCTTCCCCATTGATGATCAACAAACACTCCCATTTGATTCGCAAGCCTCCTTCTTCATCTTCATCTTTCAAATCTTTTGTTACATTAACCAAACCCCACAAACAGAAGGAGAACCCTATCATCATCTACACCGAATCACCAAAGGTTTTCCACACCAAACCCCGAGATTTCATGGCCCTTGTTCAAAGACTAACCGGCATCACACACTCCAACCAAGATGACAACCTCAACCCACAATTTGATGCATCTGAGAATTACGAGCCTTTTTTGTTTGATAGGTCTAAGCCCAACATCAGTGTGAAGGCCCAAGCTAAGGAGCAGAATGTTTCTTGTGCTGGTGATAAAACAAACTCAGCTTTAAGGGAAAGTGATGATGAAATTTGTGTTAAGCAAGAGCCGTTTGTTCAACATAGTTATTGTAATCTGGGCTTTGCTGATGTGCCACTTTTCACACCAACTTCCGTATATAAATATTCTGATACTCCATTTGGGTTTTTGGGTAGTTTGCTATCTCCTTCCGGATTGGAAGTCTTGAGAGAATTGCCTGAATATTAATGACCTCAATTGATGGGGTGTTTCTCTTCGTTTTTTCTTTTCTTTCTATTTCTTTTGTTAACTAAGTTATGACCAGCTGGAGTTTTGGATAAGATCAAGTTAATGTATTTTATAAGGAGATTTAATTGATTCTTTCTGGGCATTAGAGTTTCAGGTTTGTCTATATGATTTGATTCTGTAACCATAGGCAAAGAGCAGTTAGAAATTTCCAGCTTGGGGTACCTAACTTGTGAGTTGTGAAAGACATTGGACCAATTTTCGATTACCTATTAAATTGTGTTTCCACTTGTTTTTAATATATTTTCTTTTCTCTTGTTTCGTAAAAGCTGTTATTCTCTTTGTTGTAATGTTTCCTTCTATGCATTATTGTTTCCTCAAATATGGCATGTCCTTGCATTATTAATTCATCTTTGCATTCATCAATGATTTAATATACCTCGAGTCTACATTTTCAGGTTTGTTGATATGATTGGATTATGTAAGTAGTTTTCAATTCCCTGTTTAATGACATGCTAGTTTGATTAAGAATGGAGACCTGCTGAGAGTGTACGAAAGTATTTTTTTTTAAAATTACTTTTACGAGAATGGATTAAAGTTTTCCACTTTTTTTCTTGATCCAGTTGATGAAACCCCCACGAATTGGGGTTTTAAAACAATGCGATGGGAGCAAGTTCTATAAATTGGAGTCATGGCAATTATAAAAAGTAGCATACATCGAATGCGATTTCAGGTAAAAGGTTAATTAAAAATCTATACCGTCCATTAAAATATTTATAATTTACAATATTAATAATATCAATAAATTAAATATATTAAATTTTATAATTTTTAATAAAATTTTAGTGTATATTAATATAAAAATGATATTTATAATATATTTGAATTAGTTAATTGTGTAAGTTTTTTTACAAAGAGAGTATAAACATTAAACTAAAAAACTATTTTTTTTAAATAGTTAAAAATATTTAATATTTGTCCATCAGTGCTTCTGGAGATTGATTAACGAGAATCACAATGTTTTAATAATTAGATATATTTCTTAAGTTAAGTTGATGATATAAAGTTTTGATATGTTTCTAACACTTGGAGGCAACCATTTATTGATTGAATAAGGGATAATCAATAATTGGCCCTTATCACATATACTTTACATCCATATTTTACGACATTAGGCACACCAACCAAACTTTATAATTAATTTTATGGGCCTTGGAATCGTTTATCTTCACCCACCCTACCTCTGATTTATGTACATATTATCCAAATTTTGAAGTAATCGGCATCTTTTCGTTTCTCAAATCATGGGTAAGACGAAAGAATATGTTTCGTCAGCTTTCACGTCAATCGAAATTAAGTTTTTTGTTGATATTTTAGTTGTATGAAATTATAAAATGTAATAATTATAAAACATTAGTTATCATTCTAATATTAATAAAATATTTTCACATTTTGAAAAACTTGAAATATAAATGAAACTAAAAAGTATATATTAGTACAATTAAAAAAATAACAGAATTACTTGAATCAAGAAGAAATTGATAAAGTATAATCAAAATTTTCCTGTTGTAAAAAATAATAATTTAATTGTATTATATGAGAATAAATTAAAGATTTGTGACTTTCTAAATTGAGGCGTGAATTTTTAAAATGAATTTAATGAATTGTTTATCAATTTAACAATGTCGAATTTTAAATTTGCAAACTTCAAATTTAGAAATATGAAATATGTCCAATGCTGTTAACAGCTGAATAAATTTATAGTGTTTAAATTTGATCTAAAATATATGACAAAATATTCAAAAGAAGTGAGATATTGTAGAAAATGTGGCATATATGCCGGAATGACAAAAAAGTAATTCAGCCAAGTCTTTAGTTTAAAAACAGTACGCAAATTTAATATATATCAATAAATTCATATATCAATATATAATTTAAATTTTTAAAAAATCATAAAAATACTTTATTCTTTTTAACAATAATTTTATACTTTTTGTTTTCATTCAGTCTAATCCAAATTCGACACAAATCACTTAACTAGATGTATTAAGTCAGTCTATTACTAGAAAATTTTTTCGTATACAAAAATTTAAATTCAAGACTTTACTTAAATAATATCAAGTCATTTATTGTTGGATCAAGCTCTGTTAATTTTTAACAATAATATTTTAGTCAAAAGAGTTAATAAATTAGTATAATTAATATATTTTAATAAATATGTGTATTAAGTTAAATGATATATAATTTAAAATGAAAAAAATACATTTTATTTTCTTAAGTTTTTTTATTCACCTTTTTATTACAACGTTAATAATTTCAGGAGCACAAGGAAACATCTATTTTTTAATCTCATCAATTATCGTGAGGATGCTGTCTACTAAATTTGAAAAGTGATGAAGGATGCGAATTGGGGAAACGATCAAAGTTCTACTCAGTTTAATTTTGAAAAATTAAATTTTAAAAAATGAAAATATAAAAAATAATCTATATTTGAATACAGTATCTCAAAATTAAATTTAGAAAAACAGTTTTTTAAATAAAAATTAAATTACTTTAAAATTATTTTTCACTTATGTTTGAAAATTAATTTTACTCACTAGATAATTGATTTTGAAAAGACTATAAATTATTTAAAAATTATAAAGTACAGTTGAAACCAAAATTGCGGATCACAAATATAATTGATAACATTGAAAATGGAAAACCTGAAACTTGGGTTAGCTGAATGCAGCAATTCAGTCAATAATTAATTTTAACACTAATGGAGTGAAGAAAATTATTTTTAACACGTTTTTTTAAACACTTTGAACTAAAATAAGATTTGAATGCAATTTTTTAGAGTATTGTTATTGTTATTAACTAATTAAAATTTGAATTTTATCTTAATAATTTTTTATAAAATTAAAATATTTATTAAATTAAAACTTAAATTTTAATTGACAAATAATATTAATAATACTTAAAATTTGATTGAAAGAATATTAAATTACGAGTGAGAATTATTCAATTAAAAGTGAAACTTATATAAGTTATATATATATATATATATATATCTTAATTAATAATTAAAAGTATGTTATAAAAAGTTCGTTCAAAATTGTTAATATTTTCTTAATAAAGTTTAATAATTATAAAAATTTATTAAGAGAAGTAACTGTAAAATTATTCTAAATAGCTCAATATTTGTTCATATTTTAAAATTTTATTTTATTTTAATTCAGTCTTAAAGTTTATTGTTATTAGAAAATACATTCTATTATTAATTTAGGAATTCAAACAGTATTTTATAATTTTGATAGAGATTAGTTTCCACATTAGACCCAACTTCTATTGGTTAACTAAACAACCATGGAGCTTTTATGATTATTGGGAAACGGCGTAAATGAACATTATAAATTCTGAATTTTTTCGAATAAAGATATTCCGAGCTTTCATACTTTATTATGGTTAATTTTTTAAGTCTTTTTACCATGAGTGAACAAAAGTGTAAATGGTAATAACAATAAGAATTTAAAAATTAATTGGGATGAAAAGAAATTGTTAGATGACTTTTTCTTCTTCTTTTTTTATCAATAAGATGACTTTTATTTTTCCTAAAAAAAGACAAATTTAAGATAAATAAGTACTTTGTTCCTCTATTATTTTAAAAAATGTAAATTAAGAGTTCTGAATTCTGATATGTGGCTAAACATTCGCTCAAAGGTCTAACATGTTTCGGGTTAACAATTTGACGATTGAATTCACTCCAACAAGTAACAATACTAATGTAACAGTCAAATTCAATAATTTAATAATACACCATTAAATAATCATAACTTGTGCTCTTACAATACAATAAAAATAGAACCTTCTGAAAAGCCAGCTAAGAAACTTTCATTATGAGGAAGCTATCAACAATTTCCTAGAAGCAAGAAGGCTTTAGTCTCTACCACACGCTTAAGATATGTACACATAATCACAGAACTAAATTATTAATTTACAATTATAAACTTTAAATTGAATAGTACAAACAAACAATTGCTATTAAGAATAGTCTCGGTTATGCCTTTTATTTTCCTTTTTCTTTTTCTTTTTCTTTTTTTTTTAAATTTGATTATTGAAATTTCGAGCACCGAAAAGAAACCGCAATTATTCAAGTTGGTCGGAACATTGATTGCTGTCCGAAACAACTATTGCGTCCGCATCCCACCAAGTATCCGCGTCAGATTCCGTTACGTTTCCTAACGGCGTGCTGACCTTTCTCATGTCTCCGACCGTAATGCCGTAACGTCCGTCATCTCTGACGTAAACCTTCTGGACGCCACCAGATTCCACGCGCACAGTCTTTCCCACGGTGGGCCCCCACTCCGCCACCACCGTCGGCTTCCGCCGCCTCAGGCGCGTGTCCCAAATCTCGAGCTCCAAATTTCCACACGCGCCCTCCCCGGCCGAAACAACAACCGCGGGCGACGCCGTGGAGCTAGCTGGCATTGACGGTTTTCCGTCGTAGGCCGAAACGACGCCGTCCTCGTAATCATCGAAATCTAATCCCAAGCCGAATCCTATGCTGTCCCAGAGCTTCACGACGTTCTTGCTGTTGGCGAGTTCCGAGAGGGAAAATATATCCCCTATGGTAGGACGTCGTTTGTGCGTGCCGTTTTGACTAAAAAGCTCGTCGTCTACGGCGGTTCCCCTGACTCGAAAAAACTCGTCCAAACGGTTATAACTTGAAGACGGGGACGGGTCGTCTTCGAGCTCAGACGACGAGTAGGTTACGTCGTCGTCGTCGTCGTTTTCGTACTCATCATCAGAACTAGTGTATAGGTCGTCGTCGTCTAAGGATGGAAGAGAAGGGGCTTTGTTACGTAAGCGTATGATGAATATGGTGATTCTGTTGATGATGCTACCGAAGGTGGCGACTAGGGCGAGAATTACTGCACCCCATTTGCAGAAATTGTAAGCTACGGAAACGGATTGGATCCCAGCGAGTGAGGTTGTGATCTGAGAAGGGAATGATGGGTTCTGCAGAGAGTTGAAACCCACTTGAAGATCGTTGATCCTGTCGATCAATGGAACTTGCATGTTTGCGTTTTGAGGAGAGAGAAAAGAAGAAGTCAAGAAAAATTTGAGGAGCTCAAACTGAAACTCGGGGAAGAGAGAAGAGTTTAAGGGAAAAGGGAGTGCTTTATAGGGAAAAGGGGAAAGAAATGAAATGAAATGAAGTAATTGAATTAATAATTTTATTAATTTTGGTTTTTAAAATTAGTATTTAAAAATAATGAAATGTTGTTATTTTTAATATATATATATATATATATATATATTTAAGTATAAATATTAAAAGAAATTAGAAATAGTATATAATTTGACAATGATAATAATGAAATTATTAATAGATTAAAGTGAATGATAATGTTTTAAAAAAGTGCGAAATGAATAAAAAAAGAAAGTAGTTGGAGAGAATAAGTGTTCCACGTAAGGAAAAAGTGAGCAGGCTTTTTGGAACAACTGAAGGAGAAAAGATTGGAATGGGTGAGTCATCAGATGCAAAAAACGCAAAAGGTGGGTCCCGCTCGCAGGAACAGGTCATGTCTGAGCTTAAAATTTGTGGTTGTTAGGGTCACTCATCACTTGTCCAGTGCAGTTTCGACACGCGGTGACAGGTCATTGCTCTCTCTTTGTTTTATTTTCTTTTCTGAGTTGGTCGGTTTTCCGCCTCGTCACGTTCTGCACTGCTTCACTGCTTCTCTTTCTGTCTTACCATTTTTTTTGTGGCTTTTCAGCCTTTCGTTTCATAACTAGTATATAATCTCCACGGATTCTCAAAATATTCAATATTTCAATTATATTTCATTTTTCATCTTTATATTTAAACTTATGTAATAATCGCTTTATTAAAAATTGTGCAATGCTATTCAACTACAAAGAAATGCTAATAGTTGTAACAAATGCTTCAAGAACAATATTTGTTGCCAATCATTTTAATCAAAATTTCCTCTCTTTATTTCTAATTTTATTGTATGGAATTTGCTTTAGATTTCATCTAAGTTAAATTTTGTATAATTCAATTATATTTCACAAGGCAAGTAAATAAGTAAGCTCATGTTATACTGTTTTTTGGGTATCATAGTTAGGATTAGCTAGTTAAATATGATTAAATAACGTGTCTCATTATTATTTTTTGTTTTATTTTAAGATTTAGTTTGATATTTTTCCTTAGGTTTGAGAATGGTGAAAGATTTAGAGGTTTATTATATAAAACTCATCACTAACAATTTTACCGTTGCAGGGTAACAGAGTAAGTCCCAAAGAATATGAAAGGGTCTACCTGAAGAAAAATTATACAATGTTAACTTAATTTTTATCCTCCAACACTTGAGAAAACAATTTGGTGTTGGTACACAAGAGAATAATATCAATATGACCTTTTATGATCTAAGAAGCTCCTGAGATATTATCACAACTACAACACTAAAATCAAAATGCAGACACCAAGCACTGAACCAAATGACTCTGCCACTGCTTCACTTGCCCAACATCTTAATTTGCTTCCCTAACGAAACTTTGACACCTATGAATCAACATAATGAATGAATTGTAGTAATTTCATTGTTATGTTTCCTAACCCACACATCGCCATTGTTGATACATAGTTTAGTGCTTAGAAGAATCGAAACTTTGACATACATCAATCAGTATATTGAATGGTTTACAGTAATTTCATAGTTATGTTTCGTAGCCCACCCATCACCGTTGATACACAGTTAGGTGGTTAGAAAAATCAAACTCTATAAAGATATCAATACGTGTACGTATTAAATAAAATTGAAAGCAAACATCACAATGAAAAGCATAAGAGATTTATCTATGCTTCAAATAAATAACCTCAACCTATAGAGCCAGAACAAAACACTCGTCAAAATAAACGAAGGATAATCACTAAAATATAAAAAGGAGATTGAATTGAGTTCGTTCTTTCTTTAAACACTTTTCTCAAACTCTCTCTTGAAAGACTGGTGTTGAACAAACTTCTTTTGTCAAACAGAAAATAAGTTTTATAAAATATATAATTTAAAAACTCTTTTAGAAAACCTTTTTCTTTAAATAAAAACTAAAATCTCAATTCAAGGAAACTTTTAGAGGTTAGTATGAAAAAAGTATAAGAATGTACATAGAGAAGTTAAATGTAATATTTTTCCATAATTAGGCATAGAAAGTCAACCTTTTTCTTACAATGGTACTGCTGCACAAAATCAAAGATTATGTAATGTACTGACAATTGAACTTGCGCTTGAAGTTATAAAATAGAAAACTCTTCGCTAATTAGACATTCATTGGCACCAACAATTCAAGTCATTCTTCTTCCTATCTTTTGCTTGAAAATAATTGCTTTCATGTAATAAGTCAATAATAACATTTATTTATATGCACTTAATAAATTTTTTTTGATATAAAATAAAATTCATCCATATAGTAAATGTGTGTTAACAGATTGAATTTTTGAAGTGCCAAATTATTATTATAACCTTAATAATTTTTTCGTAGCAAATCCCATGGTTGCAATTGGAGTCACGATACAATGATGACTATATAAATAAAAAGAGAAGGAGAAGAAAGTTGCAACAATTTAAGAAAAACTAATTAAGGAGAGTCAGTCACTAAAATTTATTAAAAAAAACCTTAAATTAAAAAATAATCTTAAAAATCATATTTGATTTTGGGAGCTCTTTACTTACATTGGATAAGGGAGAATATGCTAAGCTATAGCCATTTCTTCAAGATGCACTCTTGATTGAGAGACAAATTTGAACCATATAGTCATTAAACTTTGTTTCCATCTTTTCAAGTAATTTTCAAAATCAGAGCAACATCCTTTTGGATTAGGTTCTTAAGAGTCCTTTATGCCTTCAATAGATGAGCTTTGTAACTTAAGAGCAACCACAATGCACAATGGTTTGGATAATTTCTAGAGGAGTCTGTAAGAACTTTTTCTAGAATGATCATTATCACATGTCTTGGTTGGAGTATTTGGAGTATAGTGATAATGCCATAAAAAGCTCTCCTCTTGAAATACTTGCTTTATGGATATTCTTTGCATGTTTTCTAAACATAATCTTGATTTCTTGTCCCCAAAGAAGATTGTTTGAACTTTTGGAATACGGCTGGTGGATGATGAAGATGGTTTTGAGATTGAAAATTTTTCTCTACGGGCTTTTTCTTTCGAGAAATTTTTATGGCATTATCCAATTAAGAGGAGAAAATTCATTATAGGAGTATCCAAGTATAATAATTGTGCTTTCCATCAATGAATTGGCTGTAGAGTATAATACGTATAGAATAAAAGATAGTTATGCACCACACATACCAAAGTGTGCCTTCACTCTTCAGAAATATAAAATCCATGCAATGGAGAAATTTCAATGATTTTTCCAAAGAGACAATCAATGCCAAAAATATATACTAGAGGTTAGCTTAAAGCATGTCTGTGTTTTTACTTGACATTTTGTATCAGAAGTAGGATAAATAATCCTTTGTTCATCCATCAAGCTTTTTCCAAGAGTGAAAAGTCTAATCAACTTCAAGCGAAATATCCTTCTTCGTAAAAGCAGATTTACGAAGGGATTTGACTATTATGTTTTTAAATTATTATCTTAAGAAAAGAGAAATTATCTATCTGTACTACAAATTATAAACCTAAAAATCAAATTTCTGAATTTCATATTTGACTGCAAAAGCCTCTTTGTTTGTAGTGTATTATTGCTTTTCAATTGTCTTTGAATTGGTCTCCAGTTCTAGTCACTTGCATAATTTTTTTTTCTTGCTCCAAGTATTTTTAGAGTTGGAGTACTCAGCAATCTTTTTCAGTTGTTAGAGAACTTCAGTCTGGTTATGGCCATATTGAGAAGAATTCTTAATTAGGATTTTGGAAAGTTGGCTAGTTTACCTTGCGGCATTGGGAACGAAGTCCTAATTAATATAATTTACAATTCTAAGAAATTGTTGGATTTACTTGGTCGTGATTTTGTTATTAGGAAAATTGAGTAGTTCTTTAGCAATGTAAGATTGTGGCTGATATTTTCCATGGGAGAAATGCATTCTTAAGAAATTAATTTCACTTTGTCCTAATTGGATCTATTTTTCATAGTATAATTCCGTGTCTTTGGACTAGTTTGAAGAAATGGTCCAACGATTCCTTTGTGGGCTCTTTATCTTAGGAAAATAATAACACATCATCTGTGTAGATGAGTATATATACTGTCAAGTATAAGCTAAAAAATTTTGGTCATGACCTTTTAAATAAGTGGTGAGGAAACCTTTAAGCCAAAAGGCATATACAAAATTCATTTTTTTGTAGCAATCTACACAATCTATACACAATTGGCATAATTAATCCATATTAATTTGAGCGAACAACTTTTGAAGAGATCTTTGCATCCTTTATAAGGACAGAAAAGAAGGTAGTTTAGGAATGAGAAGTTTGTTTATCTTTTAGAAATGGTTGAAGAGGTTTATTGTCAACTATCTTTTGTTTCTTCTAAATTTTTAAAAATTTTTCTCAACATAGAAAGCTTGTAAAACCCACCTAGATTTAATGGGTTCAACACAGTCCTGTCTCGCTAACTGAAGATAGGAGGGAATCATTAGTAGATGAGTATACCTTGAAGGATTAATAGCTTCATTTAGTTTGAAAGGTAATTAAACAAATTGTATTCTTCCATAAAAAGATTAGAATGAAAGAATGTCTCATGGTTATTAGCAAATAAGTCTTACAGCTTATTTAGGGTACAATAGATTATTTTAAAATTGTTCTCTTTGCCCTTGATTTCTAAGTAAGATTTCTTACCAGCTTTAGTGAATCTTGATTTTTGGTTCATAATGCTTCAGAAGAATTGATATTACCAGCAAAGCTTGTTATAGCGATTTCACATAAAAAGCACTTGAAGTTTATTATGACATTTTCACATATCAAATGCTATATATGAAAAATAAATTTTGTAGAACATTTTCAACAACAAATAACCTTTTCTACTAAACATTCACTTTTTACATTTACTAAATGTTTGATATGTATTTGTGCATTAAAGCGAGAGGTATTAAGCATTTTGAAAAGTTGTGTGAAATGCTAGAAAATGTCTTTTGACATAATAGATATATATTTATTTAGGGTACAATAGATTATTTTAAATTTTATATTTACAAATAATAAATTAAATTAAAAATTCACAGGTTGATTTGACTCTGTTGATTTACAAGAAACCTATATATGATGAGTCAAAGGGTTCACAATTAAGAGTCTACTGATTAACTTTATATGCACGTATATGAAAAACACTTTATATTTGTTACTTCAACCATTCCATGCATCGAGAACAATCCTAATTAAGTTCCAATACATGTTATGCTAGCTAAAATTCAAGATACTGGTGACTTATGAAATAGTGATTTGAGGCTTTAAATGGGGTAAAATTTAACCTCTCTCACGCCCAAAAATTTCATACCCAAACAACAAACTAATTAAGTCACCAACATATATTATAGTCATAAATTTCTATCAATCAATTTTAATTCAAATAACTTATTTTCATATAATTAATTATAATTTACATTAATAGTTTAATTTTTCTAAATTAAGAGTTGATTTTATCACAAATTGAGTTCGAGCATAATTATCTCTTATAAAAAATATTTATTATTTAAATTAAAAAGTCAATCATTTATGAAATTAGTATAAGATTTTTTTACTCAAACTTTATTTTACAAACTCCTACAGTCCTACTTGAACTTCTAAAAATATTTTGAAATAAAAAGATATGGTTAATAATTTTAAAATAGTTAAGTAAAATTTTTGAAACAAAATTATGAACTTTAAAATAAAAAATGATTTTAATATTTTTTAAAAATAAAAACATAATTTTTGTAAAAATTATTAAAAATTGTATCACATAATTACTTTTAGGTAATATGTCAAAAGTAGTTAATTCAAGTAATATATTTTTAATATTTTAAATGAGATTTTAAATTTAGATTTTTATAAAAAAATATAAATTAAAAAACTACCTCTATCATATTTTAAATATTTCACATCATTCAAATTAAACTATCACCCATATAATTATCCTACTCTGACATATGATAGGATTCGGCAAGATTATTCGTTGTACTATAATATATGCCACGCTTTTCACATTGTCGACCGTCCAAAGTACTTAGCGACAAATACATTGTACTCATTCATCGCCCTCCTGCAATCTAATCACATATAATATGAGCCATATCTAATCAGATTTTGAGAACTGATCAAATTTAATCTAAGCTATATAAACATACACAATATGCTAATCAATTTTTTTAAGGGATATTAAAAGTTTAAAAAATTGTAAAAAGTATAATTAATACACTTTTTTTTGTAATTTTAATACATTTTAATATGTTTTTTTTAATAAGCATTTATATTTTCAGTTTTCAATTACTGCTCTAAAAATAATAGTTAGCAAGATCCTCAATTATATATAAACAACTAAAATTATTTGAATTAGTTATAATTTTAGTCATTTTCTTAATTATATCTTTTCATTATTTTTTAAAATAAAAGCAAAAGGCAGAATAAAAATAAAGTGATAATTTTATGATTAAGAATTATATTATATATGTATAAATGTCTAAATAGTACTTAACATACACGGTCGAAAGAATTGGATTGATGTTTTAATAAAAAAAATATTAAAAAAGTCATTTATAAAATTTAATATTTCATATTAATAAAGTATACACACATTCATAAATATATGAATGTAAAACAATGTAATCTTTTCAAAATAATTATCGATACTTTTTTTGTTATAAAAATTTTAAGTGAGTTAGATTTTGAAAAACAATAAGAGGAGAATATATCTTAAAGCTCAAATAACGCTTATGAATGAATTTGCAAATAGTCTACCAATAAGTGCTAATGTAAGCACTAAAACTTAAACCTACATCTTTATACGATATAAATACAATTTTTATTAATTGAATTAACTTTCGTCGGCCAATAATTATTGAGTTTATAAATAACTTTAATATTTTTGATCAACTTTGATGCATATCAATCTCTTATATATATATATATATATATATATTCTCTTGGCTTGTTTTGTCATATCATTTATTGTTATTATTTTACTAGTTTTTTTCCCTCGAATATAATTACTCAGTCATGATTATCTTTATACTATTGCATGGTCCATTTCACCCAAATAAAGATATCGCTTTCGCTTATATAATGAGGTGATTATTTGCATGACTCTGTAACGTAGAGAAGCATGGGTTGTAAAATATTCAGGTGGTGGCCATACTCTCTTTCATGCTTTTGTTTCCAAACTCTCAAGGCTGGGGAGACGATGGCCATTCCATTGTTTGTAAGATTGCTCAGGTCACCGCCTTCTCTGTCTAATGCAATTTTCTCTCTCGTTCTTCTGCTTCTCATTCTTGTTACTTTGATATAAGTGTCGTTCTTTATTTACGTAGGAGAATGATCTTTAGCTTATTCCAAATAATTACCCCATTATAATATTAAATATTAAAAAACAATTAATCAGTACTCTAAGAGTGTTGATTAAAAAATTAATTTTAATAAAAAAAATTTAGTTAAAGAATGTTATCAATCGCCTCCCTTCACAAGATAACCTAGTGTTTTTTTAAAGATGACTCAACTGAGAATTATGATCCTTGATACATACTAACTTATAATATTCTTTGAAACACTGAACAGGGTCGCCTGAGCGATGAAGCTGGTGTGGCAGTGAAAAAACTGTTGCCAAAATCTGCAGAAAATGATTTGGCGGCGAAGTGTTCTTGGGCAGACCATGTGAGGCATGTCTTTCCATGGTCTTCTGCTTTGCACTTTGCTAATACTCCTGACTCTGCCTGCACTTACAAAGACAACAGTAACTTCTTTTCTCATTCCTCATTCGTTTCCAGCTATGAATGCAGTTGCGATTGTGCTCTATATTATTTCTAAAATTGCAAGAAACTCGGGCAAAATAAAGTTATAAATTACACTATTTAATATTATGAATATTTTTAAAATAAAGTTGTATATATATAAATCATAACAAATTTAATCATTTATTTCTTATTAAAAATGCGGGGAGAGAATAATATAGAACTTGACATCATTAATGCTTTGAGGTCCATTATTGTCCTTGTTTCCCAACTCTCTCCCTCTCGAAAGACCATTGCAAAAGAAAATAATGCAGAGGGACATGTGAATCTACAGAACCATCTAAATCAGGTCCCACATCCCATTAAAAATCACCAATCCCCAAAGCGAAAATTTACTGAAAATTAATGTTTGTTCTTGTTCATTTATTTTAGTTATTGGCAGAATGGAAAATATAACGTCTCAGATTTGAATGTTATGTATCCGATAAATTAAACAATTATTTATTTTATATTTTAAATTTTAAGCGTGAATCATTTTAACCAATAATTCTATAAAAATTATATTTTAATATCTATTTTGTAAAGTACCATTTATTTTAATTTTTTATTTAAAATAAAAATAAAAAATAAAATAAAAAGATTAAATGAGTAACTTTTAAAAAAATTAAGAATTAAAGGAGGATTGACATATCGATTTCACAACTTCGAATTTTATAAAGTATGGATATTAATTTTATTATTTAAGTTACTAAGAATTAATATCATGTATAATTATTTTTATTTTTTTTACACTTATGTATTCTAAAAGTACATCCCAACTATAAGCAAAACACTTTAAGGTGACCTTGGAAGTTGTACAGAAAAAAAAAAACATTTCTCAATAAATATATAAATTTGCTAAAAGCTTAATCAAACTTGTAACCATATCCGAAATAATTAACTTATGTTTATTAACATATGGCATGAGGTGGTGCTAAGCTGTTGTCTGAACATTCAGGGGATTGTGTAGATCAGAAAACTGGAGCTGAGGGTCGATGCATTGTGGCAGCGATTACCAATTACACCAACCAGCTCCTCGAATATGGCAGCGAAACTAAATCAAGATGTAAATCCATTTTTCAAACTAATAACTTCATTGTATGAATTGTATCCCATGATTTTTATAATAATAAATCGATGTTTGGATATATGGTCACATGGCAATATCAGATAACCTCACACAAGCTCTTATGTTCCTTTCACATTTTATGGGAGACATCCATCAGGTATGCATCTTCACACATGTGCTCATATTATCATATATAATTTGCAAAGTCCTTAACCATCATATATGTAACGGGTTTTGCTGGACGTGCTTAATTTGTAGCCTCTACATTGCGGCTTTACCTCAGACAAGGGAGGGAATACAATTACTGTTCATTGGTACAGAAGGAAGCAAAATCTTCACCATGTAAGTCAATTTATATGCTTCGCCAAGTATTCAGGAATATGATATGTTTAACTTTCCGCTGTCTAAATCTACACCATCATATACAGATTTGGGATGATACCATAATTGAGACACAAGTGGAGAGATTTCATGATAATGACATGGGCGACTTCGTCGATGCACTTCAGAAGAACATCACGGTTTCCATCTTTCATTATCTTCGTCAAAGTGTGTTTGGTTCCGTACATTTTGAAAAATTAATTAATAGCTTCTTTTTGCTATTTTTTTAGGAAAAATTTCACTTTTTAAATGCCCATTTAAGAAATTGATAAACATATAATTTCTTAAAATCAACTTAACCAAATATGCGTGGATTTAAGTATTAAAGTTTGATGTTGTCTTTGTTTTGTTTTTTCTGAATGAACAGAGAGTATGGGCGGATGAAGTAGAAGAATGGGAGAACTGCGGTAGAAAAGACCTTCCATGCCCAGCTACGTATGTCCCAATATTAGTATTATCATCCAAATGAATAAAATATTTATGTTTAAATAAACCTTTAGTTCATAAAAAAATTAATATATTTATAATTAGCTTGTTTATAAACAATTGTTAAAATTTAGTGTCTAAAAAATTAAATATGAAACATTTTTAACTTTTGTTACTTAAGTGTTGGTCTAACTCAACGATGTCACACGTCAAATACGTGGTAGGCTTTTATTTAGTAAGCACACAATATTAAAAAATTAAAATTAAAATTAAAATAATTTTTTGTCTTTATAAAAAATTGCGTTAGAAATTAATCTCTAAATTTAAATTAAGGAAGTAAAAAATTAGTTCTTACTACTAACTTTTGTATCTTAAATATTAAATTTATTATTGGGATTTCAATTCAGCGTTATTACATTTTAAGCACTTAGCATACCATTTTTTTAAAAACTTTTTGCTTTTCCTATCACTTAAGTGATATTGTATGCTTACATTTCTTTCACTAACTTTCTTTCACTTATACTTTATATTCTTCGTTCTTTCTATTTCTCTATTTTTTTATTATTATTTTTTATTCCTTCACCCATTTAACATCCAAAATTTAGGTGTCGAGGATCATTTTTTCATATCTTTTACATTCTCTAACCCTCACTATCTTCTTTTTCTTCCTCCACTCATTTAACACCCTAAAATAAATTTTCAAAAAAATTATTGTCCTTAAAATAATTCTCTAGCACTGACAAATACTATCCTTCTCTGATCCGGAGATTACTGGCATCCATCCCATGCTTAATGAGAAGTTTCTTACTTAAATCCCTATTAAATTGCTTCTATAGTAGTCTCTGTATGTCGTGCAAAACATAACATGAGTATTAATTTTTTCAGATATGCATCTGAAAGTACCGTAGATGCTTGTAAATGGGCGTATAAAGATGCCCCCGAAGGTTCAGTGTTAGAAGGTAAAGCTTTGAGAGGTCTAATAGTTAAAAGAAAATTTTCTTGTACCTTCTCTCACTGTAACTTGAAAATATACTCTGCAGATGATTACTTCCTGTCACGTTACCCTATAGTCAATTTGAGGTTAGCTCAAGGAGGAGTTCGATTGGCTGCAACTCTTAATCGTATTTTTGACACACAATCAGCAATGTCGATGTGATTTTATTGAAAGAGAAAATCACTCAATCGACAATTTGCGTAATAAAGTGTCAAATATTTGAAGTCCTTGAGTTTAATAAGCACTAGTTGAAGTCTTATTAGAGATTAGAGATCCTTGCCTTCATTGTGCCAAATAAAAGAGAATAGTGATCTTGCATGGATTTCTCTTGCACGCACGAATTGCTACGCCTGCAATATCATTGCTCTCTATAAATTACTTGTCTTGGGTTTTCTATCTGCAAGCGCAGTTGTAGTTGTTATAATGCTGGTTACTACAGTTCTCACAATGCAAAATTCAGTCGTTGCGAAATAATTTTTTTTTGTCTTCGCACAAAATATAAACAATTATAAAATTATTGTAATTATTAATATAGATTTTCGTTCATTTTTGGAAATTTAATTTTAAAATTTTAATAATAAGTACCACTTTTGTTATAATACAATAAAAATAAAAGGACAGAGATTTAAATGAGGCCTATGCCCTGAACAGATGAACTGACAAGTATGCACACGCATCAATAAATTAATATCCAGATTGATGATACATTTTATGAAGCCAATTTTGTATTGATGCACTCATCGGTAATCATTTTGTATTTGCAATGCCTCTGTCAAATCTCTCTTCGATTTCATCCAATTCACCCCTCCGACTTCTTAGCCAAGTTATTGCTTCTCAAATCAAAATCCTCAAAAGATAAATTTAAAATAAAATTGTAATATTTTGAATAATTTTGTTTTAAATTAAAGAATCTTATCTTAAAGTTTATTTAAGTTTAAGAATATTCACATTTTTTATATTGATAAACTGACCATTTTCTAGTTTTCTACAAAAAAAACATTGTCTTATTTATTGGCATTTGGCTTTAATTTCTATATATTTTTTTAATTGAACTTGACTTTATTATGATAAAAAGAGGCAAGATTTCCAAATGAATTGCAACAAAATAGTCCAACATTGATTAGAAGGATGGGTTTTTCTATTTTTTAATATCAAATTATTAATCATTTTTTTAAGTTTCCGGTTATATAAAAATTTCTAATATTGACCCAACCAAAGTTTGGAAGTCACAAGTTAATTAAGCTAAAGGTGGACTTAAAATATCATCAACTGCTGATCTTTGACTTTATCATTGCCGTCATTTTCAAGCCTCTCTCTTCCCATTACCCACCCCTAAAACGGGGTTGCAATTACAAAAACTAATTCGTCGTGTTTATTTAATTTAAAGTCAAGTACTACAATTATAGTAAATATAATCGATATACACACGTGTATATAGTTTGGTCACCTATGAAATTAATACAGTATTTACTTATAATTAATTAATCATTGACAAAGTAACTTAGGATTTGTTTGTATGGATTTCTTTTTCTAAAAAATCCTGTAATTTTTGGGTACATAAAATAAAATAGCTATAGTACTTTTTATAATTGTTAACCACTAAGAATAACTTAAAGAACTGCCTCACGTGATTACTTTCACGAATCACAAGACTAGAGAGCGAAATTATAATATCTGCCATGCTTTCCATGCGGATTACCACATGTTTGATACAGTAGTTTTAAATGAATTAAATTTTATAAAACTTAATATAAAATGTTTAACTCAATATACAAGTTAGCATTTATTTTTCTAGTTTAAATATAAATTTAAATATAAATTTAAAAATAAAATTAATTTTTGATTAAGCCTAACATCAAAATATTTTATACAGTCATATTAGGACTATGGGGGATTTTACCATAAATCTAAATATATACTTATAAATTCAATTCAGTTTCATTAATGATAAAAATATCATATAGTAATTAGCTTTAAAAGTTAAATCAAAATTTATACAAATTTTAATAACAAATTTCTGTACAAAAATATCAAGTAAACTCCGTCCTACACGGAACGAATATTCGAATAATAAATAAAATAAAGCGCTGAAATATTACTCGCACAGATGGCATTCATGATAGCCCGGTGCCACTTAACGGAAAAAAAAGGTCATGCACTTCACACGATGTGGGAGGGTTATTTTTATTTAGAAATAAGATTAAAAAAAAATCTTAACAAAATTCGGATTAAAATATTAAAATTATAAACTTCATTTCTTAATATTTTTTATTCAATTCGTCTTCTAAATTTAATTTAAAATTTATTTCAGTCCTTTAAATTTTTTAATTCAATTTTATTTCCTAAATTACCTTTTCATGTCAAATGTTTTTTTTTCAAAATTCTCAAATCAGCACTAGACCTTAAGAAACCATTCCTCATCAACCGTTAGTTCCTATTTTGTTTTTCATTTGAAAAACCTAACAACCATTGTGAAGCCACCATCATATATCAAATATATATATATATATATATATATATACATTTATCAAACATTAAAAAAAGTTAGTGTTAGAAAACATTAAAAAAAAGGATGAAAAAGTTAGAAAATAACTTTAAAACAGAAAATAAGTTAGAAGACAAAGCATATTTGTTTCTTGGTCTACGAAACGAAGTCAATGAAATCTACGGTTAAATGTGAGTTTGACATGATTTAGTATGTGCAGTGGATGGTAGGAGATTTATTCTCTTTCTAGCAATCGATTCTTAATAAAAGGCAGACAGGTCCTAAATTAATCCAAAGACGCTAAAAAGTTGGAGAACAAATTAAATTAAATTAAGAATGTTTTTAAATGAAACCAAATCCAAATTAAATTTAGAAAACGTAATTATTCATATGCTAGTATTTATAAAAAGCACAATAAGTTCATTAGATTGATGCTTTTGTAAAGTAGAGAAGAATGGGTTGTGACAAAGTTCACCTACTGGTCATAGTCACACTCATGATTTTGCTTCCAAATAGCGAAGGGTGGGGAGAAGAAGGACATGCCATTGTTTGCAAGATTGCTCAGGTACCTACCTACCTAGCTACCTTCTAATACATCACATAGTTGTTTTCTCTTTGATTTATTTGGCTTTGATTTGAACAGGCTCGGCTCAGCACTGAAGCTGCTGCGGCAGTGAAGAAACTCTTGCCAAAATCTGCAGAAAATGACTTATCAAGCAAGTGTTCGTGGGCAGATAATGTGAGAGTTGTCTTTCCTTGGTCTTCTGCTTTGCACTTCGCAGATACTCCTCAGTCTGTTTGCAGTTATAAAGACAGTAGTAAGTTCCTTTATTATTCAGCTCCCACTGCCACTTGTCTCTCCTTTCAAACTCCGATTCCAGTTATAGTTCCCTTATAATTACAAACATCAAAATACAAATTTTAATTTCTCAAATAATTGAATAGAAATTTTAGTCCTTAATTTTAAGGTTCTGGCAAATACAGTATCAACAGTGCTGTTGATTTGAAGATTTCCCAATAATTTTTTTTTACTTATTGTATTTGTTAATAGCTTGGGAAAAACTATAAACATCCTCATAATCCTTAGAAGAAATAAGATTTTCAGAGTTAAGATTGTCAATTTAGATTCCTTCTCTGCTTTGGATCCTTACAATGAGCTATTTCTGTTGAGACAAAATCTACACAGAATTTGCTTATAATTTATAAAACCTTGATAGAACTTCTGGTCGTATCTCATTCTTTATGTTGTGGTATATTACTAACCTTCAGCTTGAACATTCAGGGGATTGTGTAGATCACAAAACTGGAATTAAGGGTCGATGCGTTGTGGCGGCGATTACCAATTACACCAACCAGCTCCTCGAATATGGCAGCGAAACTAAATCAAGATGTAAATCCTTGTTTCAATCGAATAACATTTTGTATCCCATGTTTTTTATGTTTATCTTGTTTGCAACTGACAAATCCTTGTTTTGATATGGTCACATCACAATATCAGATAACCTCACACAAGCTCTTCTATTCCTTTCACATTTTATGGGAGATATCCATCAGGTATGTATCCATACATGCGCCAAATCACCCATGAATCATCCTCCCATTTGAATTTGCATAGGTAACATGGTCCTGTGAGAAAGAGAGAAAAAAATATGATGTTAATTAGTTTATCTGATAATAGGTCAAAATTTGATATATATATTCCATAATGTTCATGGTACATCCCATTTTAAGGGTGTATGAGGTGGAATGAAAAGAAAAATAGAAAAAAAGAAAGAAAAGAATAAATGTGATAATTGATTTAAAAGTAAAGAGAAATGAGATGGAAAGTGGTGGAAGTGTTGTACAAATGTCTGAATATAGTTATTGATAAAGATTGTACTGTCTCCTCTAATTGACACCAAATTGAAAAATTAGCCCTAAATTAATAACTCATGAAAAGATGATTATTTAAGTTTTATAAGAAATGTTTTGTCTATATTTCTAACCAACAAGAGCGATCGATGTAAAATGTTTTAACATGTTTTATGTTAACTGTCCAATAATTACATGTAAAGAAAACCTTTGGAAGCATCAATAATGATAGTCTAACCAAAAGTGAAACATGTTAAGAGGCCACATTCTGTTATCCAATGATATGATGCCAAACCATGATTAACCATCATATTTAATGGCTTTATGTACATGCATAATTTGCAGCCTCTACATTGTGGCTTTACCTCAGACAAAGGAGGCAATACGATTAATGTTCATTGGTACAAAAGGAAGCAAAACCTTCACCATGTAAGTCAATTTCTTAGTTTCACCATCAATACAACAATATGATCCACTTAAGTCTCTGATATCTAATTTTATAATACCATATACAGGTTTGGGATGTTAGCATAATTGATACACAAATTGAAAGGTTTTATGACGACATAGTCGACTTCACCGATGCAATTCAAAAGAATATTACGGTATTATATGCAGTATCTTTTGTTGTCATCATTCTTAAGGAATTGTCTGTCGAGGTTTGGTGTTTTCTTAATTTTTATTTTCTGAATAAACAGAAAGTATGGGCTGATGATGTAGAAGAATGGGAGAACTGCAGTAATGATGACATATCATGCCCAGCTATGTATGTCCCACTAGCATCTATTAATAGGATCTTTTATCCAGACAGAATTTTACTTCAAAGAATGTTTCTAATGGAAATATATTTCTAATTTGTTTTTTGATTTTTGTTTCTGATACCCGTTTCTTTATTTTCATGTTTGGATTTTCTTCATTTTTAAAAAAAAAATACTTTTTTAAATTTCTCGTAGTAAGATTTTGATTATAAATCATTTTAAATACAGTACACTGATTCTTATACTAGTTTCAAAATAACTCTCTAGCATGTAGAAATATTACCTTCGTTTGATTCTCAGAATAGTGTCCTCCTCTGGCTTGAAAGTGAGAGCTTTATTAAAATGCCAAAAACCTTTGGCTAGAAAAATAATCGCACCTGCTTCATTACTAGTCTGTCTGTTATTAAAAATAGACATGCTTAACTTGGGCCAATGTTTTTTATAGATATGCATCTGAAAGTTCCATAGATGCTTGTAAATGGGCGTATAAAGATGTCACCGAAGATTCAGTACTAGAAGGTAAGATACAAGAGCTCTGATAGTTAAGACCGTTTTCTTTTACCTTTTCCTCATACAACATAAAAATTAAAAAGAGAGTAATTTATTTACAACCAATTCTGACAATAATTTTTACACATTTAGGGGCCTTTCTGATTTTAGAAAGTATTTTTAGTTTCATATTTAGTCATAAAACTATCACTTTGTTTTTATTGTTTCGTGTTTTCAAATATTTATAAAAGAAACACTAAAAATATGTATATATATATTTTTTATTTTCACTGTTCCTGTATAGATATTTAAAAAAATAAAATAAAAGAAAATCAATACGATAATGAAAACAAAAATTAAATTAGAAAACATTTTTTAAATCAAACAGCGCATTAGTTTTTCTTCCTTCCTATCTTTCTCCCTTATGCATAATTTGTTATATAATTTTGTTGTAGAAGTATAATTACTAATAAGAATGTACTCTGCAGATGATTACTTCCTGTCACGTTATCCTATAGTCAATTTGAGGTTAGCTCAAGGAGGAGTTCGATTGGCTGCAACTCTTAATCGTATTTTTGACACACAATCTGCAATGTCGATGTGATCATCAAAAGAGAGAATATAGGTCGACAATTTGCTCGTTGGAAAAGAATAAAGTGTCAAACTAATTTGTAGCTCAATTTGAACTAGTAGAAGATTTTAGGATTTGGGTATAATGTTGATGTACCAAAACCAAAATAGAAAGAAAATAAAATAAAGTGATTAGGTGAGGACAAATTATGAGGAATTTGACATCATAGATTAGGAAGATCAGATTCCATGTTTTCATTGTACCAAATAAAAAGAAAAACTGCATTAATTGATTTCTCTTGTTTGCACAAATTGTCACATCTGCAACTGCAATACCCTTGCTCTCTGAATAAATTACCTATCTGATAGATGATTTCCTAGTACTATTGAAATTATGTTATTGATGTAACTTAAAGCTTTCATATAGTCTTGGAACCTTAATAAAATAGAGTCGTACATAGGATTGGTCTCTGCAGAGGCTGCGCATGAGATAGTCCTCTTTCAGTTTGGATTACAATACAAATCATCTGGAAATCTTAGAAAACTGAATTTACACCATAGCTCAAATTAATGAAAGTTAGGCATGCAATGCAGTAGATATAATCACTTTGGTTTCTTCACAACGAGAACGGGGCATTTTGCATTAAGAACACAGTAGTTGCTCACACTCCCTATAATAGCCCTGTCAGAACACAGTGATATTAGTAACTAAATTTGATAGGAAACTTCTGAAGACAAAAAAAATATTTGCATACATTTGTTCAAAACCGTGTGTATAATCTCTCAAAATGAAATAACAGAGAAAATGAAAATCTCTCAAATTGAACAAATGATCAATGAAATTAATTAGAATGTTACATATCAAAGTAAGGGGGGAGGGTGGGGGGGCGAACATGAAAAGGAGAAAATAAATGTGCAAAACGAGTCTTTTATGAGGAGACAATGTTCTTTTTCTTCTTAGGGTTGAGCTATTTTGTTTTGTTTTTCTTATGAAAGAGTGTAGCTATCTTTGGATTCAAGTAAAGGAAAAATGACGTAATTAATTGCTTAGAGTGTTTAAAATAGAGTGGAATGGATTAACATCATATCGAATCTCATATTTTATACAATATCCTTATTTTTCTTCCTCTCAACTTGCAGATATGGTACGAAAACAACTTATTGTTTACATATCACATTGCCATTTTGTTCAATTTTTAAATGATAGAATGAAAAGTTTTCAATATTTTATTTAAAAAATTCAAAACTAATATTAACAAATTTATTTTCTTATTTAATTTGTTTCTTTTATTAATTTCGTAATCAGCATCTGTTCACGAAAGCTTGAAAATTAGTGATGTTCCAATGATACAAGTCACTATTCTGTTTAGTTTAGAATTAGTGAAAAAATGGTGAAGATAAAACAAACCTTTTTAATTTTCCTAGGCCACGCCCCCCTACCACAAGCAAATCAATAGTATGCTTTTCAACTGCACTGCATATGGCTGTTCTAGGATCTCCTTCCTCTGTCAAGATCTCAGCATTTACCTGTCAGAAATTTTAAACCTTACATTTAAGATATGTTGGAAGTTGCCATCTACAGTGAAAGAAAATAAATTATTTTTAAATTTAAGAGTTATATATTATTTATAAAAATAAATAAATAATTAACATATTAAATTTATACTGATTTATTATTTTATAGTTTTTATTTTAAAAAAGAAAAATTAAAAATAAAATATTTGTGCTCTCCGTGTTTTCCAACTGGGCATTTTACATGAATTTTACTTCAAAGGAAGGCTTAATTGTGCCAATCAACTTTGGCATCTTATTTTCGTTCTCATAAGCGATAACAAAACGTGAGAGCAAAAGCATGGTTTAAATTTTAATCATAGGTTTAACCATAACCGACTAACTGCAGACAATCTCACAACATTGTTCAATTCATACAATCGAATCATAGTTGAAAAAAAAAATTGTCGCTCGTCTCTAGGAATTTCAAGTAATCAAATATTTTGTTGGTTAGCAATAATTTTTAACTCAAGATATTAGCCAACACAGTTCTTAAACTTGACAACAAAAATGATATCGAATTTTTAACAAGTCTTTAGTAAAAATTATAAGATACTTCAACATTTAATACATTGATAACATTAAATATCACAACTTTTAATAAAAAAAATTAAGTATTTGTCAATTTCATACACATCGAGTACACTAAAAATCAATTCAAATAATATATATAGAACTGAAAAAAAAAAAATGCAACAAAAGGTATTTCATACCCCATGAGTAGCACAAATAGTTTTAGCTTTTTCCAAGAGAGCCAGCACAAGTTTTCTTTGATTCTCCTTATATGAGTTAACAAAATCTGGTCCTATTGAGCACACCATAATTAGTAAATAAGAAACAAATCACAGTTCTCTGAAACCAAGAAACAAGTTGATATTAAATTGAAATGAAAAGAACAAATTTGTGTTGAAATTAACTGGCTGAAACTGGGGAGTAGATGCGAGCAGTGCCGAGATGGGCAGCGAAAGTGTAGTTATTATCGATAACAGGTTGCGCCATGAAGATTAAAAGTGGGTTCTTAGTTATAGATTCCTTTAGACTTTGAAGCACCCACATGAGAGCGAAGTGACTGTATTCGCTTTCATCAATGGCCACCATCACCTTCTTCCCTTCTCCCTTCTCCTCTCCCAACACCTGCGTTCCCATTTCTCTGAGAATCCAAAGTTCAAAGCTCTGTTAACCAAGTTTCATGTTTATGTTATTTCGTTAGTCATAACGGTTAGTCAAACGTCAATATAGGCTCTGCATTCACTGCAAAAAAAACAACTATTATTTACCAACAAACAAAAAATTATTCAATTCCATTGGATCGTTTGGCAGCCGATGGTCGTAACAACTGGTCAATGGAGGTTTATTGCCAAGCTGAAAATGGTTGAGTCCATATGCAAGACCCACCGAAAAATCAAACATCACACGGTTAAGGAAGTACTCAATTTAACATGCTATGTATGTAAATACACACACTTCTTCCGGTATTCCTCCCTAAATTTTATACTTGTATTCTTTAAACTTCTAGTTTAATGACGCAAATAAGAAATTATAATAATTAAATAAATATTGTAGTATATTATTATGTTTACAATGACAAATACTTATTATGTTGAAAGGACTGAAAACTTTAAACTTGAAGACTAAGTAGGTGATCATTAGCTGAGATGTCATGTGTTTGATGAGAAGACCTGATGCAGAGCGTAAATCCTGCATGTACTTCCTTTAGCTGGATTGATGCAGAACAATAACCTAAAGGTACTTCCCTTAATCATGATACTTACTTGAAAAAACATCTAAAGTACTCCTTTAGAGTAGAATGGTAGATAGTCTCCTTTTGGTAGATACTCCCTGAATAAATTTAAAGTACTCCTATGGTACAAATTCTTCCCAACTCAAAATTTTGAATAAACTGTATAATCTTTATTTGTATAATATCTTTTATTATGGCAATTGATCTTCCAATGTTTACAGAGAGAGTTTATGATAGACTCCAAAATCTCTAAATAAATAAAACATAATAAATCAAACAAATAAGTAGCTATATCTGTTGGACTTGGTCATGCAAAATACATCTTTGTTATTGACAGAAAATAGAAAAATCAATAAAATTAAAAAATGCATAAAAATCAAAGCAGAAAAAATGAGGGAAAGAAAAAGTTTAAATTTACTTATAAATACAAGTTTTTAATTTCTTTTTAATCATTCTAACTACATGAAAGAAAAAGAAAAAGAAAAAGAGAGAAAGTGAAAATAAGAGTTAGAAGATAATATTTTATTTTCTGAGTATATTTAAATTGTGATCTGAGTGTTTATAAATAGTGTTTATATTTTTTTCTGTTATCAATAATATATTTTTTTGTTATCAATTTACGTGTACTGCATTTAATTTTCTCGCAAATTTGATTATAAGAAATTTTGCGTAAGTTTTTTTAACAATATATGTATCATTTTTCTCGAGTGAGAAAAATTCTCCTTTCCTAAAAGTGTGTTTTGAGCAACAGGAAAGTCCTTCGATTATTAATTTGGTTGACCACAAGGGTCCAATATATCACTTACCAGATTGAACATCTTAGTAAATGAACTTAGGGATTATATGTATGTCTCATTAATACTACAAAGTTTCCAAGCCTCGTTTATATCTAATGCACATCAAATGTATCGGAGAAATTCTGAATCTACAACCAAGAGATAAATGTAGTGTCAGCTTTTGAGCATTCTTGCTATAATATTTGATTGAAACGTTGAAATCATCAAACAAACTTAGTGGTCGTATGCATATCCATGTAACTTTGCAGCTTTGGCGGTTTTTGCACTAGAAGGACAGGACACTTAGCATTCCTCAAGCAATACTCACTCAAACTCTCCAAAAAAATCCTGTTACAACAAATAAGTCTTTAGTTCATATGAAAAGGTTACTCTTCTTAACATGATGTCACATAAACATATTGGAAGACAAACATGCAATTTGATTTTAATGAGAGGAACATTCATCACATGTTGAAGATTCTTAAAATTGATCATATCCAACTCGTTAGTTTTTTACCTTTGGTCGCCACAGTTCATTTATGCAAAAATGTGCACTACGTGTCAATTGGCAGGTTATATGGATAAACAAATTTATCCTAATTAAAAGGAGCAAGAGAAGTTCTTTTAAACTAGACATAAGTCTTGTTTCAGCGGCAGAAAAAAATTAGTAGAAAAAAAAATAAAATTTATCTCATAAAATTTTAAATAAGTTATTCTTTGTTTTTTAAAAAATTCTGGGAAGCTCTTTCACTTATTTTCTCTAAAAATATTAAAAATAAATTATTTTTAACTTGTAAGATAAGTTTTATTCATTTTTTTCCAATTTTTTTAATTTAAATTTTTGTACAAATTTATTCAAACATAACCGTATAATATTACGACATACATCGGAAATCTTCAAGTCCTTATTGTCATGAAAAATTAAACAAACCTTTTTAAAGGGCAACTGCAATAATGAGGCATAATTAGTAGATCAATTTCATGCTCATAACTTGCGTTGCATATGACCTCTTTAGGTTCCCCGGGTTCAGTAAATGCTTCGACAAGCACCTGTAGATATAAATGTAGAGAAAATGTTATTGAAAGCTTGAAACAACGTAAATGTAGAAAAAATATTTTTATACATACACAATTTGTAGAAGATAGAGAGGATAGCTGGAAGATAAGCTGCTAACAAAATCTTTTTCTCATTCAACAAATTATAGTTCAATTCAGCTCGAATTTTGTCAACAAAATATTCAAGTCTTGCTCATCTAACATAAACCATGCCATTTGAATAATGTTTATATTATTCTATTTTAGTTTCCTTAAATAGTGGTGAATGCTCATAATTAATCTTTTATCTAATCTTAGATTGAGATAATTGCAATGTTTTAGACAAAATGTGTTTGCCACACACAGACTGTTACATGGAGCTTATAAAAATAATACTTGTTCATATAAGCCTACTTAACTTATTCTAAGCTGTAAAACATAAAATCGTAATATAACAATTCAACATCAATGAAATAATTATAAAATTATTGTTTGACAAAATTTCTCAATTTAAACAAAATAGGATTACATCATCTTACCCCTCGATTGGCACAGACATTCTTGGCTTTCTCGCAGAGACCCTCATATATGCTATTAGTCCTTTGTTGAATAGACTTAATTAACTCCTGATCTGTGATGTGTCCAGAATATTTTCAATTTGAGAAAATAATGCAATTATCTAAAGTTCCAATCATATAAATTACCTACTCAAACAGAATTCTAAAGCATTTACAAATACATTTAAAAAGTCTTGATATTAAAACCTTTGAAACAAAATTTCAAATCTATATCTCTTGAAACTGTTTTTATCATACAAGACAACCAAGTAGATTTAACATTTAAACTTTAAAAATGTGAGACGAAAAGAAAGCGAGAAGAATAGATGCATAACTGGATCCGAATGAAAAGAATGACAACCCAGCTGAACCAAACTGCGGTGCTATAGATGCATAATTGTAGTTGGGCTGTGTGGCAAGGATAATTAGTGATGATTTAGTAGTGAATAGTTCATTGAGGTTGTCAAGTACCCATGTAAGTGTATGGTAGCTATGCTCATTTTCATCAATTACCACCATGACTTTCTTCTTCTCCATCTTGGATGAAACCAAGCATAGGAACCAAAGCAGAAGTTAAAGGAACAGAAGGATCTGCTTGAAGAAAATATGACACTTTGATTTTGAGGCAAGGAATTGATATTTAGGTGTGCATCAGTAGTTGATGCAGTGCTTCGTGCGAGATACGCAACAACTTTATAACTTGTCATTAAAACCAATCCCTATTGCGCCATCTAATTTGTTGATACGCAACAACTTTCAACATTATTAGGTATATTGATAATTGATTACGTTGAAAGAAAACTTGACTGTGACATCGAAAGTTTGGCACCAACTTTCATTGCTATAGTTGTGTATGAAGAGATTCTTGTACGTGCCACATATTGAAATATAATCAAGTTATATCACCATTCTATTGAGAGAAAATGTCATGTAAAAATAAATAAAAGAATTAAATCACTTAGAATTCAACATCTCAACAACTTAATTATTAAGAGTGTGTTTAAAAGAGTTTATTAAAGTAACTTATGATTTTGTCAGTTTATTTTAATAAATTACTTCATATAAATTATCAAAATAAATTATGTTAATAATTTTTTATTGAGTTTATAATATAAATTTCTTATATAATAAAACATTATTAAATAAAAGTTAAATTAAATTGTTATTTAGTTGCTCCTTAAATATAATTTTTACATTAATATCAATTACAACATTAATGCATTAATATGAAATGACTCTTAATTAATTATCGTTAATTATAGTGAACTAACTTCCTAAAGAAGTTCTTACAAATTTTAAATAAAACTTCAAATGATAAATATGCATTTTTTTTATCTGTCAACAAATGACAAAACCAAATTAGAAATGGCAAAGTTGTATTGAGAAATTATTTACTACATAATATACATTTTAATCCTATACATGTATTGTTGTACCAGTTTTGAAAATAAAATATTTCTATGGGTAATTTTTTTATTAAATAAGACCGATGTAATACATGTAAGAATTTAGTTATTATTATTTTAATAAACTCTTGTGTATTTAAACTATTTTGTTTATAAGGGTTATTTTTTATTTGAAGTTTAATTACACTTTTAATTTTTATACTTTAACGTATGTCCAATTTTGATATCTTAATTTTAATTCTGTATATTTGATACTCTTAAATTTTCAATAGTTTAAATTAAATTTTTACCTAAAATATCATTCAATAATTAAAAAAATATATAAAAAGTGCGATATATTTCAGTCCATTGTTTGGATGAATTCTTTTTTTTCTTTCTTTTTTTTATAATTCTCTTACTTTCAAAACACGTATTTCTAATTCAATTTTTTATACTTTACTGAAATATATATTTAGCAAATGATTATTATCAAATAAAAATGATTATATGTATGCAAACTAAATTAAAACACTCTATCAAAATAAAAATAAACAATATTATTTATAAATTATAAGAAGCTCTTTTAGCATAAGGCCCTAACAAAAAAACAATCTAGGACATTAATATGATACTATTTTCTTCTGACTAAGTCTTTTAGTACAAAATTTTTACGAAGACCGACCGACTCCTTGGGGTTTGTTATTTTTAAAATTTTAATTTTAAAATATGACTGTGATTTAAAAATTGAAGAGAACTTGTTTTTAAGAAAAACTTTTAGTAAAAATCCTTTAACACCTCAAATGTAGGAATAATAATTTTTCATTATCAGTAATCATACTTCAAATGAATAAAATCAAATGCCAATACATGTACCTTTTTTTAAAATTTGATATGCAGATACATTTTTTTAAAGTATATTTTTTATTCCAATATTTTATATTTAGATGTTTGACTTAATTATTGTATATATATTACTTTACACCAAAAATAAGTGTTAAATAAATTATATGTACCTTAGCAATAGGGATGTGTGTAATTTAAACATAATGTAATTATATAATAATATAAAGATGATGAGGATAAATGCATTTTTTTATTCGCATGATATATATATTATTTGTTAGAATGGGTCAATAATGTCTATATGAACACTTTAATCTTTATTAGGCAAAAGCTAATAACTAATGACAAATATGCTTAATAAATTGATTTTTTCTAAAAATTATTTTAACTTTTTAATAAACAGACCAATGACCAGAAATGTACTTTAAAATGCATTGCTAGCGTTCCTCTTGCTATTTTAGAGACTGCTGCAAGAGGGAGATGCTCCAAAAATGCACCACACATTTCAAGAAATGTTAAATGGGATAGATTATTTTCATGGAAGATTACATATACCATATATAGTATTTCATAGAAAACAATTATCATGGTATAATAATATATTTTGTTGTCTTAGTTATCAAAATGATCAATGTTTCCGTATCCGGAATTTATGTAAAAATAATAATAATTGAGGAATGCAAATCCCAAATAACCAGAAGGCTAAATTAGCAGCTAAAAGGACCTTCTGTTGTCAGTTTGAGCAATTCGACCAGGAAATTTCTTTTATAATATTTTGATTTTTCACTAAGTTCGCATTGTGCTTATGATTGAACAACATGGCATCAATCACCCAAAAACACTTTGTCAACACGGGAACAAAGAAAGGATACAGAGACAAGGAAAAATGCCCTCTCACACTGATTAGGCCAAAGAGGGCCTCAGGATTCAGAAAGCAAGAAAAATACAAGGGTGAAGTCCATTCGTTCTTTCTAATCATCAAGAAACCAAACAGTTTAATATTCTTATAGTTTAAAGTAGAAATCTTTTTTATGGAAATAATTTATTAGATCCACTACAGAGACGTAGTACCTTCCCCACCCACAAGCCAAAATGAACGTAAGTATAGAAATAATTTACCTTTCTCAAAGTTATATAACCAAAAAAGGCATGTTCATCAATAAACCGAATTAAGAGTCCTCATTTCGAATATATTTTACAAATTTGGACTTCATCTCCGCTGGAATTCGTATAGGACGATAGTTTTTGTCAAGCCACACCGCAGTGGCCTTGGCTTCCAGAATAGGCTGCCATCAATTCACTAAATATCAAAAAATATTCTCAAAGATGGAAAATGAATAAGCTGTAAGTGATGGAGTTGACCTCTTGGTTTGGTAGCTTATAGATGAAGTGATCAAAGTATAAACGAGCAGCTGAAGAGCCAGAAATCCTAACCTTTACAACAAATTTGTCTCCACTCTGCTTGCATGTTCTTAAAATGAGAACAAATATTGGCAAACAGAACTATCTTATACAAAACATCATATCCTTATACTGTACTACAATTATCAGGGCTAGTTACACTATATCCTAACAAACAGAAATGACTAACAAAACTGGAGATGCTTACTCTTAGAGGTGCAAGGAATTTGATTGATAATTCTGACAATGCCAATGCATCACCACTACGTGCCACAGCATCACAATTAATACCGATACTTTCCAAGAGTTCATGACGACCTTATGAAAAAATATATATATATAAACCGGAGATCAGTTTATACATGTAAAATAGAAAGCTTAGTTGCCACAAATGTACAAGGATAATCTAAAATGTTTGCAGAGCATTCAACTCAAGATCCTCAATTTTCTGTTAATTTCACGCATACTTGTTTCATGATTCAAGATCACAACCAACTAAAGATGATTGGGAAGGGAGATTTGTACCAAGGACTTTAGATTTTCAGATCATGTCACAAATTCTGTTACCAATTTTTCTGATGTAACAAAAAATTTGTCTAGTTCTATTCATTCTGTTTCAAATTGTATCAACCAACTAAAGGATAGTTCAAGTGCACATCACTCAGTCCCAAAATACAAATAGCCTTGCATTGACAATAACTCCATTGAGTTAGGTTCCATGGGTTATTATTCCCACATGATGAATTAAATTCTTGAATAGGGAAGTTTCAAGAAGCTCTAAGTTCCACCAACATGAGTCATTTTTATTCTGTATTTTTTTCTGGTTCTGTTATGCTTGTATCCAAGAATTACCCAGAAGTTAGAATAATTTTTCTGGAGTTAGTAATACTAGAACCACATACCAGATTCTCTGGTTTCTTCCATTTTTGCATTCTGATCAAGTATATTTTTATGATCCTAACACTAAATATTTTCTGTATCAATCTTTCTCGTCGATTACCTATTTATTTTTTCACATAGCCTAACAAATGTTCATATGTATGTATAAATGAAAATTCATTTCTTACAAAGTGTGACTACTTTCTGTGTATGGTGTTTGCAGTAGTTAAAATCTTGCATAACAAGGAGAACTTTCTTTCAGCAATTAACAGGGAGAACTCCAAACCTGGGTTATATGCAATTAACTGCATATGTTACTTCTAATGGTTTTGCCTGGAAACTGCATCATTCATTTATGGTTGAATGTTCAGATTCCCTTCGTCTTTGCTTTTTTTATTTTACAACTTTTATTAGTGACCAAGTTTAGACTGATTTGCAAAGAAAGTCTGTCATAATACAGCTATTGAGTCAATACATTAGTTTTATTAGGAAGAGAAATGAAAAGATTCAAAAAAATTTTATCATATGCTTCTGCTGATCTGATTTTGCTGTTTTACCTTCATGATTTCTTTCCTACTGGAAATGTTAAATCTGGACTGCAATTCAATTTAAAGTTCAAATAAATATATCTGTACTGGATAAGACATTATTCAGTCATAATCATAGAAAAAGAAAACCGAACACCCTTTCGACCTAACCTTAGGACGAGAGGTACTCACATCCCTTCAGCCTAACATCGGACGAAGGGTGCCAATACCCCTTCAGGCACATCAGAATAAATTAATAAGTTAATTAAGGTTGATAACTAAAAAAGGAAAGAGCTAATTATCTAGGTTATCTAGAAGGCTAAAACAGAACTGAATCATCAAGCCCATTAACTTAATATCATGTCTATAAAAAGAAAGTAAGAATGACAAGTAATGAGGTTGACTTTAGAGTACTAAATAGTATTTATTATCTTATACCGAACACTGATTTTACCATTGAAGTGTCTTTGCAGGTACCCTCTTCCATCACGTTCAGGAAAGAATTTAGAATATTTGACAAGGACACTTGCAGGAATAATATCAAAATATAATTTGTTATTATAAACAAAGGGAATAAGATCTCAAAGAATGTAGCATCGATAAACCTAGAAAAGCATACAAAGATCATTTTCATATGACTACCACCTCACCACAGCACCTCTGTTTGCAATATACCTTGTCAAAATTTAGTGTTCGTTTGGAGTTGTAAACATTTCAAAATTATCATCTAATCACATACATCATTCACAACACAAAGCAAAAGGTTTTGTAACAGTAAGAGTTAACACTTAAACGAAAATCTACAGGTAACAGTTCATGAGGTCTCACCGTGTTGGCAATAACTTGAATAAACAGCATTGTTGACCACACCATACTGATCTAACTCGTAATCGCGCACTTTTAATTCAACATAAAAAAACCCACTCATTCTGTTATGTCACAAACAAGTGTGAGCTTGTAAGAAGAATATTATACATGGTCTGAAAATTGAACAAATGAAAATAACTTGACTATATAAAAAATAAATTTAATAAAGAGAAAATCGAATGAAAATTGCATATGTCACAGGTAAAGACAACAGGATTAACGAAATTTGTTATGGAACGCATTAATTGCACGAAATGAAGCCCCAATTTGAAGTTCACGATTTTAACATGACATGGAAATGAGATTGAAAAATGAACAAGGGAAATGGCAAGTACCCTTTGCTCCCTCGGAGATCGAAGAGTGGCGAGGAGGAGCTGGAACTCACCGGGAAAACTGATCGGAGTGCGGGCGGATTAAACCGCCGGCGGGGAAAAGGAAAAGAGGGAGAATGGCGCGTGGGGTGAAACGACGCAGTATTAAGGAATGATGAGGAAGGCAATGTGATGGTAGAAGCGTGGATGGAGTTGGAGAACATTGTTTGGATTGTGATTGTGGGCGTTTAAACTTTTAAGTTCCAATTCATTGCTAGACCAACTAGTCTCTAATATGTTATTTTTGCTTCTTCTTTTTTATAATATATATACTTTAATTGATATTTGCAAGACATTTATTACAGGCAACTTCTGAGTATTCTGCTTTATTCATTAATGTGAATCAATCTTCAAGGTTTGCTGTGACCTGTGAATGAGTTCGAAGAAGCATCTTAGTCAACCAACAACCAAAAATACTAACTTCTGTTTTTGCTTTTATCGCACCCTAATTAGGGTAATAATATTTGGGGATCCTTGTAGACCGGAAATCACACCAACACGGGAATGAAATACAAATTTATTTCAAAATCGATAAAGAATTAAATATTTATCCTAACCGTGACTTACTCTAATAAAAAATTTTAAAAGCTTAAATTTATTCTAGTATAATCTAAAATAATTTATATCCTAATAATCAAATTTAAATAGCCTAGTTAACAAAAAAAATCCTAAATTCTCAAGTCTTAATTAGATTTACTAATAGAAAAGAGATTGTATACTTTTAAAATAATGAGGATAGTGTAATATATGCATATTTTAAGGGAAGAGAATATAATTTACTCTAATATTTATTATAAAAAATTATCATATTTATATTATATAAATTATTAAGTGTTACAATAATATTTGTTAATATAGTTTTTATTTAATAAAATAAAGTGTTAGTATAAATTTTAAAATTTATATTTAAATGATGCACTATATTAACATTTGATTTATTAGTAATTTAATTATCATACGATGACAAAAAATTATTTCTTTGTATAATATGTTATAGCAATAGTACGTACAAACATAAAATGTCTACATATACAATTAATTTAATTTTTATTTAAAAATACTTATATCAACCAAGACTACTCTAATATTAAATTATTAATAGAAATATTCTAACGTTTAATTTTCTTTCTTTTTTTTTTACTAGTAAATGATATTTTTTTTAGGAGGTATAAAAAATGATGTATAAAGGATATTGCGTATATTCATTTTTGGTATTTGTGGATAAAGCAGTTGGCTTTGCTACCCCACCGGCCAACTCCATATCGTCCGCTACATTTTCTTGTTTGATGTTTCCTCTTGAAATGTCCATATTGAAGTTGTCTTTACCACGACATTGGTCCACCTTAGTTTCATCAACAATACATTGTACTTAGCCTTATCCAACCATTTCAATCTCATAACTTAGATGCCAATATCAATCACAGTTATCCAATTAAAATTCTCAATCTCAAGTGTTACTACGCAATTTTCAATTTTTGGGACCCAAATGATCATCACCGACAACTAGCAACTTGGACCTTTCGTTTGAATAATTATGAAACTCACGTATAGTTGAACTCCCCTGTGACTAGACTAAATGTTAATTTGCTTTAAAGCTAAATATAATCAATTTTAAACAGGTAAATGTAAATGATATATATTCAAATTAATTTCATTTTACGTACATGAAAAGGGTTTGATCATTTGGATATTAAGATCCTTTTTTCAGAAAGTTGGACTCTTATGTCTGCCTCATTTGTATAGCCTTACGCCCTTAACACTTGTGTGTGGACAGAATTTCATTAAATTTTCCGTCAGATAAAGCAGTAACTGTCACACCACTCAGATAGTCAGATTTGCCAAATGAATCACATCTTCCGGCTGTGCTTCCCAATAATTTGCCCTCTTTTTGACCATCAATCCATTGATTGAAAACTAATTCAGGACTTTAAGATATTCATGAGCTGTGAGAAACATGCGAAATGTGAAAAAATAAATTCAAATATTTTATTTTTTATAAAAAATAATACAGATATTTAATCTTTTTTAAAAGTTATAAGTACATTTAATGATAAAATATCATATTAGCACATCTAAGAATGTTCTCTTATACTTAATATTGACCGGAAAATTTGTAAGTGTTGATTGAAATAATTAAGATAATTAGAAAGCTATTTTAATAGAATAACTAATTAATGAAAAAAATTGATTTAATGTGATATAAAAGTCATAAGATATGTGCCATATAATAAGAAAGACAAATTTGATTTAGAAAGATAAAGTTTACTTTCATGATCTTTACATCTTAAAAGGATTTCATTCCTACTAGTTGATGATATCCTCAATTTAAACAAAAATAAATAAACAAATAAAAAGACACATGGTTATATATATTAAAAAGAGAATATCCTTTTTGAAGTATAAAGATTGGAATTTATAATATAAAAAAAGATTAGTAGCACAATAAATATAAAAGTTATGGGGTAATCTGCCACACTCCTACCACGCTTTCTTCATTTATTTGTTATACATAGTTACTTTTCTCATTCTATATGTTTCAAAGGAAGAATATATGGATTTCATATATGGGCAACAGAAATAGACTTGTCAATACAGTGGCCATGTTGGGTTGGAATAGCTGATCCCACCAAAACCTTCTCCTGCTACCCTTTCCATCTCTTGTATTTCATGTGTGCTAGCACTCCTCTGGAACACACAAGCCGCATTTATGAGCATGTTAATAGTGGCCTACTTAGACCATAAGTTTTCGTGAATCATTCTATGAAAATGATGGGGTCATTGTCGTTTTCTTAAATAAAAAAGATTATAGAAAGAAAGAAGCCATGGTACTAATTAAAGGGTACCTGCATGATTTCAGTAGCATCCATCTCTGCAGTGCTGAAATCAAAATACATGCTTGCTGCTGAAAGCTTCATAGATAGAAACTAAGAAAAGAAAACTTTATGTTCAGTATTTTTCTAGTCAAAATGACAAATATTGATTAGGAAAATACCCTAACCTCAATTTGCTGCTGTAGTGATTGAACATAGTCTATTATCACATCTAACATTACTGCCATTCCCATTGACTGCAAAAACATAAGAATGGCACCAATTTATGACAACCCAATAAGGATACACATACTAAAGAAATTAACTTATTATGGAAGAAAATATAAGTCAGTACCTTATAGCACCCTGGAACCAACTCCTGCAAATATCTCATCTTCTCATTGATTTTTTCTCTTCTCACCTGGCATCAAATAGAAAATACTGCAACATTTAGGGTCATTACTAAAAACCGTAGTTCTTGCTTTCTCAATCTCTTTATTCATTGGATGCCAGAACGGGTTGTCTATAATAGCTTTTTGACACAGCCCAAGAAAAAATAAACAAGGGACTAAACTTTATTTATTACCCTTTCTGCTAAACTGTGGCTATCAGTTGCTTGGCCTCTTTTTGCCCTTACATGAATTACTTCATTTCCTTTCTCTTTGAGTCTGTCAAAGTTTCTCTTCCTTTTGTTGCCAACCAGATTCTGCAAAATGCAAACAACATATAAAACATAAGAAACCTCAAACTCTGGTTGTCCCATGTTCGTTCGCACCAAACTGTAAAAGCCATAAACTTAAGAGACAAAAACTAATGTTTTCTAAACCTTATTCTTTTCATCGCAATCAGTTGCAGAATTTGCAGGAGAAGAATGATCATATTTGGCACTATAGGCAGAGGCTGATGAAGAAATCAGTGGAATAGGATTTGGGTGATTCTCAGAATGACTAAAGTTCTGCAGGGTTTGGAGCTGTGGTTGTTGATCCAAAAGGTTGTCATTGTTGGAGAAAGGTATGATGAGTCCTAGATCGGTCAAGGTAAAATTCTCCACCTTGTTCATGATGGTTCCCTAGTTTGACTTCTTTTCGGTGGAAAGTGTCTAGCTTATTGAGAAAAGAGAAAGGATCATTCTGTTTGATAGGCCTTCCCTTTCTTTCTATTTATTGTCATTTTAGATGAATAATCCTTGAAATGAAGATTAACTTTAAGAAGCAAGTTCTAGAAAGTAAAATAATATACTTGAACTATATCAATTATATTGTTATATCATTGATTAACAATCCGTGTGCCAGATACATGGAATACAGTTATAGGAGCCTACTCTTGGTATTATTATACGTGATAATGTGACAGTATAATAAAATGCCGTATCATTCTATTTTTTTTATTCTTTTTAAGTGATTATATAATAGAGGAAGTAATGTTAAAGAAAAGATTTATTATTAACATATCTTTTTGAATTATTTTATTCTTACAAACAATATTTCCTTTCAACATTTTATTTCTCTCTCCATTATATCACTTATCTTTTCTTATATTTCTCTTTGTTTTCTTCTCATTTTATGTTAATTGTAGAAAATGTAGTAGGAAACATGAATAGAAATAGAATTTGGCAATCGTATTTAGTGGACCTACAGGAACATGACTTAATAGGACTAGATTAAGAGACATTGTAGGTCTTTGTTTGACACATACTTTGTTTCAAATGACATTGCTAATGATGTTTAGGACGTTATTGTCAATGCCAACATTGCTATAGACGTGGTTAGCTCTGAACAAGTGATAATATGATCTCCAAGTGTGCTTTGATTCGTTCAGAAATCAGAATCCTCTTTTGGTCCTACATACCTCAAAATTCAGCTCAGGATAATCACACGATTGCCCAAGATGAAGTGTACTCTTTCGATATGTTCGAGATTGGAGGGGTCCAATATACTTTTATAACGACCACAAGTATATATCCCCCAAGTGATAAAATTAGCGAAACTTTTTGTTTCCAAGTCTTTCATAAAATACACAAAATTCCATACTGTATAGTCTTCAAATATTGCTTTTAATAGTAATTAGAGAGAACTATGAATAGGCTAAATGGAATACCAATAGTCCTAGCGATCATTTCTATCAGATTATATAGGCAGCTGGCCATAATTCCAATTGCCTAAACTAATTCAATGGCATCATGCATCCTAATCACCCCTTTCAACTAGGAGACATTTTATTTTCCTATCATCAATAGCTTTCGACTTTTAGGGTGGTTGATTTTTCACATTTTTTTATCATTAAAATCAAAATCTTATAAAATGAAGAGTATAAGGAAAAATAATACTTTTTAACTTATGAATGTAAATTTTAAAATAAAACGTGTTTAATCAAAATAATACTAAATTATTTTTTAATTTAATTTCAAAATATTTTTGCATTAATTTTTAAAACCAAAAAAAGTGGTTCTTAGCATATAGGTATAAAAATAATTTATTTTATCATATAATTTCTCTCTTAAAAAACAAACAATAACTATGTATTACCATAATTATAATCATTTGTTATTGCCACTCCTATCATAAATATCATTTGCCATCATCTATCCTTTGTTAGAACCATTATAATCATCACAATAATTATTATTACTAGTGACCACCATAAAAATCAATAGAATATATATTATCCCCACAATAATTATTATCAACATAATTATTATTATTATCATTACTGTAATTAATGTTAGCACTTTTAGTATCATGCTTGGCCTTAACTATTATCGCTATTTCTATCATCACAGATCTACTCTCATTATCATGAGCTCTTCTTCCTAGTCTAATTTAATATGAAATTGCTTACATAATTTAAATTTATAATAACATTATAAATTATGAAATTAAAAGCTTTTTATTTTTAAAAAATTAAAATTGACAATGCCGATCTGAGCTTTAATTAGGTCTCTTTGGTTGGGATTTAGTTCAAAACCTTCGAGTGACGATTAGTGTTTTTTAATTCTTATCGTTATGTTTTGACAAAGATGATATGAGAAACGAAAATTATCGATCACGTAGAAAAGTAGAGCTTGTATTGTCGAAACAAAAGTTAAACTCATGAATGTTAGAAAAGAAAAATAATTAATATTTTGAGGAGCATGCAGTCTCAAACTCAAAGTTGAGCCCAAAAATGGTGTGATACTGTTAGAAGAGATATCAGAACTACATCGACAGATTAGGGAACCACAATATCAAATTATACAGTACGTTGTCTCTTGAATCAACATTTCAACAGTCACGTGTGATTTGATTGGAAATTAAGGTATGGCCTCTTCGGGTAAGCTTATTTGTGTACGAAATTACTTAATTTTCCATCAAAACTAAGTCATTATTGCCTCTAACATCATTTTAATTCACACGGCTTTATTGGAACAAAGCATCATTTTCTATATATCAAAAAGTTATTAAGAAATTATTTACTTCCATATAAGGATAAAGAAGATCACCAACCTCATTTAAATTTTATGGTTCAATTACTAATCGTCTATCAATTAATTGTCCAAAAATATGTAAACTGTCAAAAATATTTGTCAATTTTAAATATTTAACACAACAACTGTTTATTTGGTAATTAAAAAACAAAAATTAAAATGTAAAAATACTACCTTTTGAGAATTTAATTTTGCAAATATTAACACATTGTTTGATTAATATAGTAGTGTTTTAAAAACAATTTTAAATGTCTTATCAATTATATATATTAATTTAACTACTGCTTTTTGAGCAAGAGAATATCTCTTATTTATTTATTTTTCTTACTTGTGAGACATGACTTTAATATTATTCAGTACTTAATTTTTATTGATTTTAAAATTTTCAATTATTCATTTCTTTCAAACTTTCTTTTTTGGTTGATCTGTTTTCTTCTCTCAAACCTCAACTTCAAATTATGTTTAAGTTTAATTACAGTAAAAATTTACACTACCACATTGATGCTTCCAAGTTGTTAGTCAAAATTTGAAAGTTGTTAGTTATTTTATTAAATTAAAATTATTTGATAAAATTAACCAAAATATTCTGTCAAACACATTCTATAACGTATTTGCTAGCTTATAAAGCTTCCTACCCAAAATAAAAGTATTTAGTAAAAACTTTATTATGCTAACTTATAATATTTTTTAAAACACTACTTGAAAACGCACCGGAGCTTATTATTTAATATTAATTTTTATCTTATTACTTTAGTAAAATTAATCATTTATTGCTTCATTTGATATTAACTATTTATTTTTCATAAAATATCTCCTTTAATTTTACATAATATATTTTAATTATTATATTATTTATTTTAAATTTTTGACAAAATATTTAATTTGTAAACAAGATAAGAATTTAAAACTAACTAAAAACTTAAACTATAATTGTGTAACATGATATAACTTAGTCAACACTGCACAAATTAGATAAAAGTATAAACATTCCCTGTTATGTTATTTTAAATTTATTAATTAATTCAACAACTAATTTATTAAAGATTTCTAATTCAATAAGTTAGCTTAATTACATTTAATTTAAAATTATTATTTTTTACTTTTAACTAATCTATCATCTGTTTTTGCTAATTATTGCCTGGAATTTGTCAAAATAAATTGACTATCAACTAAGAAAAGATTTAAATAGGTAAATAATTAAAAATAAAAATATTTAATTTTCTAAATCATAAATATACTTTTAAAAAGATAATACTATTTGAGCAAAATATAATCATTATAATTTAGGGTTTGTTTGTCGAGATTTAAAATTGGGCGTTTTTTCATAAAAAAGAAAAAGATTAAAAAATTTCACACTCGGGTGGGATGGAACCTCTTGTCAGGACTATCCGAAATATCATCAACAGAAATTGACTTATGAGCCCTTTCGGATGTCCATTTACTCTAAAGAGTTATTTCCAAGAAAAACAAAAAAAAGGTAGATAATTTTTTTATTTTAATTTAATATTTTTTTAAAACTGATAAACATAGATATTGTTTTTTGATTTATGATTATAACAAAAGATCTAAATTTATTAATTTAAAAATAAAAAATCTGTTTTTGTTTAAAAAAATATATTTTCCGAATAACCTCTGAACGAGCTGGTGGACTGCCTAACCTCTCTCCCATTTTACGAATGGAAAACAAACCAATCGTCGTACTCGTACAACCAGATTCGTATCAATTTCGGATTCTATTGTTTACCATTTTTTCAAAAAATTATAATCAGTTGTATTTAATGAAAATCACATATAATATTTGTATGATGTGCAAGTTTGTCTAATTTAACATATAAATTTTTTAAGAAAATAAATTATTTCTAATTTTTATTTTTTAGAAAGATTCACTGTAGAATACATCTTTATTGTAATATACATATTTTTCATTAGAGAGGATTACTATTTAATAGCACGAACTCACTAAAAATATTTTTTTTTACTGGAGAACTGTTAAATTAAAATAAAATAAAAATGGGACTAACAAACATTTCTCTTTATTAAATTGTTAACAAACATTTCTCATTTTATATATGGTAAAAATGACATATATCTAAAGCTGCCACGCGGAGCAGATGCTACACCACATTCATCATGTTAGTTATTCTACTCGATAATCATTTCGGTAAAGCTTTACTTAATACTCAAGCTTTTAAGATAATTATTTCTTGATATGATATTAACGATTATACAATTATGTTTAAGAATTTGACTGTTATTATTTTTTATTGCTCCTTGTTTATGATATAATAACATTCAATGCATCCTGTACCAAAGTGAGTATGGAGTGCTTTTCTTTTTCTTTTTCTTTTTCTTTTTGACTGCATTGGGATTTGGCTACATAGGCTTAGCATCAGTGGTGGAGATTTCCCTTCTTGTCCTCTTTTCAGCCAACCCCACCAGATGGATTTGCATTTTCTTGAAACTTTGAAGCATCACTTATATATTCAGTTGTTTTGCTCTCCCATAATTTGCATTAGATAGAGTTAAAGGAAGCTAAATTTGAAGTTCAGAAATTACAAGATGGCACCAATCAGCAAGTACTTCTTGATGCTCATCTCCTCAGTCTTGTACGTTTTCTGGGATGCGGCTGTGGTGGTAGAAGAATACAGTGCTCAAGATCTTATTGCCCTACCATTGTCTTCATTGGCTTTTACCCTCAACCACCTGGAACTTGCAATCTTTCTCTGAATCACAATCTCAATAGATGCACGTTTCTTGGATATCTGTTTGTAGGATCCAGTAATTTCTATGTCCAGAGTTATTATTTTCTTCATTTTCACCCTTAATTGTAGAAGGGATTTATGTTAGTTGCAAATTATTCTTATGTTCCTTTAAGTTTCAGAAAAATATATACTTGATATTTCTTTTCTTTTTAAATTTTACTCATTTTTAAAAATTTATAACGTAATATTATCACCTTTTTATTAAAATAAAGACCTTAATTTTGAATTTTTATGTTATTAACTTATTCTAAAATAAGAAAGAAACATTAAATACCATTTGAATAATTTGGATAAATTATAGTAATAAATTTTTACATTTTTCTGAGTTTTGAGGCTGGCCTACACTACGGATTTTTTTAACGCTAATTTATAAATACTTAAATTACGTGAACATCTAATTAATATCTTTTTTTACCACATGATATTATTTATCACAATCATTATAATATTTTTAGCTTATTTATTTTTATATAAACATCCATTTAAGTGTTTATAAAACATTGTTTAATTATTATTTTTTCAATTACCATGTAAACCTGGAATACTAGGTTATTCTTGGATATCTCAATTGTATTGTTAATTTAATTTTGAATGTGAAATATGAAAAGTAAAAAATGTTATTGTTATGACTTAATAACCATTGTCAAGAAGAATTGATTTTTGTAAAAAAAAAAAAAAAAAGTGCTAAATAATAGAATCTAATCATTTACAAAATTACTATGTAATTGTTTATGAAATTTTCTTACAAAAAAGGTGAGGAAGAAGGGACTTACAACTCATATAATGGATAACAAGTCTTACCAACAATCTAATCCTTTTACAATCTTTCATCTCACTTCTGAAGCCAATTTTTAAAAAATAAAAAACTTGATAGAGTTTTGTTCCAAAAAAAAAAAACTAAATTCTCTTAAATAGTTCCTTTGCTAATAAATTCACACTATATTTTTAGTTGAAATAATATTAGTTTGCACTAGATCAATAAAAATTATCTCATCCATAAAAAAAGATATGATGTAAAAGAAAATGTTCAAACTTTTAGATGAATCAACATTCTCTTAGTGCTAATAATAATAATAATACTACGCGATCCTACTAAGGCAATAATAAGGTTAGAGAATTCAATCAAGAAAAAATATGTCTCGAAGGCTTAAGAAAACTAATGACAAGGTTAAAAAATTATGAAAGCTAAAGAAGTTATTTAAATTTAATGGTAAATATACTTCAACATTAGTTAAGAGTCAAATGTCAAAGGAAACAAATTCCACCAATAAATCCAACTTATAAATCTCTCTAACTTTATGTTTTAAATAACATTTGTTTAGCATTTAATTATCAATAAATTATGTACATTTGAATGAAAATTCATTTTCTTTGCATTTGGATATAATTAGAATCTAGCATGATAAGTGTTTGGTTAGAAACTTCATTAGTGTTTCATTAGATGCCTATTAAATTTAAATTTTGCACCAACTTACTTCACTATAAATACTTTGTATACAAATACTTTTGATAAAATAAATATTTTAAATTTTAAATTTAAATATTTTCAATTCTTGAGTTAAACTATTTATAAATTTTGTTAAGATTTTCTCACACTTTTATGTAATCCTTTCTTGAACATGATGTGCCTTTTTCATCTCAATCTATTCTCTATCTTTTTTATTTTTCTTGATTTTGTTAAGATAGAAATTTTAATACGTTTGACAAAAACTTGAAAAATATGAAATTTGTATTCGATGGTTTGAATTACGTCAATTGTAAAATAATTTTATTATCCTTACAATTTTTTTTAAAATGCCAGTGTCCAAAGTCGATGAATGGAAAAATATATATCTACTTATGATCTATAATTAATATTAAAATTCTTTTATTATAATATTATATGATATTTTTAATGTTTTTACTACATTGTCTTCATTATATTTATATTTTACTTCATCTTCTTTATTCTAAACTTTTCAACTTTCTTTTTATTTTTATAATTATTTTTTAAAAAATACTATGAAAATAAAATAATTTTTATTAAAGTAAAAAAATTATTATTATATATATTTAATAGATAATATACATTAATATAATTCTCAACATATAATTTTTTTATTTTGATTATAAATTAGTATCAATAAATAATTTATTTAATTTAAATATCCAAATTTTTATAAAAATGTTTATTTAATTTTAAATTTATGCATAAAAATAAAAATAAAAATATTTACTTTCAAACTCTTAATTTTTTTATATGACATAGAAATTATGAAAAATTTGTTATATTTGAAATTTTACTAGAAAGTGATAGAAACTTAGAGCACCAGAGTCAATAGTATTTTTTTTAGTGTAAGTAAATATAACTTATTTTAACAATAAATTGTATACATATTAAGTAATTATGGTAACATGAAAAAAGATGACATGCACAGATAAAATAATAAATTAAATGCTTTAATTGTTTTAGCCAATCAAAAAGTTATACTTAATATTAATTTAGTATTCTAAATATTTATGATATTAAGTCATTGAAACATTTGATGACATAAAAATAACTTTTATTTCAATTAATAACTTAAAAAATTACTAATTTAATGTCATTTTAAGGATTTATTTAATATTATAATTTCCTTACTAATAAATTAATATCAAATGAGTTTATAAATAATAAATTAATTTTTTTAGAATAATTCACAATAATTTATTTATTAAATTATAGTTTGAAATAATTTTTAATATTACTATTCATATATTTTAAATGATTAATAGTATATAAATAAAATATTATTATTTTATAAACCCCGATGCAAAATCTAGTTACTTGTTGATTGTAAAAAAGTTTCAAATAATTATAGTAAAACTAATAACGAATACCATGTGTTTGATAACTTACAATGAATACTAATATTGTTTATCCATGAAATATCTGTCTCTTCTTCTCTCTTTCGAGTAAATGACTATCTAATAACCTATAACTGTTCAAGATTGAAAGTTCAATGGATGGACCATACTCCATTGGCTTTTATGATTACAAATGATCAACTACATATATAACCAAGTAAGAAAAACGAATTACATATGATTATATATGTATCAGTTGGAAGATTAGAAGATCTAAATTAGAGGGGACTCTTAATCAATGTTTTCCCTTGTGAACCTAATCTTTCTTGACTGAACTGAGTTGTCCTTGTACGAGGCACAAAAATACAACAAAAAAGAACAAAATGAAAGGGATCCAACATCCAATTGATTTATAAATATTTGAGAGCATGCAACAAGAAAAATAGAAAAGAAAACCAAAACAAGTTGCAAAAACCAAGCATGCACATGTAATTATTAACAGAAAATTAAAAAGATGAAAAAAGGTAAGAAACAGCAAGGAAGAGCCCACGAGAGGAGGAGGACGCCTTTGTTTATTTGTCTCCTATGATCTAAACATGATGATAAGAGTGATTTGATCTTCTCCATTTCATTCCCTCGTCCTTAGTTTTTCACTATCCAACATTACAACGACACCCCCATTCAATATTCCCAAATACATTGTTTTTATTTCTTTTTCCCTCTCTTTCTTTTCCTTGTCATTGTCATGAATTTACAAACAACACATTTTTTCACTTTTTTTTATAACCATTTTCAATTATTTCTATTTTTTATCACATTATTTATTACATCTTTTATTTTAAATTTTTCTCCTCACTCGTTTAACGCCCAAAATTTGTGTCAACTAGTCATTTTCCATTTACAAATATGCTCGCTTGATCGTTCACGAACCAAAAATATGCACAGACAGCAGAATCATTGGAGTGTTAATGCTACTTTCACATATATTTCTCACAACAGAGTTTATATTAATAAAAGAGACAAAAAAAAAAAGGAAATAAAATAATAGTTTTATAAATCTTAACTTCTAGAGATGAATTTAAATATTTAAAAAACATTTATTACATTTAAAATTAAAAATATTATAAAACCTTTTTTCTTCTTTTTTTAATAAAACCAATAAAATAAATAATACCAAAGAGGGAGGAGATATAAAAAAAGTGTTCCGAAAATGTGTTACTAGAATAATATCTTTCAAACCATAATGATCCCTTGAGGCTGGTTGAAAGAGTGTTAAATGAAAGGAAGGAACAGAGATAGGAAACGAAAAGAAGAAAGAAAAAAGTATGAGAGGTAAAAAAGGAAAAAAATAAAAAATAAAAGATGGGCTTGCCAAATATAATAATTGATATTCAAATTAGGAGGAATTGGCAAGGGAATTGAGCATGAAGGAGACAATAAAAATAAAAAATTTATTTTTTGCTTTTAATCTTCCCATTACAGAATAGTGAACCAAATCCGAAGAAGCTCTTAGAAGCTTTGCGACGGGGAAGATTCAAAACAGGACTAATGCGAACAGCATTACCAGCAGAAGAGCCACAATTTTTCTTTAAAGAAGGCTTTTGAGCGGAATCATAGAAATAATATGCACTTGAACTTGCTGAAGACGATGATGACAAAGACAATGACAACGATGAAGCAGAGGACTGTTTCTGCAGCCTATGCCTCTCTGCATTTCCCCTTCGAATAAGGCCATGTTTTGGCGTGTTCGGTGCCGAGCCAGTTGAATAGCTTCGTGACAGAAACTGCAAGGAAGAACGAAGCAAGCGTTTCCCACGTGTGGCCCCATCACAGTTCAAACTGCTGCTACGCCAGAAATGTTTGGAAGAAGAATTGGGCTTATCATGTTCTTGGGTGTCGTCATCATCTGGCTCTGACAAGAACTCTTTGAGCCTCTTCTTTTGCGTGTTGAAATGGGGTTGATGATGGGGCTGGTGTGGTGGGGCTTTGGAAATTCTGGTGATTTGCTTGGGAACGATTTTGCCGTTGGAGAAAAGCTCGTCCGCTGAAGAGAGTTTGTGTGGGACGCCGTTTGTGATGCAGAAAACGAAGTCTGAGCTCGAGTCTAATATGCACGTGTCTTGCTTACGAGGGCTTTCAACTGAGATTGTGTTTTTGGGGTCTTGCGAGAATGAAATGCGAGGGCTGATTCCAAAGCCTGCTTTCTCTGAACACACATTTATTGACATCATTCCAAAGGTTTTTGTGTTTGGATTTGATGTTTCGAGATGGAAATTAATGGGAATGAAAGGGGTTTTATGATTTATGATTATGATTTATGCGGTTGGGGAGTTCAGAAGCTGCAGGTTTAGTCAGACAACAAAGAGAGCAAAAGGAGTGTATGTAAACCAATCTCAGAATGTCCTCTCAATGCCAGAGCAGAGCAAGAGAGAGAAGAGAATTTACAACAACTACAAGTCTCAAAATTACATTTTAATGTGAAAATTATAAAACATGAATGATGAAAGCCTGAATTTACCGCAGAATCAATCAATCATGAGCATGAAAAGTAGGGTCTTGCGGAAACAAATAGACAACAAATGATCTTAATTCAGCAAATTATTGGTGCATGATTAGGAACGATAGTACCGCACCTCCGGTACTTCTCAAGTAATATTCCAACCTCCTTTATAAATATATAGAACCATATGTTCCCAACAATTTTATTAACTTTTATACCCGAACTTTTTATATAAATATTTTTTTAATAAAATTTATCAAATCAATATTTCAATAAACTATTTCTTTATATACTTAAAATATAAAATTGACTACACATCACAGTTAATGTTGCCAAATAAGTCAAACTTACTACAAAATAGATTAACTTGCCTCATTATTTTTAAAGTGAATTAAATATTTTTAGTCCAACTGTTTAAAGATGGAAAGACAAATTAACAAGTTGATTACTAAAGAATATTTTTTTAAAAAAATTATAAAATGGATTGAGGGCAGGAGATTAAAAGTCAATTTTCTTAAAGTTAATATAAAAACTAAAATATCATAAAAATATTAAAATAATATTTTTATATCAATAAAAAAATCATATTTTATTTTAAAAATTAAAAGATAAGTCTAATGAGCCGACCTGCCATTGGCCTACATTTCGATAGGCAAAATCAAGAATTAGGCTAAGTGGGTTGATGATGATAGAACCTTCAATCCAACCTTTATGATTGTACTGAATCCACTTTTCAATATGCTCATTAGCATGCCATACTTCTCCTATTTAAATTAGAGTTTGAAATCAAACAAGATACATAAGGATGACTCAAGTAATATCATCTATTCAAATTCAATTACTTTTGCTGTGGAACATTTCCAAAACAGGTATTGTAGCCTTAGGTTGAGTCAATTTAATAATAGATAACTATTACAGTTAAAACTTTTCATTTCCTTTCAAAACTTATTTAAAAGAAAGACAAGTTAGTACTTCTTAGTTTATATGAATACATTAAGAAAAAAAAATATTTATTCAATGTTATTAATAATTAATTTAATTACTTGTTTATGAATTCATACTTATACATAATAAATTAACTTTTGTATGTTCTATAATATAATAATTTAATTTATATAATAATAAAATATTTTAAATTATTAATTCAATAATAATTGAGGTTACGATAGAATTATGACCACATAAAAAAGAAAAAAAGACACAGTTATGTAGGAAAATTTGATGACAATGAGTTATAAGTAACGTTTATTAAAAAAAATACCTTAAAATAACTTCAATTAAAAAATAATATGTAGAACTAGATTTAGATTCAAGAATCATCAACATAGAGAACATTAATATCTTAAGACATCTATTGAAAAAAAAATTACTTTCTAAATAATATTATAAATTTATTTTAATTTTAAAAGAATTATTTTACTGCAAAAGAAAGTAATTCACATTTTTTATTTTTTGTAATTTTATTTTTAGTTTTATAACTTAAAAAAGATATAATTTAATAATTTATTTATAAAAATATTTTTATTTTTATTTTTGAGATAAAAGAAATGAATTTAAAAAAATTCATTTTTTATTTCAAATCAGATTAAGAAAAATAATATTTTATTTATATTAAAAAAGTAAGAAAATATCAATTTATTTTTTGTCTTTTGAAATTTAAAATTAGATTATATATATTGTTTTAGAAAAAAAAAATTGAACTCGACGGTTACATATCTTTCGTTGCAATCTTGTAATCTAAATCACGTAGTTTTCTCAATTCTCGTAATGATTAATTTTAATTTGAAAATTACATCGACTCATTTGGAAAAATTAAATTTAAAAATTTGATAAAATTTTCTTCTTAAAGAAGGTGATTAATTCTAAATTGGAAATAAAATAAAAAATACGGATTTTTTATTTATACAAAAGTTTATTTTATTTGACAATATTTTTGTTCGTATGATTTATAAAAAAGAGAATATTTTCAAATTCCTTGTTGAGGTATATGATCAGTTTCTTGTTTTCTATTGGTACAATCTGTTAAATAAAAAAAAAATTATTAATCTAATAATATAAAAAATTAAGAAATTAATTTCTAGTGTCTTTTTTTTATTGTTTTGAAGTAAAAGATAAAATAAAATTTATGAATGAGGAGGGTGTTTAGAAGTTCATATTAAACCGGAGCATTTTGAGGTGTTAGTTTCTTTTTCATATTTTTTAACTTAATTTTTTATTTTAAACTTTTTTTTATAAGTTATATTTTTATTTTGCATTGGAGAACAAGCCTAACTAGAGAACACCGAAAATTACCTAGGGAGCAACATAGCATATATCATCCGCTACCTGAACTCAACTCAAGGATCCAAAATCCAAAAACCCGAATATAAAACCCGCTTCCTCTCCCTATTTACATCCACCTCATTAACTTCAAACTTTCTTCACCTGTGTACTCCCAGATTCTCCCGAGAAAATTTTCAGCTTTTTTCTTTTCTTTCTTCTTGCACTTGCCGTTTTTCTTGATACCTTTTACTACCGGTTAATGGTACTATCGGGTTTCGAAGAAGAGAAAGGGTCGATTCCGGCGCTGAAGTCCATGGCGACCAGTCTCAAGCAATCGAACCCTCTTTACGATTTTTCGTTGCCTTTCTTGCAATGGGGTAGCCAGAGACGAAAGAGGAGCGGTGATCGGCGTTCTTCAGGGTCAAGCTCCGACGAGTCGACAGTGACGCGGAAGCGGGTGTTCGAAGCTGCTAGGAGTGAAAAACGACGTGTTATCGACGATAATGGGGTCGCGGCGGTGAGGCAGAAGCTGATGCATGATCTGAAGACAGAATCAGATAGAATGAAAGACGCGATTTTGAGGAACGGAGAAAAAGAAGAAGAAGAAACCGTGATGCCGTGGAATCTGAGGAAGAGAAGAGCAGAGGATAAGGGTCCGATATCCGCCGGAGGTAATGGTGAAATGTTGAAGATTGATGACAGGAAGCAAAATCGCTCGTCGCCGGTGAGGCCTGACGGCGCCGTCAAGTTACCGCAATTGAGAAGCAGTTCCGACAAGACGGAAAGGGTTAAGTTCTCCGTACAGTTGACGAAGAAGGAGATCGAGGAAGATTTCATTAAGCTGTTGGGTCAGAAGCCGCCGCGGAGGCCCATTAAGAGGCCCAAATTTGTGCAGAAGCAATTGGATGTTAGTATGATGCATTTCACACCTTAACGTTGATGCGTATTTGGTTTTTGTTTAACACCGCGATGTGGTTTGATTTTTGTGCAGACACTTTTCCCTGGCTTGTGGTTAACGGAGGTTATGGCTGATTCTTACAAGGTTCTTGAAGTTGCTGAGAATGGCAAGGCGCGTCACTTTGGGAAGCGGAAACTGTGATATAGGATTTTTTTTTACTCCTTTCTCGCTTTGAATGTTAATATTAGTTCATTCTTTTGTTTATAAGAATAATTCTATAGGCAATTGAATTGTGAAGGAGAACACTGTAGTTAGTCATACTCCCTGCTCATGATTTTTTGGGGCTTCCTTGAAGCCCAGCCGAAATATCAGAGTTTTAGGTTTTCATTTGATGATAGAAAGTATTGAAATTTATAGTCTAGTCTCTTATTTCCCAGTTCAGTTTCTTGTAAATTTGACTTACTCTGTTATTCCTTACAGTGGTGCATATGCATTGCCTTACTGTTGCCTTTTGAATTTGTCTCCCAAATCCCATCACTAAATGCTATTATTTGCTGAACTTTAAATATCATAACAGTTTTTTGTATTGCTTACTTAAATTGCAATTCAAGGTAAGATTATGTTCTTCGCGCTGCTGGTTCATGTTCACTTTTATTTATTAGTTGAACCAGGAACTTTTATGCCCTTTCTGAAAGTTTTGATTATACCACATGCTTATGTTTTACGATATTAGTTTACCAACACATGAATAATCTATTAGATGTTTGAAAACTAGGGGATTTGGTGGCACAAACAAATACCCCTGCATCAGCAGCAACGTTTTGTTTCGAATTCCCATTATTGAACACCGCAAAATGTGTGTAGATTAGTCATGAAATTACAAATATGAATGCTATAAGAAATCTTGTGTATAAAAAATCGTGTGCTTTCTAATGTCATTCACTTGGTTGGATATTCGGGAACAGATGAGGTTGAGGTTGTTTAATTCGAATATCTGATGGAACTAAGCCTTTGATGCGAAACGTGCCATAACCTAGTGGAGAGTCGATGACAAGCTGAACGAGGGATTCAAGTTAGCTGAAAATTACATGCATGAAAAATTAAGTTATTCAAGTGTCAAAAGTTATATGCCAAAGTTGTTTTTTGTTGAATCTTGAGATATTGAACATTATACTGATTTGGATTGATCTTATGATGTCTATAACTCAATTTCGTTTTCTTTTAGTTAAATACTAAGCAGGCCACTAGAACCAGGGGCCAAGACATATATTGAACTTAATATAGAAAAGTATAAAAATCATTTGACAACCCACCCATGAGAGAGAGAGAGAGAGAGAGAGGAAGGAAGAGAATGAAGATGAAAGGATTGAGGTGATAAATTATATAATAAAAAAGAAAAAATATGAAACGAGAATAAAAATTAAGGATTTGGATTTTTTGCTGTAAAATGTATGATCAGTGTAATTGAATGTAAAATATTAATATTTTGCAATTGTATAAATTATATATAGTTTATGAATTCAATAAAGGTCAATGGGTGTTGAGTTTGAGTCTCATTTAAACACTCGAAAGGAAAATTTTGTAACTTACAGTGCTACCTTGATTTATACATGTAAAAGATATTCATGCTCTAAACAAAATAATTTCCTTCAAGTCAGAAGATTAAAGAAGTGAAAAAAAATTCAGAAAGTTGTATAGAAAAGCCATTATTCCGTTCTTCTAAAATTCTCCATTTGGCTGCCATAAGGAATGCTCACCCTTTAATACAGCCACTGATACGGTTCAAGAGGCAGCCCCACAGCACCTTACCAATACCTTTTACCAATCACCAACCTGAAATTACATTTGCATGTTTCTATTATGTCAACCCTGCATAAAATAATTCATCAGTACACAAGCACCATATATAGCTTCAAAATTTCTACACCATTCTTACCTTTGGGATAAGCACATTCATAGCAGCCACTTTCTTTATTATTTAATTCATCATCACTCATTCTTTGGGAATCTTATAAACAAATCACAGGTTTCTCAAACTTCACCTCTGTTAGCTATCGGCATAACTGACACAGCAAATCAATACCAACAACAACTTAACAAATTTAAAAGTCTTGTTCGTGCTCAAATAAATACTCAGTCCCTCGTTTCACATCATTATCCAACTAGGTTATGCAAAATTATGCAAAATTTAAAAGTCTTAAACAATAATGTAGCATAATTACGTTATGCAACATGTAAGTGATCGATCTAATCATCATGGAATAAAATATTTATTTAGAGTACAACTCCAATAAAATATTCAGTCCATTCGGGTAAGTTCGTGGCATATAGTGAATTAAGTTTAAAAAGTCTAAATCTAATTTCAGTTTGTAAAATAATTCTCAAAATAAATAAAATCTAATGTATTTATGAATTCTTACAAGCTTATTTTGCTTCAGACTTAATTAAATCAATTTAAAAAATTCAAATTTAATTTTAGATAAAAATATAAAGTTTAAGTCTCATATTTTATTAAACAAATTTAAATTAACTTAGTTAGACAAACCTATTTAGTAACTTTAATTTAAAGCTCTCAAGCAAGTACTTGCTTTAAAAATTATTTTTTGAAAAGCTTTATTTATTTGGAGGCTAATTAAAGCAAATGTTTCACTACTCTAATTGTTTACTATGATTCTGTTTAAGTAAATTTATAAAAAAAAATTATAGAAAAAAGTATAAATAATGAATAATTTTTTAATTAAAAATAATTTATTTCTTCAAATTTTAGAGAAACTAAATGAGAGATGTTATTAAAAAATTTTAAAAAAATAATAAATATAAATTATTTTTAATTTATAAGAAAAATGTTATTCATTTTTTATACTAATTTTTTTTTATATAAAAAGTTTATCCTAACACGGTGTAATTTAAGAATAAGGCAAATGCTTCACTTGTTTTAGGTTTGGGCCAGCCTAAATCTCTCTTCTCTCATTGTCTCACTGTCCAACCTTCCTTTCGTCGCTAAGCAGTAGCTTCCACTGTTGTAGATCTAATCCTTGCCTTGCTAGTTGCTGCCCTCTCCTCCCAAAATTATCAACCTTTTTTTATATGCTGAGTTATATATATCAATTTAAATTTTTATATTTTTCTAATTTTATTTAATATATATTTATTCTTCATTAAAATTTTAAAGAATCCTATAATATATTTGTAATTATTTATTTTAAATAACTAAATTTAGTGATATTTGTACCGTGAACGAAAAAATTATTAAATAAGAGAAAAACAATACACAAATTTAAGACCTACCGAGTTGCTTACTTTGAGCCCTTGAAATAAAGATTTCACAGGGAAACTTAAATATAAGTTTTGAAGTACTTTTAGTATTATTTTTATTTAAAATTAGATTTTTTCCTTAATAAAAAATACATATTAATTTTAAGATAAATATTTAAAAAAATAATTTAATTTTAAAAAATAACATTAAAAATACTTTAAAAACTGTATTTCAGTTTCATTTTTTAAAATAAAAAAATCACATTCATTCAATTAGGCTTTAATTGTATTGAGGTTTTCTTTAACCATGTTACCATTGCATAAATAAAAAGTGCCTTAAAATTTTTCACAAAATTTATCCGTATTAAATAAAATTTCCACCTTTTAAATGGGTCTAACGTCGAACTACATTTATAAAACAAATCATTGTAAGCCAAATTAAAATCAACCATACAAAACTTAAATATTTTAGTTATCATGTTTTAGTAAATTTTATTTTAATTATTTTAAATAATTTTTGGTCCTTTTTTTTGTAATTTTTGTTTTTAAGTTTTTTACTGATTGAGTGTGTTAAGATGGTGTCAACTGTTAAGTTTTGTCAGAATATGTCAATTAAAAAAATTAAATATAATATGTTTTTAAATATAGAGACTAAAACATGATAATAATTTTAAAAAATTCATAAGAACTACACATTTTTAAACTTCAGAAAGACACAACTCTAGAATCCACGTGGTCACCCGGAGTCAAGTAAAGAACCACAACCACACTGAGAGAGCAAAACATTTCCATTATACTCTAACCCAAGGATCAAAGTTAAGTAAATCTTTAAATTACTTCTCAAAATTATATAAATTAAACATTTCAATTCCTAAAATTTTAAAATTTTCATTAATCTTAAGTTTTAAATAAGAAATAATTGATTTTAACATTTTGTACTGAATTTTCTAATACAATTAAAATAAATCCTAGAATGTGAGGAATTTTTAACTGAATTACTCAACTCATGCAGTGTTAAACTAGTTTTGCAATTTAATTGATCAACAACATTCACAATCCAATAACCCGAACGTTCAAACCGACTCCTACTCCTATATAAACCATTTTCTCTCGCATAAGCATTTCCCGGTCACTTTGCAAATCGCCACCAAAAAAGTCACAAACACACAATCCTTCTGTGCGAGAAAATTTTCACTCTTTTCAATCGCTGCCATCCACTTTCCACTTCTGGTAAATGGTGTTGCGGGGTTTGAGCGAAGACAGAGGGGCCAAGTCCATGGCGACCACTCCCAACCGATTTCACAATTTCTCCTTGCCCTTCTTGAAGTGGGGGAAGCAACGAAAGATGAGGTGCGCCACCGCCGAATCTTCCGTTGGCGGTGATCGGCGTTCTCCAGGATCCAACTCCGACGAATCCACGGCGAAGATGGAGTTGGAGCCTGCGAGCGACGCAAAACGGCGATTCGTTGACATCGACGACGAAGACGACGACGACGACGGTATTGCGGCGGTGAGGCAGAAGCTGATACTTGATCTGAAGACCGAAGCAGATAGAATGAAAGATGCGATTTTGAGGAACGAAGAAAAAGAAGAAGACGCTGTGGTGCCGTGGAATCTGAGGAAGAGGAGAGCGAACTGTGCGGCTTCCGTTGCCGCCGCCGGTGATCGGAAAGGGTTAAAGATTGATGAAGAGAAACGGCGTTGCTCGTTGCCGAAATTGAGAAGCGGTTCCGACACGACGGAAATGGTGAAGTTGTGTGTTTCGTTATCGAGGAAAGAGATTGAGGAAGATTTCGTGGAGATATTGGGCCGGAAGCCGCGGCGGAGGCCCAATAAGAGGCCCAGAGTTGTGCAGAAGCAATTAGATGTAAGTTGCATTGGTTTATGTGTAACGTGATATAGCAATGTTTAGTTTCCGTTAAGGAGTTTGTTGGAGGGGAGGGGAGGGTTTAACGCCGTGATTTTCGTTATTCTTTTGCAGACACTCTTCCCTGGGTTGTGGTTAACGGAGATTACGGCTGATTTGTACAATGTTCTTGAAGCCGCTGAGAATGGCAAGGCGCATCACTCTAGGAGGAAGAAAATATGTTTGATTTAGGATTTTGGATGTTACTCCTTTAAACCGAATAATATTTACAAAATCAGAAGTAAGCTACTTCACTTTCTCAGCTTACACATTTCCTCACCTTAGAACACTTAAATCCTGTAATTTTTGTCCACTATTTTCTTCTCTTGCTTTTGATGCTAATATTAGTTAGATATTTCTAGTTCATTCTTTTGTTCATAAAAAGAACATTGTAGAAATGTAGTTAGCTAAACTTTTTACTCTGCTTATGATATTTCCATTGGTACATGGTGGTACTTAAATTCAAATGTGGTAGCCTATATAGTCTCTTATCTCCTAGTTAGTGTGATTTGATTGACTTTTATTATGTGAAATGCATTTGATAGTTGCCACAGAACACTCTTCCTTCTTACTGGTTTTTAGTTTTTACTTCAGGAAAAATGTTGTTTTACATCCATAGTGAGATAACTTTTGCTTTTGAGCACTAATTCTGAAACGCGTGCATACAAATATGAGAGATAAATATATAATTGTATAGTGTGTAAGGTGTTATTTTTTAAATGTTTAATAGCAGAACTGTTTTACATCGTCTCCCGAATCCCTTTTAGTAGATGCTCTGTTTCTTCATAACTGGTGCTGGTTTGACTCATATCATGAAACAGAAACTCAGTTTATGTAGCACCACCCTGCTCTCCTCTTTGGCAGGAGTTGCTGATTGTTGAACTTCAAATATGTTAGCAGTTCTTTGAATTGCTCACTTGAACTTGAATTCAGAGTAAGATTATGTTTTTCACGCCACATTCACTTTATTTATTTATTGAAAATATCTTATCTGCTACTTGTATTCCATCCATTTAAGGTTTGACAATAGCATATGCTTATGTGGGGCTATGTGCTACGATGTTAGTTTACCATTTTTCTGAAGAAACTAATTAATATTTTAACCGTATTTTAATGTGTATTTTCAAGTAAGTAATAAGAAAAATAAATAATATTTATTAGAAATTATGATAAATATTTAATTTTATCCAAATTATTTTTGTTAGATCCTTCTTCCTCCTTAAATGAAGCTTTTGGGAGAGAGTTTAATTTTTCTGCTACGTAATTAATTTTCTTTTTCCACTTACTAAATAAAAATATTTTTGTTGATTAACTAATAAATCCCAAGCAAATAAATAATTTTAGTATCAAATTCATGTTTATCAAAATATGTAGCTTCACTTTAAATAAAGGTACATAACGATAAATATATATACAATTAATAGACTCAAACACATTTGACCGATTGATATTTGGCTTAATTTCAATTCTAAAAGAAGTGAATTTAGGAATAAACACTGATATGGAGATTAAAATTCAGTTTTAATTAAATGACTTTATAAAAGATTAAAATTCTTTTTTAATTAAATGATTGAAGTGATGCAAAATAAAAAAAAAATGGTAATAAAAATAAACAAGAATAAATAATATGGAGATTTTGGAAATATTTAGATACATAATTTTCTATTTTTGAGTTTTGTGAAATAAATGAAAAGATAAGAATATTTATTATCTCAAAATCATACAAAAATATTTACTGCATATTTTTATAGTAATTTAAAATAGTTTAATGTTTCTTAACTTGTATTCTTAGATACAGATTAAGAAAATAAAATTTAAAAAATTAATTATTAGTAACTATATAATAAAATTATTAGTAGTATTATTTCTAAAATATTTTTCTCTCTCACACGCGAATTTGATTCTCACTCACTCGCTGACCCTCACAAATTACAGATACAACATGAGGTACACGTGGACACACTCATTTTTCCTTCCCTGATGCAACTAACACCCCCATGCACATAACAAAACTGGGGTTATATAAGAAAGAGATTTATTTTTACCAGATCGAAATTCTTTCCTCATTTTGAGCCTTTTTATTATTCTCTCAAAATTGACCTTGTCAAACACATCTGATATGCAATTTCATTAATGGTTTAATAATAATGACATTTTGATCTGTTATAATAATTTCAGTTAATCCTTGACCATTATCAAAAATCCTGTGCTTGCTTGGACTATTGAGTAGTATAGAAAAATCTTCATCTAAAAAAAGGAGGCTATTCCAATAAACAGAAAGAATGGACCATACACGTCCAGTAAACAACTATAACAATTAACGTAAACCAACCTATCCAAATCTCTATCTTAGACATTCTTACCCTTCCGATTCTTGTTTCTTTTGCTCTTCCAATAGTTAGGCACGGGGGGTTCAGGGACCTTGTACATATCAGCTGTAACCTCTGTTAACAACAATCCAGGAAAAACACTCTGCGCAAAACTCAAAACTTTTGTGTTAATTATATCACACCATCAAACATAAAAAGCAAAATTGTATTGACATATTTTTTATACTAAGTTAAAGTACGCAAAAAAAAAAAAAAAAAAAAGAGTTGTAATCGATGATTGATAAAAAAAGGAAGAAAGATAACGGTGCTGATAGTTGAGAGTTTATCAAAACACAGTAAACATCTCATTATACTTTCTCTTCTATTTATTTTTCAGGCTTTCTTTCTTAACCTACTTTTTGAACGTACAATCTGTTTGCTTTTATCTTCGTAAACTCCGTTTACATAATTTCCCATACACATTGATGTAGGTTTTGTGAAAGGATTTCCAATTGCAGTAAAATTCAGTTCCCACTACTAAAAATATAGGCTTGTTTCTTATATTGGTCAACAAAATATAAGCTTGTAAAATGGATGAAGGACAGAGAGAACGGAAAAAATGAAACTGAACTCACATCGACTTGCTTCTGCACAAGGTTGGGCCTCTTCTTGGGCTTCCTTGGTAACCGACGGCCCACAATCTTCATGAAATCTTCCTCAACCTTCTCTCTCGATAACTGCACAGAAAACTTCGCCCTCTGCGTGTTCCAGGAATCCCTTCTCCGTTTTGGTTTAACGGCGCTGTCAACCCGCTCCCTCGAGGTGCAATTGCGTTTATTCCCATTGCCACCGTCAACAAACGGCGTTCCCGGCGCTTCTTCTTGCTCCTTGTTTTTCCCCAAAATCTCGTTTCGTATCCTATCCGCAGCAACATTCAGATCAAACACGAGTTTCTTCCTCATTGTCTCTATATCGTAATCATCTCCACCGTCGATTCGTGGCGTTGTCTTTCTCGTCGTTCTCGTCGAGTCGTCGAACTTAGTCGCCGGAGATGGGGAAGCGTCACCGGCGGTGGCTTTGTTTGTGCAATGGCTCTGAGAGTCGAGAAGTGAAACGGTGAAATCGCGAAAACGTAACTTGAGTCTCTTGGGACTCGACGGTGATGGAATGATCCATCTCTCTTCAGTGGGACCCGATAACAACATAAAGAAAAGAAAGAGGGAAAGAAAACCCTACACTCTGCGGCAAGCGTTGAGGGTTGAAGATTTTGAAAGGAATAAGAGAGAAAGAGGATCCTTGACGTGAATGATAATGTGTTTAAGCAAATTAAATAGGTTAACGAGACGATAATATGGGTTTTGGGGTTGGCTTGGGATTATTGGGGATCAGGTTTTGCATATTGCACCCCATCCTACGTCTTTTCTTCTTTCTACTTACTTTTTCCTCATGGTAAATTCGTGGCCAGCTTGAAGAATATATATGCTGTTATCTTAAATTCTTTTAGATAAACACTAATTTTTATTGTAAATATAACTATTATTGAGAAATTGTATTTGTAAATTAAAAACTGTATAATTAAGATAGAAATAAAACGAGAAGGAAAAATAGCGAGAGAGAGAGAGAAAGAGAAAGGAATATGGGATAAAATACTTAATGTGATGGAATGTGATAAAAAAAAAAGTTATAAAATGTGTTGTACAGAATTTATTATATAAATAATATAACACATTACTATTTATCACTGTGGTTATATTATAATAAATACTTAAAATGTCTTTGTATATATTGAATAATAATTTAAGAATTTGGTGACGGTGTATTAAATTATACATTTTAATGTTGTATATCTTTAAATAATTGCATATATTTTATGTTTACATATTTTTAAATGAATTTTTTTTTATGATTTAAATGAAGTTATTTCATCAACGAAAGTTAATTTGAGTGATAAGTAATTTGATATCACTTAAATAAAGTCTTGAGCACAATTTTCATTAGATTGGATTAAATTTGATAAAAAAAAGTAAAATTGTTTTATAATTTGTTGATTCTCATCAAATTTTTAAAATAAAAATTAAATTTTGGTTGATAAATATAAATAATTAATTTATTTTTAAAAGGTGAAAAATATAAATACTTGAGGGGGAGAAATAGATTTTTAAATAATAATGAAAAAAAAAAGTGAATTTCAATATAAAAACATAACGTATCAAATTTTGAGGATAAAAGAAATGATGATGAATTTTTAGAAACTTTTTATTTTTTTGCATATAAATGATGGTGAAAAATAGTGTTAACAAATATTAATGACATTTTTACGTTCAAATATGAAAATTCAATTTCATAATGTAAGGTTTTATTCTTACCTTTGGCATGAAACATTTGAAAAAAATAAAAAGATTAGAAAAAACTCTTTTGAGGCACGAATCGTTGCAAAGGCCTAAACGAAGAAAGTTTTTAGTTAGAGCGAGACTCAACATGTTCGCATTGAGACCTACGACTTAGTTTAACTAAATGGGTTTAACGAGTCAAGGTATAAGTTGAATTAAATTAAAAAAGGAAAAAAAAAATCAAATTCTCACCTTTCACAGAAAAAATGAACATGATTTTGGTAAATTGTTAAAATATATTAAAATATTTAATTCTATCTTGGATTGTTATTTAAAATTATTTTCCTTAATTTTGTCATGATCTTTTAGGATATATTCCTTATTGTATTTCCTTATTTTATCATGATTTATTTCTTTAATTAGTTAAGATTATGGTTAATGTAAATAAAGATGAATGCTTTAAGTTTTACCGTGAATATCTCAAAATATTATAATACATCTAATTAATATTATTTTTAATTTTTTCTTTTATACCTAAAATATCATAATTTGA